AGCAAAATAGTATTAGTTCCCCGACGATTTCCGCAGGGACGATTCTGATAGATGTCACCCAACCAAATTTGCCGAGAATTCCATTACTCGGAGGGTGAGGGGCAGGGACGTGATTTTCAAGAGCGATGAAACCAGCTTGGATCTCAAGGTGAGAGGACTCGATGGGTATATTACGACAGCAAAGTCTGCATCATTTTATCTGAGCGCTCGAAATGACTTCATGGTACGACTCGTACGAGAAACTGACGCGATGACCCTCTCTAGAAGATATCCTAGGAAACTGTGCATTTATGTAAAGGATTGTTATCAGCGCCGAGTCACTGCGTAAGACAAAGAAGATAAGCGATATTAGGTAGACGTACGTACCGGTTGGATGGATGTCTTGCTCAGAAGACCGCGAAGACGAAAGCAAGCCGAGTAACTTGCTGCTTTGCAGAACGAGGCCAGTCTCCAGGGATGGGTGGGTCAAGATGAAGCATAACCAAACTTATTCCCCCTTCCTACTACGGCGAGTAAAGTCAACTGCATTGTTAAAGACCAAGGACAAGCGGGGGGGCGCTGAAGCTGTGGCTGAAACGTGGCTGGCCGGTCATCAGTCCATGCGAGAAAGTGCTTGAAGCTTAGTCTCTCGTAGATAGACTTCGATACAACTTCGATATATGTGAAGTCGTACCTTGGTTCACGATATATGAAGTGCAAGCTGTGGCCTCGCAAATTTCGCTTCTGTAAATGGTTTTAGTGTAAAACTTGATGCATTGCCAGCAGATACTTAGCCTCTGAGTCGAGGTTGGCCGACCGAGGAGAAGGAAGCGATACTTTCATCACGTCACACTGCAAGTCCAATTATTCAATTTATTGAAGGATGGCGCGGGGACACCAACGTTAACCGTAGATGCCACCTCGAAGTCTTCCGCAAAAATGAGATGACTCGACATAGATCTCACGTCATGCGATGTAGAAAATTTTGAGTCGACCCAGGCTCGAACTGAGGACCTTCTGTGCAACTTTAGTGTTAGACAGATGCGATAACCAACTACGCCATCGACCCTGTGATAAGTTGTGTAAAAGGATGCATTTTTACCACCATGGCCAACGTGGGGATCGAACCCACTTTCGCCTTGCACGATGCTCTAACCAGCTCAACTAGTCGGCCGGTGCACCTCTTTCCATTAAAGTTTAGTTTCATCAATGGGTCCACCACCACAAGCACGAGAGATAATTGGAGGAGAATCATTGCCTATTTTTCAAGAAAGTTATTCATATGCTGCATAAGTAAAACCAACTCAAAATTTGAAGGCCCAAAGCACTTCCAAGTTTGTGGCCTGTGAGTATGCAGTAAGTTACAACAAATATAGTTTCGACATATTCTATGATGGTCAGATGTGAGGTAAAAATGAGGCCCACTGGACCTTGGCAAAAGCTCCAAGCGGAAGGGCCCTCAGCGCGGTGAACGATCCGATGAGGAGACCGATGCGTGCGATGATGTAGAGCAGAATTTAAAAAATAAGCCAAATATTCCATAACGTCCCAGAAGAGTTTGAAACGGGTCTCGGCTTCAAGTTCTTTGAGCCAGGAGAGTGCGAACCACACCCACGGAACCACGGCAATTATCACGGAGAAAACTCGGCACAGAATGAGCTCTGCCCGGGATGGGAATGGGAGATTCCAACCAAAGCAATGAATGCTCCCGAATAAAATACCGACTTGGAGAGTCACCATAAATACTGTGAGGTTGTGGAAGGCGTAAAATGCAGGGACGTGTCTTGATCCTTTGTTCACTTCGTCCTGGTTCACCATGTCGTCTATCCTGGACACAATCGCAAAGATGAACAGAACAGCAGGCTTAGCAATTCTGTTGTCAAGAAATGCGAGAATCGGAATATTGTACGGTTCTGTCCTGACAGTAGAGGCAATCAGAGCTTCGCGTGACTCATCGTTTTGAGGGGATTCCCAGTCATGAGCAGTGTGGTCGTCTGCCACTGCGTGTGGAACTTTGAAATATTACTAGACAAAAAAGGGTCAAGTATGTGGGAACGCACTCAGTGGTAGAGAATTCTGCCTTCGCTTCATCTGTTCTCCGAGTTTTGCTGCCAGATTTTAAGCATATTTGCTCAATAAATCAGGCGAGGCAAAGAAAGTTACCTACCATCATGACCAAGGGGCTCTATAAACAATTGTTGGCGTGCTGAGATAGTAAGCCCTCAAGAGGGTGAGACTCACCTTCTGTGGCAAGGTTATTCAGTTCGACTGATGAATGTGGGTCGGACGGCGTTTCTGTGTCTTGTCAGAAGGACTTTACAAAAGAATCGAGCTAGGATTGTACCTTTGGCGATGGGTTCCTTGAACCCAGGGAGGGATTATGATTGGATCGTGGTCTTCCGCCAATATATAAACGGGTACAGGACACTTGACGCCCTGAGGCTTATGCCACCAAAGATAATAGATGATCCCGTTGAGAACAGCAAAGGCGACAGTCGCAAGTTCCAACTCGGTGGTGACAAGGCCTTGCGCTTTTCGGCTGAGGCACTGAGCGACAAACCAAGTGGTTTGAGCGACTGCGATACCCTTGGAAAGACCATCGCCCTGGCTACGGTCTAGGATATCTTTCTCCGTGATGGTGGGGAAGTCGATTCTGCCTTCGCTGAGCAATGAAGCGAAGATCTCCGGAGTTAGGACACCTTGATTTTCATTCCCGTCCATCAGTACGAATCCAACCATCTGCAAAAAATGCCTATGTGTTTTCGTCCATCCCAAACCTAAAAATCTGAGCGATAGATAACTAACGAAACGATTAGTCGTGAAATACGCACCACCGTATCGCTTTCGTAACTTTCGAGCTCCAACCCGTTGCCTCATCGCCCAGCTTACTATTAGTTCAGGAGCGATGATTGCCCAAGCCATGATCTCGGCCCTCCGCAGAACTGGCTGCCACCATTTCTTGTCCGAGCCGGGGATGTTAGGATGAATCGAAACCCAGGTGCACGCAAATATCGTGGTGAGACAGCTTTGGATGATATCCCAAAGCGCTCGTTCGGAAAGACGTTCACATGTTGGTAATAGCGTGTCGGATGCACTGGAAATGGGTAATGGCGAGACTTGAAAAAAAAATCGAGTGAAATAAAGAATAGCGAGCAGGATGGACATGGTCGGATCTGACGACGTGAGAAAGGCAGAAAGCTAGCAGACTGACACCACATTTAGGCGACTTGATTAGTGCACGTTGAGTGAGGCAAGGGAAGGGCGCTGGCAATACTGGCAAGACAAGTGGAGAGATAGTCTTGGCCGCGCCGAGGTACCTCAGCCAAGCCGAAAAGTAATTGGGGTCGAGGCAGGTCGAAGCTTGAAAGAAAGAACCTTCTACAACACTTCTGTGTTCAGGTGTTCTTGGCCATGGCGCCAAGCATTGAAAGTGTCAATACTAAGTAGTAAGGTCGCCAGAGAAATGCGCCATCGCCGCCATAGCCCCAACACCAGGAGACCATATAGATGTAGGGAAGCACAATTAACATCCTTTGGATCATAAGAACATCGACGCTGTTGGGGAGGCTGGGAAGTTGAATGTTGGTTGAATCATGAATGTTGTTGCAATTTAGAATAGTCCCGTGACCTCATAGTCGTTTAGAGGAGGACGTTCCGTATTTCGAGAGTCCGAACTGCCGCCGATCCGCCTGTGCATCATCACGTGCACATAACATATGAGTATTTCACAAACGAAATTGGGCTGAGCACGACGCAACTGCAGGGTAGCTAGCTGCGAAGGTGGCTATAACTAGCTCAAATTCATAATATCTACAGTACACCTGTCTTATGCACAACCAGGACAGTAGTATTTACGTGAGCCAGTCCACCTAACACACTGGACGGCAACAAAATAGAAAGACAGGGAGCCCATTCAGGGGGGGGAGGCCGTTTGTCGAGAAAGAGGGCCGTTTGTCAAGGGAGGAGGCTGTTCGTCGAGAAATGAGAACTTTTGCCATTTGTCGACGGCAGGGGCCGTTTTTGAGGGAGGGAAAGGGCTGTTCATTGAGTTCGTCGAAAGGGGGCCGTTCACCATTTGTCGAGAGAGAGAGGGGACCGTTCGTTGAAAGATGAGGCCGTTCGGCATTTGTCGAGAGGGGAAGGGGGGCCGTTCATCGAAAGGGGAGGCTGTTCGCCCATTCGCCTTTTATCGAGGGTGCCGTTCGTCAAGGGAGGCCATCCGCCATTTGTCGAAGGAGGGGGAGGGGGGCATTCTTCGAGGGAGGAGGCCGTTCACCACTTGTCGAGGGAGGGAGGGAGAGGGGGACCATTTATCGATGGGAGGAGGCCGTTTGTCAATGGGAGGAGCCGTGAGGGGAGGCCACATCCAGCCTCAATGTGGTGGGAGCTTTAGGCTTGGGCTGTATTACCCACTTGGACTCCTTGGACGCTGAGGGACACATCAGCACCTGTTATATGTCAACAGGACATTCACCTATGGCCTTCCTGTGCTACAGTGGGCATCGTACTTAGCACCGAAGTTGCGATAGGCTGGCCAAAATAGGCGAAGAGACGTCAGCGCCATCGTAAGCAATGACTGAGCCGACACCTGAACTAAACGTCGTAACCGTCTGTGGTTGATACAGTTGCTCAACAGCGTCGAGCGGGCAGGTGTTGAAGAGGGCCGTGACCGCGTTTGGCAGAGGTAGGTGTCGTGCGAACTCTGGACAGGCGGACTGGCGGATCGGCGGCAGTTCGGACTCTCGGAATACGGAACATTCTGGTTTAGAAGACCTCCCAAATTTTCGCCAAAACAGTGAGTCGCTGGAACATCGAGATGATATGAACAATGTATCCCGGCAATGGCCAACGTGGGGATCGAACCCAAGACCTTCGCGTTATTAGCACGACGCTCTAACCAACTGAGCTAGTCGGCCGACAAAGAATTGGGGAAGAATGACCATCATCCGCATCATCTTTAACCTCAGAATGACTCAAGTGCTGAACGTGCTCACAGGACAAGAATCAAGGCAGCAGGGCATAACGTAACACTTATGTATTATTACATATACAAGAAAATACAACGCCTTTCACGGAATAAATACGTCCATAACGCGTGGGGGCCAAAAGAAAACGACCACTATAATGAATGAATGCCACGCTGAAAGGCTCTACACCTGAGCATACTTTAAGGGTGAGGCCTTCGATCGGGAATGGGCATTTAAGATCTCTCCCCACGGAGACGGCGGGCGAGTGCGAGGTCCTTGGGTTGACTAAAAAGTTAATTAAATTAGTCAAAGGCAGAGCAAGCATGTGGAGAGAGGTGACGCACATGGTAACACCTATTAGCGGAACCGAGAGGGGTGAGTCAGTCAGCGTCATGAGACGAGCAGCGGAGAGAGGGAGAGAGAGGGACGTCGGGGAAGAACGTACGTTTGGCGTGGATGGCAGCCAAGTTGGTGTCCTCGAACAAAGAGACGAGGTACGCCTCGGCGGCTTCTTGAAGGGCCATCACAGCGGAAGACTGGAACCGCAGGTCGGTCTATCAACGGAAACAGAATTATGAATTAGTTATGAAGCCGATCAACTGCGACGACGATGGAGCGACACGTTGGTGCTGCGCAGCGCAGACCAGTAGTGTGTTCAGGAGGGAGGGTGAGGACGAATCATACCTTGAAATCCTGAGCGATCTCACGAACGAGCCTCTGGAAGGGAAGCTTCCTGATAAGCAGCTCAGTGGACTTCTGGTAACGCCTGATTTCACGGAGAGCGACGGTTCCAGGGCGGAACCTGTGGGGTTTCTTGACACCACCAGTGGCAGTCTGTAAGGTAGGGAGTCATACTTAGTGTATGTTACAAAGACATTCGGCGACGACGGCAGCGCTATCGCCACCGCCACCGACGACGACGAGCACGGTGACAACGATACCTACCTGTGCTGTCTTCCTAGCGGCCTTTGTTGCGAGTTGCTTGCGCGGGGCTTTGCCTGTGGAGCGAGAGGTCCTGATGAGTTGATGGTCAAAAACGGAAAGTGAGACACTAACCTCCGGTGGACTTGCGGGCTGTTTGCTGTCAGCGCCAACGACGACGAGAAAGAGAAGCATGTCAGTGAGCAAGGTGGACGTCGAGAGAGACAGCGAGGAAGCGATCTTACCTTGGTACGGGCCATTGGTGAGCTTGATGCGATATTCGAGTGGTTGTGGTGGTGTGAGGGAGAGGAAGAGGAGGAGGAGGAAAGGAAGAAAGACGATTTTCAAAGAGCCCCTCACAATGAGCCACAAGTTCTCACGCCGCACGAGCCACCTGAGCCCCAAGTGATTCCGAATCTGAGCGATTTGGCCTCGGAAGATTGCTCCAGTTTTTCTTTCTTTATTTACCGCCCTCCTGTGCGCCATTTTGCCTGATTCTTCCGCGGATATGGTTGGTATTCATGTAAAAACATTCTAGAGGTGGAATGGAGCTGGAATAAGTGCTGGAAGGTGGTGAAAAAAGCGGCAAGTCGAAGGGTGGTATTTGGGAGATGATTTGGTGTTGTCGTGGCTTCCGGCAAATGCCGAGTGGCTTTCTCAGCCTTCACCAACTCACTTCTCCAAGTTCTTTCCAGAGCAGAAATTGAGTCAACGAGCTGATATCGTCCCGATCCAAGCCTCCCTACTAAATCAGAATGGCTGGGATGTTTTTGTCCTCGAAGGCATCACTATGTGATTCAGAGCCTACGTAAGCACTTGATCTCCGCACGAATACCATTTCACTAATCGTTACGCTTCAGGCCACAGCGTATGCTCTACGCGTATCGAGCGGGTTCATTTAAGTCCATGCTCAGGGGTGATTTGTGTGCCCTCTCCTTTTTGGGGGTTTTCTCTGCCAGATCTCGGGACTTCCACGCTGTGCGGCCTCGTAACGTCTACAATCGCAATGCTGTCGCCAAGTTTGAAACCTGGTTACAGCGCTTTCATCGACTTGTGGGTTCGATTATCCGTGTCCAAGATTCTTCAGGTGGACGGTTGCTATTTCTCTTGGGATAATTCTGGAGTGCGTCGCAAATGACGGTTGGGATTCGCAAAACAATCTGATAGATATGTCAATCATTCGCAGTCTGGAGTTGGAGGGAGTTCTCAGTAGCTCAGAGGTTGGGCGCGTGTGGACACGGCCATCTCCAAGTCAACGCCAGAGCTCGCTTCACCTGAAGTGCCCTGTATCAGCTGACATTTTTTTCTAACGCGTTTTATAGGCGTGTCACAATTTTGGTGAGCGTTCTTTCAACTACACTGCAGAGAATGAAATCAAACTGACTCAATCACTACAAGAGTTCTCAGTGTACGATTGCTACCCATCGGATCCCTTCGTATGCCATTCGGGACCCAAGAAACTACGATTATCTACAATTAGGACGATCATCGACGAAGGCCCCTACTTCTTGTTTGGGCGTTAATCGCACATCATGGTTACCATGTGTTTGATACAAATAGCGCCAACCTTGCCGTGTTGGCCTTAAGGACATCTCAAGAATCCACATTACTCAACTCGCCATTAACCTTTCGACGACGAACCAATAGTTGCCATGCTCATAGTTCTCGGCCTCCTATATTTTTCTCGGCACCTGACCAACGCGGCGCCCACGCCAATTATCCCCACCGACGCCAACTCTCCCATTATACTACCGACATGTCTTTGCCCATCCAGCCGAACCATTTGGGACATTGTCTGGAGCTGCGTTGTCACTATGTTCGCTTGCACCTGGGCTTCTATGCACCCCAACATTCCCGCTTCGGGTGAAGGATGGATAAAAAATACATTGAGGAGGATCGAGATGATGTTGTGGGCATTGGTCGCGCCGGAATTAATAATAAATTGGGCGGTACGCCAGTGGATTGGCGCTCGACGCCTCCAACGTAAATTCAGCGGTGGGTGTCTATCTGTCTGCCTGCTCGTTTAACATGCGGCTGAAGCAACGTGCAAGGAAGGCGTGGAATGCGTAGAGTGGACGAACACGCATGGACACTTCCTCCAAATGGGTGGATTCATGCTAATGGACTCCGAATACAAGAAGCTCGGCGTCATTGACGCTTGGAAGCTGGAATCTTTACTAGCCGAAGGAAAAATTGACTTTCCGAGGATTACAAGGGAGGAAATCGAAGACCACAGTAGCAGTGACGTCCTCTCCAACTGTCTGGCCATCGGTCAAGCCGTGTGGTTTATTGTTCAATGCATCGCGAGGAAAAGACAGGGTCTCTTCCTCACTGAGCTGGAACTCGTGACTTTGGCGTTTGCTGCTCTCAACACGTTCATATATATTATGTGGTGGGATAAACCTCAGAACGTCGAATGTCCTGTGCCTGTCTATTTACGACTTGAAGCTGGCCCAAAGATATTTATACCCGAATGGAAGCCTACGAGTACGTTTCGTCCTCGAATAATTTGGTTGTTAAACTGAGTAAACGTAGCGTGGTCCGATTATAAACGCGACACAATTGCGCACTTCAAGGCGTGGTTTTCAGCGGCATATAGATCTTTAAGTGAGTTTTTCCTCATTATCGCGGTTTCATAACTAATCGCGAATTCTTGTTCAAATCGTGGTAGCCTCCACCGATTCGGCCGGGAGCCCAGACGAGGTCACATATGGAACACGCCTTTCTAGAAAGCTTTCTGTGTCACTAAATATCCTCCATGCACCTTCTGCCTTCATTGGCGCCATAAGCAGTAGCCTGCGTGACCTTCTTGACAAACATAACGTCGAGGAAGGAGACATGGGGGTTTCAAAGTTTTACACATTCTACAGCTCCCACAGGGTTTATCAAGCACGGTTTTATGCATTCTCCCGCGATGTACCGACGTCCACGGATGTACTCCAACTCGTCACGACATTTCTCATCGGGACCCTATTCGGAGGTATCCATTGCTTCGGCTGGGATTTTGAATCCCCATCTTACGCCGAGCACATTCTATGGAAGATCTGCTCACTGGCCAGCTCCTGCATTCCTCTCATCCGGCTCTTATTTATCGTTTCCTTCACCTGGCAAAGCAAATTTAGGGCCTCTACAACCCAGCGGGGCGGGATTGCCCAAGGTTTTGTGGTTCTGGTTTGGGTGGCCTCATTGTTGTTTGGCTTGGTTGGCGTGCCGGTTTACATACTTGCACGTCTTGGCCTCTTAACAGAAGCTTTCATCGCGCTGAGAGCCGCACCAGAAGGAGCGTATGAGAATGTACAGTGGACCCTGTTACTTCCTCATATTCAAATTTGAGCGGCCCATCGTTTCATTGCCCTGGCGTACTTATTCTTTCTGGGGAAGATTAGCCTCTAAGCCTTGATGGCTAGCTACCCTTGCCAGATGCATTATTTGAAGCCGTTTCGCGCGTTCGTGATTCAAAGGGCGAATTGGGAGTTACAACTCGTCGAGGGGTATTTAGCAGCTGCTTGATGTTGATTGTCAATTTAACGGTGGAGATCGGTGCTCAAGCGCTCACTCTGCTCGAGATAAGATTGACGAGTTCATGTGTCACGTGCGATTGTAAGTCGGACGTTGAGCACGGCATCGACGAGCCATGTTTCGTCGCCGTTGTAGACAATCGGCACTATTGCTTTTGCTATTGGCGCAAAAAGCAAGCCCAACCGAAATCCACGCCCCGCCACCATTCAATGTGCCTCAAAGCCCCGCTCTAGATCATGTAAACCTGTTTGTAACGTTCACATCTTATGACGATTTGTAGGTGCTCAAAATGATGTTAGACTCATAGGAAATGGAGGGGATACTCCAAACGGCTCCGGCGGTATGATACCGTCAACGTCACCACCGTTTGGAATGACACGATGGGTCGCGCAGACTCAAGCATCATACGTGTCGGCGACGCCATACAACTGGACCCTCAACAAGGTTCATGGCTTCGTTGGCACGCGACAGCCCGCGATCTGGATGGGGGAGAGCGGCCTTGTAGGTGTCGTTCCTGGGGTTCTGCCTCAAGGTGGTGAAGTGAAAGTCGGGTTCGATGAGCGTGCGCTTAATATCGTGCTGGATGATCAAGGGGAGAAGAATGAGGTTGTGAGTGTGGGGTACTATAGCGTTGTGCTGGACGATGGACACGGTGGTACGGTTCTAGTGGAACAGAGCGCAAGTACGTTCGTTTCGGTTCTCTTCAGTCGTCGCCGTCTTACCATGATCATTCTAGCCTCGCGTGTCGGACACCTCCGCTTCACGTTCTCGCCCTCAAGTGATAATAGGCCGTACATTTTTATTGAAGCAGCTCGCCCCTCTATCCTCACTTCCACTTCAACCAACGTATCATACCCATCAGGCTTCGTCTCCATTGACGGGCGTGAGATATGTGGATACTCCTCGGAAAGACAGGATTGGATCATCACACCCATTTCACAAAGTGACGAGGCTGCAGGTTTCAAAGGGTACTTTTGTGCCCGGTTTGACTTTCAGCTTCAGGAACAAAGTGTCATTATCCAGAATGGCACAACGCATCACGGACAGAAGAACGCTGAAGGCCCGTTACTGGGAGCGTATACTTTCGCTCCCACTTCAAGCTCTCGCCACAGCATGATCGACCTGAGAGTGGGGACGTCATTCATCTCCGTTGATCAAGCTAGAGCGAATATTGACGATGAGATCCCGGACTCACCTGGTGCCGAAGGTATGTTCCCAACACCCTATTCTCCCTGGTTCATACCCAACAGTCAGTTTGTAGGATCGCTTGAAACAACCGCTAAACGTGTACGCTCCGCATGGGCATCTCAGGTTGATCGTATCACCATTGATGGTGCAAGTGACGAAGAGAAGGATGTCTTTTTTACTGGTGTGGTGCACACCCTTCAAGTGAGTATTGATTCTCAGATAGTCCTCCTCTTTGCCTCCCTCACGATTAAATCAACTCTCCAGTATCCAAGTGAACAGCACGAACAAGGCCGATACTACTCTGGCTATGACAACACCATCCATCCTCTCGAAGATGGCGGTGAATCTTACACGGGTTACTCAATCTGGGTGGGCCCTTTCGCCAAGTATCCAAGTCAAAACTGATCTCAGTGATGCAGGATACATTCCGCGCCCAATGGGCCTGGACAATACTCTTCGTCCCGGACCGCGTCCCAGGGATGGTACAAAGTATGTTGGCGGACTATCAACAGGTCGGACTTCCTCTTCCGGATCCATATGCCTTTCATCTCATCTTTCCCCTGTCAGAGCGGTTGGCTGCCAATGTGGAAAAACATCGTAGAAACGAATATCATGGTCCGCTTTCTTCGGATTTGACGTATCCCTTGCTGTTCCTGACATTTCGTAGGTCGGTACCCACGCAGACTCGCTCATCGCAGAAGCCGTCCTGAAAGGCATTACTGGTTTCGATCGCAATCTGGCTTGGGAGGCTGTGTGGAAGGATGCAACGACGCCACCCCAGCGAGATTGGGAGGTCGTGTAAGTCAATGTCTTCTCCTCCCTGCTTAGCGGTCTTAATCGGATTCTTCCCGTAGCTACGCTGATCGAGAGGAGGTAAGTTCTTGAAAATTCAATTTAAGAAGTTTCATTACAAGAGGCATCTTTCTAGCATGTTGACTATGAAGTCCGAGCTGGACTCTCTTCAGTGTACAATGTGCCGGGGAAGGGGTGGGTTGCGGACGATATTCATTCAGAGAGTGCCTCGCGGACTCTAGATTATGCTTGTGAGTCTCTGACCTCCCCTGCGTTTTACATCAAGCCCTCACAGTAATACAAAAGATGATGATTATGCTGCCTACGTCCTTGCCCGGGAGCTGGGCAAGCCGGCTAACGTTACGAATTTCTTGTTGGAGCGGGCTTTGAGAGCACCTTTCACGTTGTTCAATGATGCGACTGGTTTCATGGAAGCGAGGAACGCTGACGGGAGTTGGGCTGGCGAGGATAATGGTTGGACTGAGGGTAAGTAGCTGTCCTTCAAAGTCAGGTCAACTTCTCGATGTGAACTTGCAGGTGATAAATGGGCTTATTCGTTTGATGTCGTCCACGATGTCCCCGAGCTCATCAAGCGACGCGGGGGAAACTTGAGCTTTGTCCGGAGTCTAGACGAGCACTTTGATGGTGGGCATAATGAACACAGTAACGAGGTTTGTCAATTTAGTGACCTATCGGGACTTTCATTGAACTTCTTATAGCCGTCGCACCACATTCCATACCTTTACGCCATGGCCGGAGCTGCTTATAAAACTCAGGAGCGAGTGAGGGAGATCGCCAAAGAAAATTATAATAATTCGCCTACTGGCTTGTCTGGGGTTCGTGGTACCACTTCAAATAACGTTTCGTGCTAAACGATATACAGAATGAAGACTGCGGCCAGATGAGCGCTTGGTACATCTTTAGTGCCATGGGTTTCTACCCCGTGAATCCCGTCTCTGGAGAATATATCGTCGGATCGTATGTGACATGTCCCCTGCGTCTGAGAGCTCACAGAAATATCATCCCTTTAGGCCATTCTTCGAAGATATCTTTATCACCTTGCAAGGAACATCCAAAAAGCTACACATTAGCGCACCAGGGGCTTTGACGAAGCCATACATCAAGTCTCTTACCCTAAACGGGGAGAAAGTACCTGTTCCTATAATCCGCCATGAACAGATTGCCCATGGAGCTGAGGTCGTCTTTGAGATGAGCGATCGCGTGGAAAGATGGGGTAATGATGGAGCTGTCTTGGAAGGTCTGGGTCTCCGTTTCAATAAGCAGGCTGGGGCGCAGGAGACATTCGAAGGCTGGGTTGATAGCGCATCAAAAGCCACTGAGAAAATCTCATTGGATAGGAATCGGATCGAACTGTGAGGACGGTCGTTTCGCGGGATACAGTAGGAGCGGAAATCTGGAATCACATAGTATTTCCACAAGCATTGTGTTTCTAAAACATAGCTTTCTTGTCGTTCTGAGTAGGCAGTCGCGAATTCGATGCAATTAACGTTTTTCTCTCCTTTGTAGAGACATACATAGGCTTTCTCTATTTTTTCTTCTTATCGGCCGACTAGCTCAGTTGGTTAGAGCGTCGTGCTAATAACGCGAAGGTCTTGGGTTCGATCCCCACGTTGGCCATGCATGTTGTAGAAATTATTCTCAGTTTAAGTTTTTTTCTTCTTTTCTATAACCGTTTTGTTGGAATTACTTCATGTCATGACGGATATGTAGGGCTACTGCCTACATATGGACCGATGACATGTGTGTAAGAACTGGAGAATAGATAAACCTACAGTTGAGTGCAAAAAGAATGAAGGTTGGTTCATTTTTCTGGTTCTTTCTAAGAATCTATTGTACCTCAAATGTGTTTGTGTATTATTTTACATTATGTAGTTGTGTTACACTTCCCTTGGTATGGACTAATTTCAGTGAAAGCTGGAGCCTTGAGAAGGTTTTTATTCTGGAGGCCATTTTTGGCATCTGAAAAAAAAATATGCGCTAACTGGGGAGGTAGCCAGAACATACCTCTGGTCAACCTGAATGAGCCTATCAAAGAATTAGTTAAAAATACTGAGTGGTTATGCTTGTAGAGCCTCCAGAAAATGGTCTTTTTGTGCTATTTTGGTCATTTTTGGCCTGTTTTAGACAAAACAAGCCATTTTCCAAAGCCTCTACAGACCTGACCAATCAGTATTTTTGACTGATTCTTTGATAGGCTCATTCAGGTTGACCAGAGGTATGTTCTGGCTACCTCCCCAGTTAGCGCTTTTTTTTTTTTTTCAGATGCCAAAAATGGCCTCCAGAATAAAAACCTTCTCAAGGCTCCACCTTTCACTGAAATTAGTCCATACCAAGGGAAGTGTAACACAACTACATAATGTAAAAGAATACACAAACACATTTGAGGTACAATAGATTCTTAGAAAGAACCAGAAAAATGAACCAACCTTCATTCTTTTTGCACTCAACTGTATATGAACAACTGGTGGGCAATTTTGGATATTGAAAAGAATCTGCAGGAGTCTGCAGGACATCTTAACTATTTTTCGACTCTAGCGAATTTCTTGACAGATGGTTGGGCGTCCAGATAATTTTGCTTATTGTATGAACTCAGAGACAAATACTGTAAACAAATCCTTCAATTGAGTTGAAGTAAAAGATCTGACCTCAATCAGATACCCAAACAATAAGCAAAAATGATTCATTCCTAGTAGGATCTGTCCTGCGCTTTGCTCAAGTGCCCGATACATCCTTGTTTCTGATGAATGATGACTATGTAATCAATATGTAATCTAACTGATTCTAACAAATACGAAAAAACAACGACCGCGTGCACATTACGCTCAATCCACCATTGCATATTGAACGCTCAGCGCTGAGCGCTGAGTACTGATCGTTGGTTGAACAATTTCCAACCGAACCTCGACTTTAGAATGCACCTTCGCCCACCGCTGTCGGTCCTCTTGGGGAGTAGTTGAGGATCTCCACGACGTCCTGCCTGGTTGGCACACTCAAGCTCCGTCATGGATAAAAATGAGAAGCACAAGAAATAAGAAATCGAAATCATGGACTCATGAATCTTCCTCAAGATCTTGAATTACATCACATCCTCTCGCAATTTCTCATCCTGGCAATGGTGCCCAATGCTGAATCGACTCACGTCTTGTGAAGCAACGTCATCCACGCTTTAGGAGCCTCCAATTCACCATCGAGAAGTCATTAGTTCTGAGCGAAGTGTCTGGCGATTAGGCATCGAGTCTAGTGTTCAAGAATTATGCGACTTTCAAGCACATCAAGAAAATCCGCCGCATCAACCTCACAACCGCTCCAAGTCCGCTCTCGGTAAATGTGGCGCAATGGAATTAAATCTGGTGCCTTGATCCCTTCCATCCACCTCGAAATACTTACTATCGCGAAGACCATAACACTCCTCCAATGAAACCAGATGCGACAAGTTATACAATGTAGCAACCGCCTTGTCGCTGGGGTGGCGGTGTCGCTTTGTTGTAACGTACCATGAGGTATGTGATGCGTGACGGAAAGAACAACAACTTAAACACTCCGTCCTTTGACTTGCCACCACCAACTCCCAAACCATTCAACTGATCATCAAGAACCGAATTGGACACGACTATCATGGAGCCAACTTTGGAGTACCAAGACGATTTTCAAGAAGAAGCTGAGGATTATGAATCCCAAACCCAGCAAGAGACGCAGTCAACTCAAGAAGCCTCTCAGAATACGATCCCTGACATCGACACGGAAAGTTTATGGGGTTACCTCCAGCCGTGCAGCGCAGATCTTTTTCGACTTGAATTTAACCACCTTCAGAAGACCTATACGATTGGAAGGAACGATAAGAATCTGTATGTGCTTCCTGGCGTCAAAGTTAGTGAGTCTATTTCCTTTGTTAGTTCGAGTGCCACTTTGACCCTCTTCATAAAAAAGGCAACGAACACTGCAAAATTTCGTGGCTGGATAATAGCGTCGTAATAGAGGATCTTTCTAGCAACGGGACCTTTGTAAGTCATCGCATTCGAGCCTTCGTCACGTCGCTTCCTCAAACATACTGTAGATCAACGGCCACAAGATTGGGAGGGGTAATAAAAGGGTGCTAGTAGACGGAAATGAGGTTGCTTTTGGAACCCCAGTGGCACAACCCCTGACCAGCCATGAGGATTATCGTACGTCCCTCCGTCGGTGCTCTATCCAAACTAAAGCCTTTCCGCTGTGGGAAACTCAGGATACATCTATCGGCACACAGCCGACCTTCACACCGGCGGTCTCTATGCAGAGTATGATCTGAGCCACGAACTGGGTAGAGGTGCATTCGCGACGGTCGTGAAAGGAATGTCGCGTGCCACCGGTGAATGGGTGGCTGTCAAAATGATCCACGCGAACAAGAATCAGAATGAGATTGAACGGGCCACCCAAAATGCCATGTTTGCCAGGGAAATCAATATCATGCAGACTCTCAAGCACCCAAATATCTGCGAAATGAAGAATGTCTTCTTTCAGACTAACGGCGACATCAGTGAGTTTTTCGAGTCGAAATAGTTCTCGTATTAAATCTATTTCTTTCTACTCAAGACCTAGTTTTGGAGCTCGTTGAGGGTGGAGACTTGCTCGAGTACATTCTGGAACGCGAAGGTGTTGGTTAGTGACGCCCTCCCTCCTGCTTCATCTCAAATTTTGACGACCCTCTCAAGCCGAGCCTGAAGCTAAACATATCACGTATCAGCTTTGCGATGCGTTATCGGTATGTATAGTGTTCACGTTAAGATTAACCGCTTACCTCCGCCTAGTATATTCATTCCAAGGGTATTTTACATAGAGACCTCAAGCCCGAGGTGAGTTTCATGACAATTTTACTATTGTTTCTTAACGACCTTCGTCTGAACTTTCAGAACATACTTCTCACGCGGGACAACCCACCCCAAGTCAAAGTGGCAGATTTTGGCCTCGCCAAGCTCGTCAATAATCTGACCATTGCGAAAGTAAGTGCCAAATCGCCGCCATATTGTGGTCCATTGACTCCTTCCTCTTCCAGACGATGTGTGGTACACCTAGCTACCTAGCGCCGGAGGTCGTTCTTCAAGTTAACCAGGAAGGTTACGATAATCTTGTTGACAGCTGGAGCGTTGGAACCATCGTCTTTGCGATGTATGCATTTTCAATTTTTGGCCTCCCTTGTTTTCGATGCCCATTCTTTGGTATCTAGGTTGACCAACGTCGCGCCTTTTAACGAAGATAGGACTCAACAAGATATCCGAATTAGAATCGCCAATCGTACGATTGAATGGAGTGCTCTGGAAGAACGTGACCTTTCTTTTAATGGTTCGACACTCACCTCAGGCTGTGAAACGATTTACCTCGACTTACACCATTTTTAGCGAAAGACTTCGTTTTCGCTTTGATGCAAACAGATCCACGGCGCCGAATGACCATGACAAATTCCCTTCATCACGATTGGCTGCGAAGCTACGTCCAACCTTACTGATACCCCCAAATTGTTAGCTCTCCTTCAACTTGGAATAACTGGGGCTGTTAGGCACCAGTGTGGGATTCGCATTGTATTTTATACCACTCTCTCCTTTTTACCCTCAAGATTAGATATATAACCATCTCATCGCATTGTATCCAATTTCCATTTACGACATTTACCATGTATAAATTCAATTCACGGTTTATCCCTTCCCATTTTGGAAGGAGGGGTCGATTTCTGTGCGACATTCGACTCATCGGTTGCCTTGAGATAAAAGTCAGCAGTTTAATCCGTGTCTTTTGTTCTCCTTAGGCATTCCTCAAAGATCAAGGCGCGCATCCACTGCTGAAAAAAATGAACTAAATTTCATGCATTGTCACGATTCAGAGGTTCGTCTACTCATTCATGAAATTCTCCGACCTTGATGCGACTCCCTGCAGACTCTCCGCAGTTAGGGACAATCACAAATCGACCTTGCCCCCGACTAAGAAAAACCAAACCTTACCCTTGCGTCACGGTTTCACCCTTAACAACACGTACAATGTTTTTTGCCCGAACTTGAGGGATTTGCTTGTTACAAAAAGAGCCCTACACCCATTACGATGTAGATGCTAATCGGCGATTGCTGCTTCTTTAAAGAGCATGTAGGGAGTGCGCTATGTGGCCCCAACGCGTGTGGGTCACCAAACCCAATAAAACGCCTTCTGACCACTCGGTTCACTCTTCATATAACCCCCATCTTCCGACCCACTCAAGAGGCTCTGACCTCTCTTCTGTACTCGCTAATCCACAGCACACTCGAAAATCACCACAATGGGACGAGCAGCGGATTCATCGTCGGCTCCGAAAAGAAGGAAGGTCAAAAACATTGTTGAAAATTCGTTAGAAATATCCAACATTGTTTTGACCACCTTGAACAATGCGGCAAGCATGGCACCCGTACCATACCTTCAGCAAGCAGCGGGGCTGGCCTTAGGGATTTTAAACATCGTCCAGGTGGGTTGTGATCATACGTTTTCGCTTGCGCACCTCACAGTCGAGGGATGCTCGGTTATAGGGGGCAAAAGACAACAGGGACGCCTTCCACAAACTGGCTGCGGATACTTGCGAGCTGGTGTACGTGGTGTTGTGCATGTATGAGGAAGCTACCAAGAAGGGAGATGATCGTGGCCCGTCGAGGAAGCTCGTAGACGACCTTCAGGGCCTTCTCGGGTCAGCAGGATATTTGTGTTTCTCGAATCGAGTATTTTAATTGACGGTCTCCTTCACAGTACAATATCGTCCATTGAGCGTTTTTTGCGCAAAGAGGTCTCTAGGGGAGCATTATTTCGGCTGGTCAGGAGTAAGGCCGATCTAGGAAAGATTCAAGAGTATCGGGATACGCTGCGGCGATCTCTGGATCTGTTTGGGGTGGGTCTGAAGCATGCATGTGGCACGGAATTTTCATGTTCTGACGCAACCCCACATTTTAGCTTCAGTCTAACGTCGCCATCCGGGAGGCTACCTCTCAGCTTATTAACCAGCACGAAAAGATACTGCTGGAGCTTCAGCGCGACAGAGAGAAGAAGAATTCCGAAGCGGCAGGCGTTTCCGTCCCTGCTCCCGCCGCGGTCGACCAAGAGAATGTACCAGTCGCTCCAGCGGCACCCATTCCGCCCATCCGGAAAGACGAATCGCCAAAGCCTTCCGTGACTGTGACCCACATCGGAGGGGATAAAGTCGATTCCCACTCCCTCAGTAACGTCACTAACACGAACTCTGGAAATGTAACAATCACAACGACTACGGATTCCAATAACGACAATTCCTACCGGCAATATGGAGGTGAGAACTGTCCATTGCTTCAACAAGAAACGCTTCTGACCACGGATTATACAGGGAGGCCTGGGCGTGGACCTGTTCGAAGAGGCCCCAGAAAGTAAACTGGTGGCTCTGTGGGCCGTCCTAGCTCCGTCCTTGGAGCCCTAGTCAGTGGCTGGAATCGTAAACGCATCGAGGTGATAATTTAGACAATGTTTACTTACATATTGAGCTATGGTGACCCAAGCAACTGGGTCTAAGTATCGATGATTCTGAGTTGCGATCTGTATGTATGGAAAGGAGGCGAGGAAAGCTCGAAACACAGTCTCTTTCCGCTGGGACTCCGACCGAAGTGGAACTGTTATTCGCCTGCTGGGTGTGGAGGGAAAAAATGCCGGAGAGAGCTAGTCCCAAGCACCCAGAAGCGCTATCCTAGAAATTGAGATGAATCATAGGCTCTAGTGCGAACGAGTCACGCTTGACGTTTTAGTAGCAGGGAAGTCATTTCACTTCGGATCCAAGAGGGTAGGAGATGTGACAACGGATGTCGCCACCGATGCAACAAATGGCCCTCGCCAGGGTGAAAGCTACCTTTCCCGATAAAACTCTTCATGTCATCGGGGATCAAACCACATTGAGTGCCCTAGGTCAAAACAGTCGACGGAATAATTTGAGACATGATATCAACTGGTTGGACGCAATGTCAACGTTAGCTGTCCAATAGGAAAAGCAAAGGCTAACACGTACTTGCAAGCAAGACCTGGCAACCAGTGATACCAACATGCATGAGACGCGTTTGGGCAGGTAATGCGCGTAGACCTGCGTGGGATGGCCCCGGATGCATGAAACCTCCCCATATTAAGAGGCGAACGTAACAAACGAGAGGGCGTGTCATTGGTGAAATTCAAATGGTAAGATGAAGTCAGACATGGCAGGGAAATAGCTTGAGCTGGACGTTACCCTGGGGCCGTTTCAGGTTTGTAATGGTAGAAACATTGAGCTATACGGATATCGTAGCCCAAGCGTCGGGATTGCACGCGAAGTCTATAGGACCCATATTCCATTCAGCCCGACGTCGTATGTTGGGAAAAGGCTCGTAAAAAACGAAGCCGCGTGGGGAATGAGCCCAAGGCTGGGGGCCGCCTTGGTACCTCTTTAATCGTCGAGTTTGAAGGATAAACGTATTACTGAGAAGCACGGGTAATAACCTATAGCCAGTGACAGCAGCTGACGATCGATCGTTACTCTGCCTCAAGGTTTCCACGGGTTAGACTCAAGTTCTGGCTTGTCAGTTGAAGCGTGTCGAGGGGAGTCGATGACGGTGCCACGTTGGTTAATGTACCGAGCTGTAAGTAGAAGTGAAATTTGAAGGTCATCGGATGCCATGAAGACGGACCATATATTAGGGCATTCTCCCTGATTAAGAACATAATGACGTAGCAGTCGGGCCGTTCGAATGCTAGGAGGCGACACTCAGGCTCTTCTCCATAGGTAATGCGGAAATCGATGTGTAGGTCCAGCCCAGGAGTTTCTGGGATCTTCCAGGACAAGTTGCAGGCACAAAGTTCATGGGATAGACACTGTAATGCACATTGCAGCAAGGCGGAACTTCATAAGACCCGTCATCCTCGACGATGAGCAAGTGCATTAGGGAACAAGGCCTTCTATCAGAGAGAAACAACGGGGAGCCCGGAAAGGTATAGAGGGGTAGAGGAGTGCGATAAGCAAATTTATTTATTTATTTAAAAATTAAGTCCGCGCCAGTGTCAGAGGTAAGTATAACAGCAGCCTACGCTTCCGCAGAGTTAGCACCAGCCTTCCGATGTTCCGGAATCTCAGCATCCTTCGGGACGTCTTTATCAGCCGCTTCCCCTATATATGAAGGGAATCTGTTCAATATACGTCAAAATTTGTGACGAAAGATTTCAAGGCGGAAACAAACCTTGGAACTCCATCCCGTGTAAGTTCCTGGAAGCGATAAACGATGATAGCCCCAACCTTGGGCGGATTCCTACGCTGCTTGTCGCTCAAGCCCGTGCCAACATTGAAGGTCTGTATGAGCGTATCAGGTACCGCAGTTGAAGGTTGGCGGAGAAACAGCATACCTTGCCTGAAGCCATTTTGCATTTGAGAGCGCCTGTGGTACCATCGTTGCGTCCTTTACCAGGCATGTACCCAGTGACAATGGCTTCTGCATCATAGAATGTCTGAGCACCTACGTAAGCCACTGCACCACATGGAGAGAAAGGTCAAGACGAACTTTGATCTTCAGCAATGTCCCGGATCGTTGACCCTCATATTGTCTGGAACCAAGTATCAGGTCAGTACCCAACTCTAGACCAAACAAGGAAGAAGGACGTACGACCCCGGCTGCCTCAGCATTAGTCCTTCCCCACCCAAGGTCTCCACCTCTTTGAGCTTCTGGAGCACGTGTTCCCTGCTCTGAGCTGCTTCATGCTCGACAACCGCGATTTGTTCAACAGCGTGGGTTCCGCCCTCGCCGAAAGTCTTTTGCAGCCAGGAGAGTCGGTCTTCAAAAGTATCAGTTCCGCGAGAGGGAACATCAAAGATCTGATGGGAAGGACGGAAAGAAAGAATACAAATGGGAAAAGAAGAAGTGTGGAGTGATTAGATGGATGTCATATAACGGGGACAGAAGAAATTCAAGAAGCGGATGCGAACCTGGAAAGTGATATTCTTCCAGTGGGGAGAATTGATCGTCTTTACGATTGACACTGTGGACTGGAATTGCCCACGACCACCGAAAAGCTCGCCGTCGAGGGTGACGTCCTTGGGAAGTTCTACAGCGGAGCGTCAGCCTTTCCCTCCAAAGACAAAGACCGGAGAATGAAGGTGAAGAAAAGAAGGGGGGGAAACTGGATAAGAAGAAGCACGTACTATCAAGGAACCATTGTGGAGGGGTGAATGGATTTCCTAGTCTACTGATCATCTGTTTCCCATCATAGAAAGTTCTGCACATGCAGGTCAAAATTCGGCCAAAACCCACAAGAAAACCAAACTAACCGAACACCATCCAACTTCTCCGAAATCAACCAACCCGTGGGATCTGGGCCCGTCTCAATATCCCACTTATTGGCAAGTAAGAGTCCAGGCACCGTCTTTCCGCTTGATCCACCTTCTTCCTCCCCGTCTTCATCATCCGCTTTCTTACGTTTGCCGGCGGCTTTCTTGGCAGCTTTTGGAGCAGGTCCGTCTGGGTTGCGGTATTTCAAGCGGGCGGCTTCGTAGTCGGCGCCGAGGAAGGACTGGAGGTGTTTGCATGTCCGGGCGTTCACGGGGGCACCACCCTGCGGGGACCAGAAGTTAGAGCTCTGGAAGAATAGGAAAGAGTCGAGGCAAACCTGGTTACGCCAAGCCGGGCAGGTACTGCAATTATGAGGAGAGTGAGACAGGCGAGTATGTGAGGGATGTTGAAGCGCACCAGTAAAAGTGGTCCCAAGTCCGCTTGATTTTGTACACTGAATTCCTGCAAAAGTGTGTCGGCAAAAGACGCTGAAAAACTGGGGAGGATGGTAACATACGAAGTCTGTGATTTTACCTCTCTCTCCTCACCGTCCGCGAGGAGAACCTTTGGTTTGACACCAGAGATCTCAGCAAGGTCATCTGTTGGTTATGGTCGTCAGCACCTGTCCCAGACTAAGATAGAGGGCGAAAGAGACAAGGTTGTGTCCCAAAGATAAGAAAGTTCGCCGTGAGAATGGAAATGAGCAAGACAAAGAACGCTGCGTGAAAACACCCGACGAAGAAACGAAAGGAAAAAAAAAAAAAAAGTTGCAGCCAACAAAGACACTCACCGCCATCCACAGCACCTATCTCCTCATCGCCGTCTTCGTCCTCAGAGGCATCCTCATCCTCGTCATCTTCCTTGACAGGAGAAATTCTAGCCTTCTTCGCAGGAACCTTAGACTCTTCTTCCTCTGACTGTTGCTCTTCTTCATCCCGATCTTCTTCATCCTCATCCGAGTCGGGTTTCTTGCGTTTCCCACCCGCCTTGGTTTGAACCGTTGTCTTCGCTTTGCTTTCAGGTTTAGCTTTGGAGGCAGGTTTAGTTTTAGAGGCAGGTTTAGCTTTAGAGGCAGGTTTAGCTTTAGAGGCTGGTTTAGCCTCGGATGCGGGTGTAGCTTTGGACACGAGTTTACCTTTGGATGCGGCTTTCCCCTTTCCGGCGCCTGCTACAGCCCCATCTGGGTCTTTGAGCTGAATACGGGCTTCTTCGTACTCTTCGCCTAGAAGGGACTTGATGTGCTTGCACGACCGCGCGTTGACAGGGCGACCGCTCTGGTTCAGACAAGTCAACTTTGATTTCATAAAAGGAGAATGTAAAACTAACCTGATTGCGCCATGCCTTCAAGAAGGAAAGAGCAGCTTGGTTAGCTCGTTCATTCATGAACGACAAAGGCAGGACTGGCGCTTACGGGACACGTGCTAAAGGCCAAAGTAGAATGAGTAAACGAGAGGCAAGGAAGTGGGTGAAGCGCACCAATAAAAATGGTCCATGGTGTGTTTGACCTTGTACACGGATTTACTGTTGGTGTCAAAGGTTAATTTCAGAAAGGTGATGGACGGGGTAAACGAAAAGGTGAAGCAGGGTTGAAAGGGAGTGAACATAGCAAGGAAGGATGAAAGCGAAGAGGAACAAGTTCATGGGTCAACAAAAATTGATCAAAAAAATGAGCCAAACTGAGACCGACGATGAGGTTCGCCGAGGGCCAAACGAGAGAGCCGGAAAAGCCACCAAAAACATGACAGTGATACATACCTTGAAGCAGAGCCGACTTCCCTTTCCTCACCCTGTGGGATCCATACAAGCGGCTTGATGCCATTGATTGAGGCAAGCTCGTCGTCACCTGGATGGTATATAAAATGAGTATGCGGAAAGAAAGAAAGCCAGGGGGAATACGAGGGCACAGGAGGAGCGAAAGGGAGGAACATTGTGGTTTGAGTGTAGAGAGGACGTACCGCCATCCCCAGTCGGTGCGGAGTCAATGTCCATGGCGTCTTCGTCCTTGACTACAGCCTTGGACGCGGGTTTGGCTTTGGATGCGGGTTTGGCCTTGGATGTGGGTTTGGCCTTGGACGCAGGTTTGGCCTTGGACGCAGGCTTAGCTTTGGATGCGGGTTTCCGTTTGGGCTTCTCCTCCTCCTCGTCCTCCTCTTCTTCCTCTACGTCGTCGTCGTCTTCTGCCTCATCATCATCTTCGTCATCGTCGTCGTCATCTGCTACTTTCTTACGTTTTACAGGAGCCTTGCCTTTCAATTTGGGTAGAGCCTTAGCCGTGGGCTTCTTCTTCGGCTTTTGTTCTTCAACCTCCTCCTCCTCCTCCTCTTCGTCCTCATCAGCCTTCTTACGCTTCGCGGGTACCTTCTTTGCTGGGGCTTTCTTGTCCGCTGGTGCCTTCGCGGGCGCCTTCTTCGTAGGGGGCTTTTTCTCTTGTGTAGCTGCAGCTCCGGCGGGGTTTTTCATTGCTAAGCGTGCATTCTCGTACGCTTCACCCAAGAGGCTCTTGATATGTTTGCATGAACGAGCATTCACCGGTGCTCCTTTCTGTAGGAAGTAATTAGCCTAAAAGTCTGAGGGTGTATAAGACGATACAAACCTGGTTACGCCATGCCTACCAACAATCCAGAATGGTTAATACTACAAGGACAACCTGAGAACGAAAGAGGCATACGGGGCAGTTGCTGCTCAGAAGTACATGTCAGCTTCGGCTTGTAAGAATTTGAGAACGTGCATACCAGTAATAATGGTCCATGGTCCTCTTTATTTTATAGACCGCTTTACTATACCCCCGTCAACGCTGGCTGAAGTTGCAACCCCTGTGAACGTACCTCGACGCTGAGCCGACTTCATGCTCCATCCCGTCTTCGAGCCATATCTTGGGCTTGAAGCCATTTATCTCTTCCAGTTCGTCTTGGGCCATCGTGATGGCGGTTGGTCTGAAAATTGAGACGTGGCACTGGTCAACTGTACGCGCCGTTGGGAGTCACGAACCGGCCCGTGCGTCAGTCACGTGCATCTTGTTTTTGTGATGTTTGGCTACGGGGCCCACGTTTAACTCTTCAAGAAACTTCGCGCTTGTTTGTCGCAATCACTTCGTCCTTGGACAGCAATCTCCAGCGTGGTTTTACAGTCAATTTAAGGGCTTTACATGGCGTAACTCCGAGGGCGAGGCGCATCAACCGCAAAACGGCACTCTCTCTCAGACCTCTGGTCACCTCTCCATGTTCTTGCCTGTAAGTCTCGTTGATCCTTGGTTGATCCTCGCCGCGATCTCCCCAAGGTATCCAATTTCTTCAGCGTATATTATTATATCCGAGCACAACAACTTAAACAGTTGGTAATGCCCCTCGTGCCCTCTTTTCATTTCTAAAAATTGACACCGAAATTGAAACCGAAGATTTCACGTATATGTATATGTACCACATGGTCAGCTCCTGCCAAACGTCTGAGTCTAAGCGATGTAAAAAAGGGTAAACGAAGGAATGTGGCGGCGAGCACGTTGAGAATGCTAAATAGACCAAATACGAAGTGCAAAGCAATGTGGACAACGCTGGGTATGAATCTCTAGATAGCAAAGATAGCCTGAAAATGATTGGCAGAATAAATATGTCCGTGTGCTCGTATGAATTGAACGACTGAGGCTCTCCCGAAACCTCATATGCATGAGAAGGCGGAACACGGCTCCGCCTGAACGTCAGAAAAAAAAAAAAGAAAAGAAATTAGACAAAGCGGCGACTTGAAAAGAGCTAACGGAACGTGCCTCAGCTTCTCGAACACCAACTTCATCCGCGCCGGTGGGTATTGGTGACGCAGACGTCAAAGAGGCCGCTAAATGAGAAAGTTAAATTCGCTCTGGAAGGCCACCAAACGCAGAGACTTACCAATTGCAACAAGGACCGCAGTTAAAATAGAGCAGCGCATTGTTGACGAATGTCGAAGTTATGTACCAGGAGTGGTGTGGGTGAGCGAAGTATGGAGCGAAGTATGTGCTACTGAGAATCACCCCCCGTCGGCTCTCTCTAATTTAAGTGTCTGCGGGAGCTGAAGGACAAACCAACGTCCAGAGGCAGAAAACCAAGCGCATTTAGACAGTGGCATTGCTGAATTAAAAACGTGGAGAAATGAACAAACAGACTGCCCGAATTGACTAGCGGTATCACTGATCACAAACTATCTTTTGATTCTACCCATCCCCGAAAAGCTCCCGACAGAGTAAGACCCTTTTTTGAGGTATGTACTTATGGTCGCACTTTCATTGCCATAGAGTTGTCTAGAGTTGTCTCCAGGGTATGAGCAGACAGGCACCAGGGCTCGGTATCGCAAATTCGGAAAAAGCAACACTACGGAACATTACTCTCAGCAAAATTAACTACATCTTTTCTGGGAGATAATCTTGGTAACATGTCCAACACCTGTGGTGGGTGGGCTTAAAGCGATTGATCAGCTTAGGGTAAGGATTTCGGGGATCAAACCCCTTGTTTATCCGAGAGTTTCGGTTGGTGTTTGTCGGGGTGTATTTGCACTTGTGATCATCGTTTGGCCCTTTCCACGAGTCCTAAGTTAGTGCACTCGAAGCAAGCACACCACGTTATAATACGTTCCGTCAGCAATGCTCCTGTGAGTAAAGAATACGCACTAATTTTTTACTGGAAGATTAAGATGGCCCAGCATTTCTCAAGTAATTTTATTTAGAGCAGATTTCTTCGAGATTTCTCGGAGGCATGAAACGAGCATGTCCAAACAGGCGTTCCTCTTCGCAGAGGTGTAAAAATTTTCTTGGCCAAGCCAATAGATTTATGGCCGTAATTTCTTCAAGATAGAATTTTTTAGGCATCAATCAGGATTAATATAGCTCAAAGATCATTTATTCATCTTTTCTTCTACAAATGTCGGGAGATGGGCTCTTGACAAATCCCAACGCTGCAGCGCTTCTGTAGCTACGGATATCCAAGACAATGGTAACTTTGCAAACACCCGCATCGTGGCAGAATGTGGTAATCTGAGAAGAACCCGTTCCAATCACAAAGAAAACTCCCGAAAATATGAATTATTCCAATTGATCCCATGTATATACCAGCATACTATTTACGACAGCCAGTTCCCGTCAAAGATCTTGGGGAAGGCGAAAAAAAACATGTTCTAAATCTAATCAATGTAAAATGATGAAGGAAGGTGGCAAAGAGCACGTTGAAGGTTCTCCATAAAAATAAGCAAAGTAAGAAAGCGAAATTCACAGCTACAACACCGATTGTGTTGGATATGGATACAGATAACTTGATGGGGGGAATAATTATGTAAGCGGCCTTGATTGATTTTGGCGGCGGAGGCTCTTTCGAGTCCTCATATGCAAACGAAGGGGGAACACCCGGGTGGTAACTGCGCCTTGAGAGAAGATTAGAAAGACATCCAGTCAGTGAACAGCTGAAGAAACACACCTCAGCTTCCCGAGCGCTTACTTCATTCGTGTCGATGGGTATCGGTGACGCGGACGTCAGAGTAAGCGCTGGAAAAAAGAACGTTACACACTTTCAAAAAAAAATTACTTGACAGAATAAACCTACCAAGTGTGAGAACGAGTGCGGTAAAAATAGAGCAGCGCATGGATAATGAATGTGACAGTTGTGCGAGTGCCAAGTGGTGTGAATGAGGGCGAAGATTTTGAAGTTCGCTTCCATCGACACCCTCCGTTTTAATAGTGCATTTAGGACAAGTTAATGTCCAGAGGCGGTAAGCCAAACGAGTTGCGACAGTGGGCTCGCTGAACCGCGAGAAAGAGGCTCTGTGAACAAACACATTGCTTGAATGGACTAGTGCCGGCGAGCTATCAAAAATCATCTTTATTTGGCTGTATATATTCTGGAGATCCCTGGAAAGCCACCAACAGACGAAGACCCTTTTTGAAATTGAGGTAAGTTAGTACATAACTCCTATTAAGATATAATTTGGATTCAAGATTGTCTCCAGGGGGTATGTAAGGGTGCACGACATGCAGTGTCAGGCGCCGAGACTCAGGCCATCGACGAACTGGTCTAGATTACATATATTATAACAATAGCGGCGAATAACAAAATACTCGATGAAGGAGGCTTAGAGGTCGTCATCCATGAATTTTTTTTCCAGTTTTTTTTGTCTTCCTGACGCTTTTGTCAAGGTGCGTTCGCTCTTGTGTTCACTTTCACGAAGTTACTTGCAGTGGCGTAGATGTGCTACATTTTTCAAGATTCTCGATGATGCGCCGTTTGCCAACCAGTTTTATTTAGCCTAAGTTTAAGGGTTTGAAACGAATGCCTGTATTCATGCATTCCCGTCAGTACCAGAAGGTACCAGACCACGAGCTTGTGTAGTCAAAGCGATGACTCGGAGTTTCCCTTCATCGGACCATTAAACTTAATATAAGTCGTGATATTGAATTTTCGGCCTGCCATAATGCCACAAAAATCTAACTGGGGATGGTATACAATTTTATTTACTTTACACTCATTTTGAAATGATATATCATATAACGGTGTAGATGCTTGGGTGTGAGGCTCGGTCCAAATTTAATTAAATGAGTGTGCACAGGTTTGTACCTTGATCCCGATCCCATCCTGTCGATCCGCAGCAGATTCTCGCAATGGCGAGTCACCTCGAGTCACCCAAGCTCCGAATTGTGAGTATCTAGTGCTGGACCGAATCTCCAAAATAGGGTGCTACCTACTCGCCAACCAATCGGAAGTCTGCCTCCCAGTTTGAGTCTAATCGACGTATGGCCGACCCTTCATATTTTAAGATAACAGTTAAACAGAATTTACTCAAGGAAACCGCACTGTCTCAAAGGAATGCCCAAATCAAGTTACTCATGTGGAGTTTCGGGAGAAAGCGTAGGAGTGGTCTCACCCTGAAAATATCCCTCTTGATTCCTGGTGAAAGGAAGGACCGCATCGAGGAGCTAATGATATATGTACGTTATCGAAAGAGACGTTATTCGATTTACAGGTCATTCTCTGTGCATCCAAGGAATTGCTCCAGCCGACGTGGCACAAGAACACATAATTGACAGGATACTGGCTGGAGAGGTATGAGCTATCGGTAAACAAGTCATTGTCAGGTCTGAGGCATCGCCCACCTAAGTACGATCTACACCGTGACGCGCGGCATTGAATCCAAGCAGGGTACTAAAGTGTTGACGATTTTAGTGTACAACAAACAATCACACAAAAACAGATTCATTCTTCCCCAATATTCGTATCCCAGTTCCTCTAACTCGCTGCCTACCTAACACCCAGAAGGAACGCTCGAGTCATCAGTGTAGCTCTTCGCATTGACGCCAAGTCCCCGACTAGCAAAGGCCTTCCACAACAAGCACTTGTTGGCGCCGCCGTAGCGGTTCTGGTCTGCCTGTATCCATGCGTCACGCGCCGTGACGACTTAAAGTCGCGTTAGCAAAGTATAGTGTAAAAGGCGAGGAAGGCCGCTTACACGTCGGGTTGCAGGGCTGTAAGCGGAGAGCGTCGAGGAAGAGGTGCAAGAACACAACATTGCCCTGGGTTCCGTCGGGATTGGTCTTTGCGGTCGTCGAGAATCCGTGTGCGCCGACGAGGGCTGCGTAGACGTTGTGCAGCATGTTGGCCCAGACTTCACCGATGTCTGTGGCAAAGAGGGTCAAACGAAAATGGGTGAAGGTGTGAGATGACGTACTGTGAACCTCGTTAAGAGTCTTGATGCTCGAATACCTCAGGGGGTTGGTCGTACTATCAGCGCATGTTAGCTGACGGCGTCAGAAGTAGTAAAAAAGAGACGAACGCCGAAGTCGAGTAAGGATGGGTGCGGATGCCGTTCTTGTTGTTCGTGACGTAGTCGCCCATAACGTAGTCGGTGATGGTGGCGGATTTCTGCTCGGACCATCTGATGAGGGAATCAATATATAATCGTAGGGAGGCAGGCGTCAAACACGTACTCGGCCATGGCATCAGACCAGCCTTCACCCATTCCGCCAGCCTCAGTCGTCTGGAGACAACTTCCAGTTCCCCCACCCGTCATTCGGTTCGTGATACCATGGGTCATCTCGTGAACGACGATGTCGTTCTCCAATGCACCATCGCGGTTGGGCTGGCGGTCTAAGTTAGTATGGGCATTTTCTTCGAGAAAGATGGATATGCGTACTGTGGTGTAAGTCCAGGTGTACCTAGAAAAATATTTCGTTAGATTAGCCCTTCAATAGCGCAACGAAAAGATCATACATTCTGCATTGTCCAGGCTGACCGCTAAAAAATCAAGTCAGCATTCAATCTTACCAAAAAAGAAAATCGGAGCTTACTCAGGTGGAGTAGCGAAGTTAGCGTTATTAGTTCCGCTCGAATCCTGAACGGAGATCTGCACGCGATCATTTCCACTGCCGCCCTTTCCAAAGTTATTGGTCTGGAAGTTAAACGCCGCTTCTGTAAATCCATAGCGATAGGCATAGTCATGCACGGTATTGATCAGGTAAAAGGCGTTAACGCGGGCAGCATCGACGTTATTGGCGACGGATGGCGCTTGAGAGGTCGAATAGGTATACTGAAAGTTAAGCCCCGTTGAACTCTGAGAAGTCGTGGCGGTGGTTGAACCCTTGTATGAGACGACGTTGTTTCCACTGGACATACATCAGCGACTGTGGAACCGTGAAGGGAAATATACCTACGCAGTAGTCGTGCTGCTCGTCGTGCCGGTGTTGTGCCAACCCAAAGAAGAGGCGAGAGTGTCCTGAGGGTCTGTGAGGGTCTCCAAGCCTTCGGTCAAAGTCCTCTTCGTGATGGGCAGCACAGTATACTACGTGATACCGTCAACAATTAGTCCGGAGGCCTCTTCGAATAGCAAAAAACGCACAGAGGCTTGAGCGACGAAATCAGTAGCAGAGAGAATTTCTCCGGAGTGCGCATCGACGTGGACTTCATACCAACTATTGACCTCCTCGTTTTGAATTTGAATAGCGTGGACGAGAGCAGCTGATCCATCAGGTCGGGCTAGGTAATGGACAGCGGTAGGAAACCCGTTGTATTTCCCGTTGAACGCCTGTTCCGCCTTGGAGATGACGGACTTCACGTCAATCGTTGGCTTCTCAGAGGCGATTTTACCTGTAAAGTAGTCAGACATTGGATAGATATGAAATACGACATTACGTACTTGGCTTGACGAAGGAGGAGCCGAAAGAAACAACTTTGTCGTCTTTCCAGGCAACGTTGGCGACAGCGTTGATGAAAGGGATTCCTTTCTACATCCCAGAAGAAGTGTCAACGATGCGGTGAAGGTGAGGCATATGGTAAGTACACACATGGGTTTGTCTGACATACGCGAACTTTTCCGCGGACGCAGTGTACCCACTCTTATAGCCAACCGTGCTGGGATCAACACCGAGACGGCCTTGGACGAAAGCAATGGCGGTGTCGTTAAGCCCACTGGCAGATGAGCCGAAAGAGGTAGGCTGGGGGAGGCCCTCTCCAAAGACCTACGCAGCCAGCAGCGTGAGATTTTGATAATGGTGCCATGGGGAAACAACGATCGTACCTCAAAAGACGAGGGTGGGTGATAACTCTCGATCTTGAGGTCACGGCTGATGTGCCTTACGCGATGGGTAGAGTGATCAGCGCTGAGAGGCGAGGGGACTGCGCTTGTCAATGAGGCATAGACGACGGCCAGATAGACAGAGGCAAAGAATTTGTTGAAAGACGGCATGGCGAGTGGCTAGCTCAGGCTCGAGAGGAGGCAGAAGAGGCGATAGAAGTCTCCTGAGGTATCTCTCAGAGAGATTTCATCCTTTTAAGTCACTCCTAGATAAACATAAGTTCGAAGGTTTGCAATATTTGGATAGAAGGCTTGTGGTACGATAAGGCGTAATCTTGTGCAACGCAACCTGATGAGCACGTCTCCGCGTTGCCAAACCAGTTGATATCAATGAGTCTTGTTAATCACTCCTAATTTTGGAACATAGTTCGCATAGTACCAGACGACTGACTAGATCCAATAAGGAATATTCAATCCTCCATGAGGCGCCAGAATCTTGAAGAAGAAGAGTCACGAATGAATAAACATTTCTAGTCCACATGAGAATAGAACCCGTGAGGAGGACGTATCGGCCGAATTGTCCTATGGCAGAGATACGAAGTAGATATTTCGGGCTGGCGTAGGTCAGATGAATGATTTTCTTCATGTGAATATCTAGTGATCTACCTGTAATATAAAGTCAGTAGGTTGACTCGAATTTCAAGCTGTGAGCGTACTCCGTCTCCTTCCCTCGCATACCGCCGCTACTCGTGTCGCCCGTCGCGTCGACGTCATCCCATTAAGCGCCTACCTGGTGATTCCACCTAGATGCTCCTTCCGGGCTCGGAGAGTTGAAGTTGCCGCTCATCAACGAGAACCCCGACAGCAATAAGGCGCACAAGGTATACGCTTAGCAGAGCACAAGGCGAGAAGTCAGGTACGCCAACTTAGTCTCCGAGGTACTTCGACGACCATGCAGGTGTTTTTATTTGGTGGAATGCCAAGAGGGAAGCACACATTGATAGCAACGCGCACCGCACGATGTCGGGAGCCACAGGTCCGTGGCGCATGAATAGTGAACCTTTCTGCTCGAGGATTGGAAATTGTCCTGATGGTGTAGTAGCGGGACCCACAACCAGGAGATGCAGGATGTTGGTTGTGCGTTAAAGGACCTGTCAGGTTCGTGATGAGATATCATAGAAGAGAAAAAGGAACTAACATGAACATGACTTGAACTAACTCAGCGTTGTAATTCGCAGACTCACAGTGTTGGCGCCAGCGCCATGGCGATAGTGGTCAAGCCTGAGGTCATTCGAAAAAGAAGGAAGTGTTTGGCAAGGAGGGGTAAGGTAAACAAGCCTGAAAATTGCATCTTTCTCGAATCTCAGGCTGTTTCTCATCTTCGTCCTGAATCTGATATGAGGTCAACCAAATCCCTTAAATCCCAGCATCAATGCCCCCTCTTCTCCCCTCAAAATATCTCAAGACATCTCCCTAGCTTGTCTGAGTCTCCAGAGCTTCGTTGAGCCGATGCTTCTGTTTGATATATGGATGTCATGATACTCACCCTTTTCCACCTCTCAGCATTCTTACAGTACGCACTCCTAACACAGGGACGCCTAGCCAAAGGTTTCTGCTATGTATGTGAACCCTTCTAATTCTTGGGCTACTTGCCAAAATATTTGAACTGTGCGTGTAAATTGAGGCAGGATCGCACAAAATTGTGCAATGTATAAATGTGATCTATACCAGAGTTTGCGAAACTCTGCCAAATACTGGTGATCGAGCATTTCTGGTACTCTACAAAAACTACGCACGCGCCAGGAGGGTTCGGCCGTAGAAAAATTGAAAGGTAGGCCCATTGAAAATGCAAAGCCTTCCGAGGACAATTGGTAAAACTATCCGATTCGGACAACTTCAGCTAAAAGAGAAAGATTGAATATTCCAGAGATCGTTAATCGCCTAACACGAGCTGGGTACACAGCACAAGACTCTCCCCCTCCCCCCAAAAAAAAGAAGACTTGTTACAGCGCTTGGTACCCTCGATAATATTATCCTTTCCGGTTTCACGCATTTAGAATGGCGAAACCGAGCCATAACTCTCGTGATTCACATCTACAATCTAGAAAAAATGAAAAATCATCAATACCCCCAGCCAAAAAGGGAAAAAAAAACCACACACCACCAGTGAGAACCTGGCCATACTCTAATCCCATTGAACCACCCATCAATCCTATAGTCCCGCCACGCAGGCTCATCCTTTACATCCACCCCTTGTTTCCCAATCAATTCTATCCAGTCTAGAGTTTGCGTATGTATGTGCGCGGTCTCCCTGTCGGCGGAGAAACATATCTTTCGAAGGGGATGTTTAGCTCCCAGATGCAAGGCGGAGCTGGAACTCGAATGCAAGTGCTCCGCACCCGCACCCAATTGCAAAGACAACTCCCAACCCAACCGCGTCGTGACCATTTCCACGAATAGTCGGTGGTTCTCCGGATCCATGCTATCACACCCCATGTCCAGTACTTCTAAATTCGGGACAAGGAGATAAGACGCGATACCACGGAGTATCGCGTCCGAGATCGGCCTTACCGTGGTGTATCGGTCGGGATAGAAATGAAGGCGTAATACTTTGACGGCGGTGCCAATGTACTCCAAGGTGCAGAGCAAGTACTCTGCACTGACAGCTACGTTGACCATTGAAAATTCTTCAATGGAGCAAGAGGACCGGTCGATTAAGGCCTGGAAACTCGCTTGAGACCACTGCTTCTCCCCTTTAATGGTGAGTATTCGGAGAGAGGGAGTCGTAATGGCGTTAATGATATTCATGGTCGATATCCGCCCTCGGATATTCAGTGTGTGTAAATGTGGAAGGGTGAGTTTTTCCTCTGAAGTCACGAACACATTATTATCATTGACGTGCAACTCGCAGTCGCGGATGTTCGGGCACGTCTTCAGAATTTGCATTATATTCGGCGCAGCCGTCGCGTTGAGCGTCAACGTATGCAGTCGTGGGGAGGAGGTCCAGATCATGGGTATTATGTCACCCAGACTCCTGAATCCCAGATCGGAAGGCTGGGGATCGACGCTATCAGGCGGGAAGCACAGCTCGAGGTTATCAAGCACCGTAGAAAACGCTGTAGAAGGCACATATTCGGTTCGTAAAGGATGTTCGTAGTAAAGAAGGTCGCGGAGACACATGTGCACAGATTTCCAGCGTGAGAGGTGTTGGAAGAATAAGTGGATCAACGACAACACGTCATTAGGCCCCGGGTCGCACCCCCGATCGGTGTCTACCGGTAAGCAAATCGACAAGGGCATGGATTTGGATCGCTCCAGCCATAATCTGGCCAGCGGAAAAGCTGGGCTGCACTTCCCCGTGCTGGAGCGGCGTACTTTAAAAGACGCCCAAAGAAGTGGGTATGCGAGTGCCACGTCCCGCCAATACTTACATATTTGGCATAGGAGCAATGGGGCGGCTTGAGGATCAGCTTCAACAAAGCCCTCAGGAAGACAAGCGAGGAAGATGGATTGGAGGATCTCGACGGGGACGCGGCGGATGGGGGAGAGGAGACATTTTTGGTAGGCTACACGCTCCCGCGCGTCGGCTAGATCTCTGAGGTATGGTAATAGGAATGATTCGAGCCATGAGACGCGCTTGATGTCGTCAGAAAGGTGCAGGGAAAGTACACCTATGTCAAGGATGTGCCCTTGTTCAGTGTGGGACCTGAAGGCTTTGGTGGATATATATTCTGGATTTGAAGATGGGAGAGTGAGAAGGAGTTCGGAGAAGGAGGGGAAGGGTTTTGACCCATGGTTTTTGTTATCGTTCATGGTGGTATTGGATTATCAGATCACGGCCCACGTGTTCCAGACTACAACTTACAGGACAAAAATTATCAAAGGTAATACAAAATACCTATGTAACGTAATGTACGTGGAACGAATTTCCACGAAAGGAGTACAGTAAGTCTGAACTCAATGCAATGTTTGTTTTGTCATATTCAGGAAATATTTCTTGAGAGTTTCCTTTGTGACAAAAGCACCGATTTCAACCAAATTTCAACATAAACAAAAGTACAGGCACAAGGAAGATTTTTTCAGTCGTGTTTTTTTTTTACGAGGGACGCTACAAATTGCAGGAAGTCTTTTTGAAAGATAAAAACCCAGAAATAAAATATCCATCTCTCGCCAAATTCAAGAAGTCGACTAACTCTGACTAGGCCATCAAGAGGGGGTTTGACTTATGATAGACGGTTTTCTAGTTTACAAAGTACCAGCCTTTAAAGTAACATAGAGATGCCATATTCTATCTCTTTTCTTTAATATTTTTAAGGTCCTCAACAACGTGTTTTTCTCTCATATTAGACTTTCCAAAAGGAGGACCAAGGAATCATGATGAAAAGTAGATGACCCCCCGTAAGGGAAGGCTCTGGAGCAAAGGTTCCTAACTATTCCGGACGGCCCAGGCGCTCCTCGTGTCTGCAAACAAAAACTTATCAAGACTCCCAAGAAAGGAAAATTAGAATGAAAGCAAAAGTTACTCACCAATGCGGGCAAAGCGTCTCATTGATTCTAATCACAAAAAGCCTCTCATCGATCTTCTGTTGAAATGCGCCACTCGGCGACCCGCCGCTGATGCATGGTGCGGCATTCATGCTGGAGAGTGCCAGTGGCACTGACGGGGAACATGTTTTTCGGAGGTGGGGACGCACAAGCGAGCGTGAAGGTTCGGAGGTCTACCGTGAGGATGAAAAATTCAACTGCAGTCCCTGTGACCTTGGCTGTGCCATGTTGTCTGTGATATAAGTATTTCGTCGTGGTACATAGTGAATTGCGCACACGTGCCGCTTGTCCGAACAAAACATGCCCAAAAAGGATGTCAAAGGCGGGAGATTATAGATTACGTTATCAAGAACAACAAAAGAACGTCCATCTCAATATTGGCTTTGTTTTATCTTTGTACTTTGTGTATATAACACTTTCTGTTATTACCATGTCTCGCAACCTCTTGTCTGCAGGCCCATTATGTCCGTGTCGATCAACATCGTCCCCTCGTCTTCGCGCCTGCACATGTTTGGCGACCCAGATCCTCTGTAAGTTTCATTGCTTTGCTGTTGGTTCCATACTTATGATCGTAGCTCTGCATACTCTCTATCAGGACACGTTTCCATCTCGCTCTCATCGCCCTACTCCTTTTTTTCCACCCGCCGCACCGCCCGAGTCCTCCTGGAATCCGTCTCCCTGACGTTTGAAGGCCAATCAGAAATCAACACACCTGAAACCGGGTATGCCGCCATCCGCCTCTGCTCTGTCTCTCGCGACGTTGCGCCTTCCGAGCCCATGGAACTGACAAACCATGGCCACGAAGACGATACCTGTACGTGTTTTGAAACCAACCACGACGCGCCACTGACTTAGTACGAAGGCCAATGGAACGTCATCTTCAACCTTCCCATCCCAGGCTGGCTACCAGCGACTAGTACCCTCGGATTGGAAGAACTCGGTGTTCGGTATGCGCTATACGCTACTGCAAAATTCATCATGCTAGATTCGGAGGACAACCACCGCCATTCATGGAGCTTAGCAACGCTTTGTGCGCCTTTTCGCTCGCGTGTTAGATCCGTAGACGCCAGCACCCCCATCAAACTCGACCGCTTCATCTCGCCTGACCCCCATCCCCCTCCGATGACGAACTACCTCGTGAACCCGACGCCGAAGGATAGCCCACGCATTCCCCGAGAGGTATTGTCAAAGATACAAGTTTTAGCGTCGGTGCCAGAGTTTGTGAACATCCAAGACACATCGGTACCAATAACGCTCCGCATGCGCACCAGAGATCTAACAGGGGACGAATGCAAACGACTACAAATTGCCAACCTATCCATCAACATCATCCAACACGAAAAATTCCGCATCCGCCCCTCCCCTGCATACTTGACGTCCTTCCCACTACCCCCTGCTCCCATGCAACCACCCAACCTCCCCCTTCGTGACCCACACCCTATAAGCACGCTCTACGATCTCTCCATCCTCCATGCCTCTTCTTCTGGCAACGCAGAAGCCATCACCCGGTCCTTTTCTCTCCTTCCTCGCGGTGACGATGGTACCTATAAGCTCTCCTCAGACAACTACGCCTTCATTGACGACTTTAAACTATCCTCCGACGCAACACCGACGTGGTACACCATGGAAACACATGTCCCCTTTGCTCAACTGAGCTCAGCGAGCGTGGATGAGGAACAGGAATCGTGGGCAGGCGAGCCCGTCATTAGGGAGAGCGCGGCCGGGGCGCTTTGGGTCGTGTGGCACGATTTGAAGGTGGATGTGACGTTCTTGTATGATTTGGATGGTGGGGAGAAGGCGAGAGAGACGTTGGGGTTTTCAGTCCCACTTAGGTTTGGAAGGGAGGCGCCTTTGCGTTCGCTCGATTCGACAACGACACCTCTATCTCCGCCCTCACTTTCACATCTCAAAGCAACACTCCCGCCGTACTCGCAGCTCTACGACTCGAATGGCGATCGGAAGATTGATTATTCAGTCCCGCTGCCGCTTTATACGCCCCCAAAGTTGCCTCTTTATCAGACGGCGGAGGGGGAGAGGGATTGGAAGGATGGGTTGCGGGCAGCTTTATGATGAAGAGGAGATATTAACAGAAATGAATACCTTACTGTACTACTAAATTCCTTTCACTAAAATTCGTTCTGCATACGTTACTTACATAAAATTCCCTACATAGTTATTTTGTATTACCTTCGATGTTTGTTTGGCAGCAAATGTGTTTGTACAATTGGGATCCCCTTCACTAAAATTCGTTCTACCTACATTACGTTACAAAGTTACTCTGTATTACCTTTGATGATTATCGTCCTTTGTTACTTGTAAGTTGTAAGTACATAATTTTGCAGCAAATGCAGCGGTCCGAAACATGTGGGCCGTGGATCTGATAATCCAATACCACCATGAACGATAACACAAACCATGGGCCAAAGCCCTTCCCCTCTTTCTCCCAACTCCTTCTTGCCCTTCCCTCTTTAAATCCAGATTATATATCCACCAAAGCCTTCAGATCCCACATCGAACAAGGGCACATCCTCGACGCGGGTGTCCTTTCCCAGCACCTCTCTGACGACATCAAGCGCTTCTCATGGCTCGAATCATTCCTATTACCATACCTCAGAGATCTGGCCGACGCACGGGAGCGTATAGCCTACCAAAAATGTCTCCTCTCCCCCATCCGCCGCGTCCCCATCGAGATGATCCTCCAATCCATCTTCCTCGCTTGTCTTCCTGAGGGCTTTGTTGAAGCTGATCCTCAAGCCGCCCCGTTGCTCCTATGCCAAATATGTAAGTATTGGCGGGACGTGGCACTCGCATTCCCACTCCTTTGGGCGTCTTTCAAAGTACGCTGCTCCAGCACGGGGACGTGCAGTCCAACTTTTTCGCTCGCAAAATTATGGCTGGAGCGATCCAAACCCGTTTCCTTGTCAATTTGCTTACCAGTTGACACCGATCGGGGATGCGACCCGATGCCTGATGTATATTCTTCCACCACCTTTCACGCTGGAAATCTGTGCACATGTGTCTCCGCGACCTTCTTTACTACGATCATCTCTTACAACCCAAGGATGCGGTTTTCACAGGGCCTTTCTAAGGTGCTTGAAACTCTCGAGCTGTGCTTCCCGCCTGATAGCATCGACGACCGAGCCCATCTGGGATTCAAGAATCTGGTGCCCATGATCCAGTGGAACTCCTCCCCACGGCTGCACACGTTGACGCTCAACGCGACGACTTCACAGCATGTACTGCTAATTCTGACGACGTGTCCGAACATCCGCGACTGCGAGTTGCACGTCAATGATGAGAATGTGTTCGTGATTCCAGAGGAAAAACTCGCCCTTCCACATTTACACACATTGAATATCCGAGGGCGGATATCGATCTTAAATATTATCAACGCCATTACCACTCCCTCTCTCCGAATTTTCACCATGAAAGGGGAGAAGCGGTGGTCTCAAGCAAGCTTCCAGGCCTTAATCGACCAGTCCTCTTGCTCCATTGAAGAATTTTCAATGGTAAACGTAGATATCAGCGCCGAGTACTTGCTCCGCACCTTGGAGTACATTGGCACCACCGTCAAGGTATTACGCCTTCATTTTTATCCCGACCGATACACCACGGCAAGGCCGATCTCGGACGCGGTACTCCATGGTATCGCGTCTTACCTCCTTGCCCCGAATTTAGAAGTACTTGGATATGGGGTGCGATAGCATGAATCCGGAGAACCACCGCCTATTCGTGGAAATGGTCACGGCGCGGTTGGGTTGGGAGTCTTCTTCGCAATCGGATTCGGGTACGGAGCCCTTGCATTCAGGTTCCAGTTCCCCTTTGCATCTGGGAGCCAAACATCCCCTCCGAAAGATATGTTTTTCCGCCGGCAGGGACACCGCGTACCTGCATACGGAAACTCTAGACTGGATAGAATTGATTGGGAAACAAGGGGTGGATGTAAAGGATGAGTCTGGATGGCGGGATTATAGGATCGACGGGTGGTTCAGTGGGATTAGAGTATGGCCAGGTTCTCACTGGTGAAGTCAGATATAATGCGACAAGAGATGGCAAAGAGATGGCGACAAACAAAGAACTTCGCCACGGACACAGTCAAAAAGTTATTTTTAGCAACATTCACTGGCAGATGCTTTGGTCACACTTGTGGGATGTTTTCCAACAAATGTCTGGTGATTTGACTGCTACCTTCAAGGAGCTGTCTCTTAAACCGTTTCTCAGAGAGCGGCACAATTTATAACCAAGGGATCGTGTGCGAGTTTACGAGTTGGTTAATATTCTAGAATTTTCAAGATCGATCGAATAACGCATTCCCGAATTTACGGACCGTCGCACAGACACATTTTTTCCAGAGATGTTTCAAAAGTATGTACACGTAAAACCTTGAGTCAGGAACATGCGGGGGCGGTCAGGAATGGTGAGTCGAATGATGAGCTGAAAATACGCAAATAAGTAAATTCTAATGGTAATAATGCTCGACAAGAAGGAGCTCTCCCCGAGAAGCAGCCGCCTCCATAAATCGCGGCCAAATGCGCTCAAGCGCCTTGAACAATAACGTCAAGCGGTCTTTCTTCACACACAACATATTAACGCTCTGTTGGGCTTCGCGTCGCCTCTTTCCCAGCGGAAGCGTCGACAAGTGAACCCACTCCCGAGCCCACTCCTTATATGCCAACCTTTTCTTGATGTATAGGCGAGACGCGGCCCTAACAAGAGTATCCTCATCGCGAACCTTGCCCAGAAATATAGTTAGATCTTTCTGCACAAAAACCGAGGCGAAATGTCAGCATGAACAATTGTAGGTCACAAAAAATGCCCTAACCAAAAGGTGTTCCTGGACATCTGCGCAACTTCCCGTCGTTCGTATAAATTCCCGAATCTTTTCGGTCGCTTCTTGTTGAAAACCACTTTGAAGTTTAGCATCCTCGTCGATGCTACGATTTGTCATCGGTTTCTTCCATTGCGGGTAGATGGGCGGCGCGGGGTGATGAAAGCGCATATTCACCCTATTATTTCACGAATCGATTAGTGTTAGCTTGACGTGCTGGCGGTCCTAATTCTAGATGAGGGCCCGAGTTGGCACCGACCTTTTTTAGCTCACCTGGGAGCCGTGCAGAGCACGCGTGTCAGTGAAGGTTGGGTAATGGCCTCGGCTCTTAATAAACCGCCGCGCGCGACATTAGGGTGAGTGCCAGAAAGCTTGGGTCATGGTTGGGTCATGGGCAAAGGGAACGTATTCTGCGGAAACGGCGTTGGTCAACAAGGCCAAATACTAGCTGGAGTCGAGGAAAAGTGCCACCAAACCACCACGCCTCCAGCCCAGAGCCACATGTGGTTTTTATTCGGTCAGGTCAACCCTTTAAAGCTTCGGCAGGCGGAGCGTCACAAACACGCCTCAACAGTTTGATAGAGTGGGGGACTGCGATAGATTGTGAGGCTGCGACAAAGTTATGCTTGAGTGATGATTGCGAGTGCTACTTATATACAAAGAATGCTATTAGTTCCGAGTTCAAAAACATAACAATGATGCGTAAGTATGATATGTGGACTGCTAGAAGGGATGGGCGGCAATCAGATTAGCCTAGTTATCTTGCTTCCCAACTTTTGAGATGGCACCTATGCAGACGGCTCAGGTGTGGAAGAGGGCTCCTCCGTGCTGGATGGATCGGTAGTGGGCGTAGAAGTCTCGCTCGGAATGGAAGCTTCTGACGTGGTAGTTGGGGCGGGGGCAGTACTGGCGTTGCATTCATTAGGAACGGAAGAATCATCCACGTAGTTCTTGGCGTTGACACCCAATCCACGGCTGGCAAACGCTTTCCAGAGCAAACACTTATTGGCACCATTGTATCGATTCTTGTCCGCCTGGATCCAAGCATCGCGCGCGCTCACGACTAAAGAGACAGCAATGTCAGCTTTGAAGAGCGGTAATATAAAGAATGTGGAGCGTACATGTAGGATTGCAAGGTTGTAGAGCAAGAGAGTCAATAAAAAGGTGAAGGAAAACGATGTTGCCCTCTGGTCCATCGGGATTGGTAGCCGCAGTCGTCGAGAACCCGTACGCTTCAACGAGGGGTGCGTAGACATTGTGGAGCATGTTAGCCCAGACTTCGCCGATGTCTGACAAACTTTTGAGACAGATTGAAGGACTTCTCGGATAAATACATACTATGGACTTCGTTGAGAGATGCAATGCTGGAATATCTCAAGGGGTTGACAGAGCTGGAGCGGAGGTCAACCTGGGATTGGAGGGGAAATGGTGCAGGATCGCTTACGGATTGGTAGAGTAGGGATAGTTGCGAATCCCAGCAGGCTTATACACATATGCACCCATAACGTAGTCAGTGAGGGTCGCCGACTTTTGCTCAGTCCACCTATAAGAACGAGAACATCGACATGAATGTGATAAACGAGAAAAAAGGAAGATACGCACTCAGCGAAAGCATCTGACCAGCCTTCGCCCATACCACCAGCCTCCGTCGTCTGCAGGCATCGACCAGTTCCACCTCCCGTCATGCGGTTTGTGATGCCATGGGTCATCTCATGCACAATGATGTCGTTTTCAAGAGATCCATCGCGGTTAGGCTGCAAAGACGGAAAGAAGTCAGAGTCATTGATACAAGACATGAACCCAAGCTAACGGTCGTCGTCGTCCAGATGTACATCCTGCATTGGCCGGATTGACCACTGGAAACTGATTAGCAGCAGGCTGGACAGAAGATCAAGTCCACGTACTCGGGAGGAGTCGCAAAGTTGGCGTTGTTCGTTCCCGACGCATCCTGCACGCTCATGAGGACCCTATCGTTACCAGCACCACCCTTGCCAAAGTTGTCTTGCTGGAAGTTGAAGGCCGTCTCAGTGAATCCGTATCGATAGGCAATATCATGGACGGTGTTGATGATGTAAAAAGCGTTGGTGCGGGCAGCGTCGATGTTCTTCCCACCTGTGGGCGCTAGGCTAACATCGTAGGGGTAATTGAACACGAGGTTAGGAGAGCTTTGGGCGGTGGTGCTGGTTTGCGAGGATTTATAGGCAATAACGTTGTTGCCTCTACAAGAATGAAAAACGTTAGTATTCCAATGAAGGATAACAAAGGAGGATGTACGAACTGGGTATCGGTGAAGTTTTTGGTGCTCGTGGCGTGCCAGCCCAAAGGAGAAGCGATCAAATCCTGGGGGTCAGTAAGGGTTTCTTGGCTGTCAGGGAGGTACTCCTTTTCGATTGGAAGGACGGTGTACTGGTAAAGACCAGTTAATATCGAAACATAGCAAAACCCGCGAGAACCAGCTTACTGAAGCATGGGAGACAAAGTCATTTACGGAGAGGAGTGCCCCAGTGTGCGCGTCAACAAAAGCCTCAAGCCAGCTATCGTCCGCATCACTCTGGATCTGAATGACATGAGTTAAGGCTGCTGAACCGTCCGGGAGTGCGACATATTCGACTGAAGCGGGATGGCCGTTGTGCTTCCCACCAAGCGAGGATTCCGCTGCTGAGATAGCTGCGTTGAGATCGAAACTAGGCTTGGATGGGGCGATCTTCCCTGAAGAGGGTGGGTTTGATGAGGAAAGAAGGCAAGGGGAACAGACAGAAACGCACAAGGCTTTATGAAGGAAGAACCGAAGGAAACGACCTTGTTTTTGTTCCATGCAACGTTGGCGACGGCGTTGGCAAAGTTAATGCCGTTCTGGGGATGACAACATCAGATTAGGGTAACCAATGTGACGAAACTCGTACATGTGTCTGCTTAACGTAAGCATATTTGTTTTCGCCTCTGGAATACCCACCCTTGTATGTCACAGACCCTTCACTCAGTCCGAGTTTCGAAAGAATAAATGCGATGGAGTCCCCCGCTATCTCTCCGATGAGGGACGAGGCATGTTCGACCCCTTCTCCGAAAGTCTGCAAAAGTAGCGAGGTGAGCGGTGGGTCCAGACAAGCATGAGATGCCTAGATACCTCGTACGACGTTTCGGGATGGTATGCCTCAACCTTGACGTTCCCGATCGTCCTAACGCGATGAGTAGAGAATTTGGCGGAGATAGGGGAGGGTGCAGCGTTTGACACGGAGGCGTAAACAATGGCGAGATAAACGCTCGTGAAGAATTTGTTGGAAGATACCATTGTCGTTTGCTGGTAAAGCGTGTGGTGTAAATGAACGTGTAAGGCCTATGACCAAGGAAGGGGAAATCAAAAACGAGTCTTGGCCTCCGAGTGTGCGCCTCCGCCTTATAACAAAGAAAGATTGCCAGGGCATCGCCAGGGGGGCTTGAGCGCATGGTAAAGATTACTTGTTCTTGGCAAGTGGAATTTCATGCTCGTGAGCATGGAAGGATAGAAGGGCGCCTTCGGAGACAATGACTCTGAGATTTGAGATCCCACCGCGCACCGACGATCATGCTTGTGAAAACGACGGTTTCCATGAAGCGATGGCATGCACAAGGTCATACGTGTGACCCAAGTGTCCAATGTCCGCGTCTCGTGCAACATGTAGAAGCCTTTACAAGGGCGCTGATTGGAGCTTTCGCAAGTAAAAAACGTCTTTCTGCGTCCATATGTTGATCAGTAACTCTACACTGCACAACAAGAAGTCGAACCTCTTCGAGTTGGTTGCTCGGACTGCGTGTTGACTACATGTTGCCAGAGCGCGGCACAAAACACCTGATTGTTGTCTACCATGAAGCTTGTGGGCACGACCTTCCACAATATCCATGCCTTCCAGTGTGGGTAGCCATTTTAAGATGCATCGCATCAACTGCCATGACTGCACCAGAATAACATTTGTTGACATTTGTTACTTTCACAAGCATCGGCTCCACCCTTTCTGAATAATCATATATATTATGAAAGAACGCTCACAAGTCACCTACTCGTACACCTGCGGCTACCGGTACCTTGAAATTTAAGCGTTCTAATTTTGCCCAACGCCGCAACATCCTCTCAACTCCCAAAGTTCATGTCGAGGTGATTCAAGTCGTTCAAAATATTTTGCATTGCAATAGCTCTCAGTTTTCAGATACAATCTACTTTACAAAAAAAAAAGTGCATGAATAACATTTGAAAAAAAAAACAAGGACAAGACGAGCTAGATATAAACGTCAAAACTATATAAAAATCTAAAAATCTAATAAAATCAAAGAAGCTAATTAAATAATCCCGACTCCAGTAAAATTAGAGCAACAATCTGAAGAACATGATGGCGGTGCGAAAACTGAAAAATATAGCAGTGATCCGGAGCAATAGTAAATAGGTACGGCGTCTACAAACAATTAGTCAGTTCTAGGAAGCCGAAAAAAATTGAGAGGATCGCCGACCTAGACTTCGTCGACCTCCTCCATAAGCCGCTTCAAAGCGACTTCGGCGGCAGCCTCTTTGGCGCGTTTCCTGTTCGACCCTTCCCCTCTCCCGTATTCAATCTCTTTAACTATGAGGTAAAATATATTAGTACCATAAGAAGTGGTGGAATAAATTGCACGTACTGGTCACTATAATATTCCAGACCTCGGCATGCGCTGGACCAGATCGCTTCTCCTCATAAATGGGCATTTCCTTCCTGTAATGTTGACATTTGTTGTTGAGTTGATTGACAAATTCTAAAATAATTTGGGGTCAGCAAAGAGCGTTGACATGTCAGAAAAAATAATTGACCAGGCATCTTTTGGCGTGCTGCTAGGAGTTCTTTCTGGGGAATTTTCTTGGGATGGGGACTTGGAATGGGATGGGGGTCCTTTGGGCGTGCTACTGGGAGTTCTTCCTGAGGAATTATTCTGGGATGGGGGCTTGGGACGATTTATTTTGAATGCTTCTGTCTACAGCCCGACTGTGAAGGGGTTACCCTACATCTGAAAACTCTACTACTCGAGAGTACTGAGGGCCGTATTCTGCGGGACAAGATTTTCGTCAGCAACCACAATTTCATTCCGAAGAGGACGATACATTGACATTTGACGTTCATTGAAAATTCAGTACTACTCAAAAAAATCGAAAGCATTCGGCGCTTCTTTTTCCAAATAATTCTTGAGTGTTGTAAAAGTATACACAAGCGTCGAGGCGGGTGGGACTTTTCAATATCTGTGTAGGGCTGTAGATTTCAATCTAAGTCTGGCATTTCATTCAACGCTGAACTGGATAGCACCACAAAGAGCTTCACCATGATCAAAAAGAAAGGGACCCGACACATACCTCGGGATGAGAAATCTCCTACTTTCTATTCTCATCGCACTTCCGATCAAGGAACACACCATTGCTACAACTTTGCTATTTATCGCTTGTCCTATAAAATTCGAGGCAAAGTTGAATTTTCAGGGGTGATCAACGCGCCTTTAAAAAAAGGCAACAGCATTGAATGAGCTGTGACGATTCAGGCTCTGAGTAAAGGGACCAAGAGTCTTAGGGAAAGCGTGATGGCACATCGGAGGATAGAATTCTCCTCGTTCATTAAATTATTCAATTTAAGCAGCGTACCTGAAACACTAAAACCTTCACGAATGATTATACCAAAAACCATTTCCAATCCACCGGATGGATGTCTTTGAGAAGTAACCGTCAGAAAAAGAAAGAGAACGTTGCAACGTGCTTCAAGATCATCCGTTGTCGGTGCGGAAACGTAGAGGTGCATCTGTTAGGAGTGGAAGATTGGCGCCTATTTTTTAAGTCCGCAATCGCCACGAGGTCTTCGTGTGGCGGTCGGCGCTAATTTAATTTTTTGACATATGAAAATTCGGGTGTCGTTAATAGTCCCGTGAACGCCCTTCCGGCGGTAGGGGTCCATCTGCCAGTTGTCTTTTTCCATGTAAGAAAGCGCTGAGGTATCTAATATTTATTCCCTCGATTGGTCTGGGTTTCACAGAATTACGGCTGATCGAGCGAAGGGAGCGAAGCTCAAGCTCTCGGAGCCGGATGTTGGCCGAAGTACAGGCCAAATGCAGCATCGATCACTTCATTATATGAAGGCTAAGAACTTTAGATTTGCCATTCTCTCCGAACGGTTGGGTCGGTTTGGGGGATAAAATGTCAAAAAGGTGAGCTTCGGGCACCGTTTTCCGAAAGAAAAGAGCGCTCATCGATGAATTATAAATCAGAATCTATGAGGGAATTTATGGTAAAGCACAGAAGGAACGCAAATTCGGGGTAATTAAACAGAAGTAGGATTGTGGTGCAAAAATATAAGGACTAGTACCGTAAAAAATCAAACAAAGGAACAAAAAAGAATGATGAAGCCGAGGAAGGTAGAGGGAGGAATTCAACGGTATGGGGTGGGGAGTGAAGAAACCGGGGAAACACCTGCGTTAAAGCGCCTCCAAAGCCTGCTTAGCAGCAGCAGCTTTTGCGGTGTCCCTGTTCTTCCCAACTCCTTTACCAAACTCGATCTTGTCGACTAAATCCCGTGGAGGTTACTGAGGATTGATTCTGGATAGGAGGTCTTACCAAAAACGGTGATGGTCCAAGTCTCATCATGCTCGGGGCCTTGACGGTCTTCGGTGTACTCGACAGTTTTCTTGAGCTTTTGGCCTTTGTTGTTGAGCATGTTGACATATTCTACAGCGACCAATTAAATGAATCGACAAAATGAAATTGACGTGGTGCAGGAAGACGTACCAGGCATGTTTGGCATAATGAGGAGTGAGAGGCTAGATGAGGAGAGCGACGAGGAAATAAACCTTCAGTTAAAAAATTCCGCCCTCCACCTCGTCCTTTTAACTCTGGCTCACATAGGCCAAGGATGCTATGCGACAGATACCAAGACCTCTGATGATTGCTGATAACGACGGAATGAGATATCACACCTCTTTTGAAACAGAACCATTCGGATCGTGCGCGAAGCTGTTTTTCAAAGTAGAAAAAAAATAAGCCATTCATTACCGACATTAGCGGGTGATGTACTCACAGCAATAATCAAGCTAGCCTGGCACAATTGTTTTTTGAAGGATGCACCACAGCAACTTTGCAACTTTATGAGCGACCTCAATACGGTGTTGATGAAATTTTAAGCGACTCGCAGAGAACTCGATTTTTGGTGCCGAGAAGCGCTGGCCTATACCAAGATGAAGCGGAGGACGCTCCGGTAAGTTCGCGTCATAAACAAGCTGTTGAGAACTGGCGGGCTACTGGAAGTAGCCGTTTTTATTACAGATAATGCCGACGTCAGCAGGTTGAACAAGGGTATCAAAGGCCACGTTTTCCTGCAATTGAACCATCATCCCGATGATCCGTTACAGGTCAAATACGTTCAACACTTACGCGTAAATCAGGGATGTATAAACTTGCGCAACCACTAGCCGTTGTCAAGTTGTCCCGTACTGGATTTCGCGGAAAGCTGGGCGTTTATTTTGAGAACCCGGCGGTATGTTGTCGAGTAACCGTTCCCGGACTCCGACGAGGTTAACTCCGTCGTTGTTATCGCATCATTTGGCTTCTATGTAGAACTTCGACGCGCACTGGTTGTGTGATGTGTACTAGGTTTGCAGACTCCGCTGGACAAGGTCGAATCTCGACCAACCACTGCTTTGGTAACCTGTAGTATGTTTATTTAGAGTGACCACGAGCTGCCACATAAGGGATCATCGATGGAGTCATCACCACGGGGAAGGAGAAATGGACCTTGATTGAGGTAGGCTGTAATTCTGTGTCGAAAATGATTGCATGGGTGACTCTAGTCCCTAAACGTACCCAGGGGAAACAAAATATCTTCTTGAGCGACGCAGTCCTAGACTTGTGCTCCAGCCTCATAAAAAGACGGGCGAGCAGAAATCCGAAACAGAAACTTGGTCGAGTTAATATGTACTCCTGATCTAACCGGCCGGGAAGTCAGTCAGGTATACAGATAAGACATCGGAAAAAGCAAAGAAAACATTGTAAGACGTAAGACATAGCTGCGCAATCCAAGTGATTGGTTGCCTATCTGACGTGCCCTACAAAATTTTCCGGTCAGAACACTCCTCCGCACGGATCCAAAATTACGTACCACATCCGCAAGCTGTAACAACCATCGTAGCCTGGAAAATAGGTGTGATTGTAGAACGTCAGTTTTTTTGAAAAGCAAGCCGCCATCGGCACTTCGATTAGTCTTATTTTACAATGTGTCCTAAAGTTGCTGTGCGCTGTGCAGATTTACAACACGGGCTGGTTCATGAAGGCGACAGATCCGCTCCGGCTGGGCTCAAGCGTAACTCCTTCCGGCCAACATGAGGCAGCAATTTTGAGGAGAAATACGAGTCGAAGGCTGTCACGTTCCAGTGGCGAAACGCGTTTCATACAGCACGTGACTCAAAGCCATGCCCAGACCAAAGCTACAGCGGGAGAGATTGTTGGGTTGTAGAGCTGTCAAAATCGGTCTTGCAGTCGCAACCGGAATGAACAGCACATGGATGTTTTGAAGTTGTGAGTGTTTGTCACGATGTTCGCGTTTTCGAGCACGCGCCGTCACATGATTCCGGCACATGACAATGTTCTGATGTTCTCAACAATTCAACAACAATTGAAGCGCCAGCTCAAAGTCGGCGAAGGATCGAGGCTCGCCAATTACCTTGCGTTGGTGAAGGCGCAAGGCAGGTAGCCACTAATCAAGTCCATGAGTCAGGCTTTGCCATACAGGTGATAAGGACCAATTCAAGTCTTCATTTTTGCCGCTTGCTGGCACTCCAACTTTCTCTGGGTCGAGACGGACTCCTTCACTCGTAGCTGGGCGATTTCGTCGCTCCGATGAGGTCATGAATGGAAATGACGATCGTCTGACGATGCGTCGATCGACATTGTTTCTGAGCCCCTCCGACGTCATTGCGGGACAACGTATAAAAAGCTTGCCTTTCCTTCCGTCAAGCATCCACCACCACAAAATAAATCAATATGAGCGATAATTACACCGGTTCAGGATTCCAGGGGGATTCGGGCGACGACAGTATGTTTCTTTCATCCATCAGCTAAAGGGTCTGATACGAGTGAAACAGCTGGCTTTGGCCAACAGCGTCGTGGCGGCCAAGGTTACCAGACGGGAGGTGATTATGGAGACGACTCTGGAAATACGGGATGTGGGTATTCCTAGTCCAACCTTTGCTCGAACTTGAGTGACCAAGAGTATTGGAACAGATGGAGGCAATCAGCAGCAACAGCGCAGCGGAGGCTGTACGCCCTCATCCTTCTCATGTTATAATTTAACTGAAAATTATATAGACCAGCAAAGTGGCGGCGACCAGTTCGGAGGTGGAGGCGATACCTGTACGTGACCCTACTCAGTCCTTTTTCTTCCTTATCTAAATTCTCTCTTAGATGGCTCGTCCGGATACGGAGGCGGACAAAGTGGCGCAGGAGGCGGAGGATATACTGACGACGACTCATCCTCCAACAGTGCGTCCCCTTCCTAGTTTCCTTCATTAATCTGACATCTTCGCCTTTCAGTGGGACAGAGTGGCTTTGGCAATCAGGGTGGTATGGGAGGTCAAGGTGGATATGGCGGTCAAGGCCAGCGCGGATCTGGTGGGCAAGGTCAGGGCGGATATGGAAACCAAAGTCAAGGTGGGGACGGGGACCAAGGGTATGGAGGTCAAAGTGGATATGGGGGTGATCAGTCCGGGTACGGAAGCCAAGGCCAAGGACAGGGCCAAAGTCAGACGGGTATGTTTGCCCTTACGAGCTTTTTGACCATATTGATCATTTACTACTCTCTAGGTTCTGGTGGAGGCGGCCTCATGGGAAAAGCAAAGCACCTTTACGAAAAGGTTCAGGGCGGAGGGAACTAAAATGGGAACGGAGTGTCGATGAAAATGATGTATAATCTATTGAATTAATTATTTGTCTCACCTTCAACGATGAGCGCGCAACGAAAATGCGATACTGCCAACGATGCAGATAGTAAGCGTTGGAATAGTTCTCAGCAGGTAGTACTGACTTACGTCGTCCGGAGCTTTTCAGTAAATTTCCCCACAGCTGACGATGACAGTCAGTCTCCTTGAGTCACAGTGTCTAGAACGACATAGCTAAAGCCAGGACGATTAGCGACTGCCGAAGGAGGGTATGGGTACGCAGGCAACATATGGTCCGCTAAGGCCCAGCGTGGAAGACATGAGCAAGACACGGAGGCTGCGAGAGGTAAAACCCAGGAGGCCAGCGCAAGTGATCAGTCTTCGCGCGACTCGGTTGGAGGGTGGCTGAAGGATGTTGAGCGCAGGCGAGCCGAAACGTCTGAAGCAAAACAAACGCGGGATGAGGAGTGGGGATTTGGACATGGTGGAGAGGATGCTGGGTAGAAAAGGCTGTTTATGCGAGCGCGGGTCCCAGAACCTCCTCATGACGATACATGATTCCAAAATGGTAGGACAAAGCTTGGACAAAGCATGTACTGTTGTCACAATTTCCCCACATCCACCTCTTCCCAATAATACTTCCAAAGATCCGATAGGTCTCGCGCAGCATCAGCGCTAACGTCCTTCCACCCTCCTTCCTTCATCTCCCTATCAACGTTCTTGAGCGATTGAACGTCCAACCTATCACCCGCCCACGAACCCTGGTGCAATCTTGGAAAAGCGAGGTAGCCGATGTTCTCGGAAGTGGACCACACAATTCGCATGAGGAGCACTTGAGCCAGCCCCGGAGCTCCCTGAAGGCCGGTCTGTAGGTCGTAACGAAGTTGTCTATCCCAGTTGTCCGAAGTAGGTATTGCGTCTGAACGGACGTACTCGAGGCTGGTGAGGTTCCGCAAAACCCACACCTCCGAATGCGTGGGGTAGAACTCTGGGTCGGCCCAAAACCCATATCGAGAACTATCAGCAACGGCGTATTGGCCCCATATGAACAAGCTCGGGTCTCCACAAAAGGGGTAGATGCTTTTCGGTCTGTACTTCCAGATTTCGTCCACCTCTTTTGCTGTGAACGCATTCGGAATTTCCTCAGAATCGTCTCCAAGGCATATGATCCTGCTGCCAGCCCAGCTCCCTGGATATAAATTCTGAACAGGGTCGGGATCCTTCCCCGATCTATCCGTCAACATAGGTTGATGGGCGGAGCGCGTGTCATACGGTTTTGTTGGGACCGCGAGGAGACGTAGAGCGGTGTATATGGGCTTGGAGAAAAAAAGGTCCAGCATCTCGTTGGATCCTCGATTGTCTATCCGCTGCCTCATGTCAAGGTTCGCGATTGTCCACCACTGAACGTTGGAACGTTGAGATGTTTTGATGGACCTGTACTCTTGATCACCAACCCGACGGGGAATAACCTTGCTGGAAATTCGGTTCCTCAATTTGTGAAGTCGAGCTGCGTACATTGTCGACAAATGTCTGTGCGATCGACAGATCAGACTTTCTGCCTTCTGCCTTGGCAAACAAATGATGTCACTTCGCTGATTGGGGGAAAGGCGGGATATACATACGACGCTGGTGATGAATTTGGAAAGATGAGTGAGGGTGAAAGCGAATATGACGATGATGCAGAAAAGTTCATCTGTTACAGCAGATGACAAAATTTTTGCAAAGAATAGCGCAAATGCCAACGTGAAGGCCACTCTAGTGCCCAAATTCGCTAATTAGAAGCTAACCCTCTCTGAATGCATACCACTAAACCCCCAAAAGCACTCTCGGTTCTTGAAATCGAATGCCACACCCGATGGCAGTGCCGGTTATGCGCCCTGTCCAATTGTCGTGGCTTCAGATAAACAAGATCATTCCAGAATGACACGGAGATGATTCTAATCGTCTTCTCTTGGAGGGAATTGTACGGCGTACATAGCTGGAGACCGAAAGAGGCGAAGTGGAAAAATTTCAAAGATAGTACTTAGGTACCAAATATTGGCCAAATATGGACTCGTATAAACCTATGTAAGCAAAAATGACTCCGATGACTTACAGCAAATCCAAAGCAAATCTGCACAGTTCCTCCCCTCGGTTCATGGGTCAGGGCTTTACACAATCTCAAATAATTTCTTCGATACCTGGGATACGTGGCCAATTTCCAACAGGATGGGTAACAGGTGTCGCCGTGATGCGGCCGCGATCCTGCGTTGCCATTTCAATATTGGTGGTCAAAGGTTGCTCGTTTGAATGGTGTCCGCATATCCGACGCGTTCTTTTGGCACTCAATATTCTCAGAACTCTTCGCAAGGTATGCCGCTGGGAGTAGTCAACTTGGAGAGTATTCTGACACGTCACGTATCAAGGATGTTGGCAGCTCGCACTACAAAAGTCAATCGTTCTAGATGACCTGGTCACGGCTTTATTGCTTTGGATGGCATCTTAGTGCCTTTTTATGAGGATGCAGCTGGCCGCCATCGACGATGCTGAACGACATCTATGATGAGAATGCAGCTTGTCACCCTCGACGATGCAGCTCTGCTGATGGCCTGCCTGACCTCCTGTTTCAGGAGTCTTGGCACATTGACGTTCCTCAGAATCGAAATACTACCCATTCAGCCCGGGTAGATCATTTTCCGAGCCCTTGTGTTACTTGGTCGTATTCTCCCTTTCCTCATCCGCGGCGTCGGGATTCTTTTATCCTCGTCCATCGCCGGTCACTGCCCCGCTATTGGCCTTTCTCCTATCCAAGTTTTGACCAACGCAATCTACTCCGGCCATTACGGTTTCCTCTTTATTGAGTCATTTTTGGTTCCGTCCAACGTGACGTTACGATCCTGTGCTGCGCCAACGATTATTAAGACCCCCACTTAAACCTATTGCGCCCCAGATGATTACAAGTCGTAAGCTTTTCATTTTCCTCCTTTCCCCATCTAATTCTCAACTTGATAGCTCAATGGCGCCCTTCCACCTCCGTCTGGGCTTGTTTTTCCGGCAAAGGAAGGGTGTGTTACTTCCAACTTCTACACCAGGTCTTTTCCAGAGGTGAACATTGCTTATCAGGGAGACCCTCATCGTCATCTCACGGACCTTCAACCAAGCTATGAAGTTTCAATAGCGAGACCGAAAGCCTTCAAGAAGTGATGCACGTAGTACGACGGCAATGGCCAACACCAAAAGAACCGCTCACGACAGATCAGAAATTCTCCTTCAAGTCTCCTTGGCTTTGGAAGTTCAGAGGGGCGAATTATTGTGAGACGGTCGATATTCATCCCATACGGGAAGGGATGCTAACCTGGTATTGGCGGAGGTAGAAGAACAACGATGGATAGGCCGGCAAACGATCTACGACAAATAACTCGCTTGTTTTTGCCGAATACACCACCGCATCACTCTCACTAACGTCCGCGACACCTTCATCCGCCTCCTCTCGGTGCGGCTTCTCGCGTTCAGTTGTCAGACCGCTGGCGTCCTTCTTCACGGGCTCTTTATCCCTGCTGGACTTCGGTTGCAAAACCTGTTTAGAGTGCTGAAGATTGGGATCCTTCTCATCGCCGTGGGTACGGGAGCAGCTGCCTTCGCTGGCCACCTTCAAGAAGGCGTTTCGCGCCTGCACAACTTTGATTCGTGGCAAACAGTCTGGCAAGGTTCCAGAGGAGGCGGGAGCGTCATCTGCACATGCTTATACCAGGCAAGCCATCCCATGACTCTTCATTTCTTCGCGTAATCTCTTTCTGCAGGTGATCTGGTCATACACGGGGTTCAGCATCGTCAACTATACCCTTCCAGAGGTACAAGAATCCAGCTCGTACGCTCTGGATAGCCAGGCCCTTGGCTATTTGGTTGTGGCCATCTTATACGTCTTGTACAATCTCTTCTACCTCGCTGCTGCAAGTAAGGAGGAAATCACTGGTTTTGGTGGCCTCGTGGTCTTGCTACTGTTCAAGAACGTTTGGGGCTTGAGGACGGAGCGCTTGTTGTCGGGTTTGTGGCTCTGTCGGCCTTGAGGAACGTTCTTACCGTAGTAAGTACCATTTGTCTACTACGATTTGCCTGCTGATCTTCGTTCGGAGTTCAGTCGTTTTCACAAGGAAGCGTTAAGCGCCCGCAGCAGAGGGAATTCTCCCACCCAACAAGGTTTGGCCTTCAAACCGGCCTATGGAGCTACACGTGCACCCTCGGTTTACTTCTTACTTCTCCGCTAGACTGGACTATCTGCATTATCGTCATAATTGCCTTACCCCCAGAGACGCTTACAACTTCGTCATTAACGTCGTGTGTCCCCTCTCCCTTCTTCCTCTCCTCTCAGACAAACTCAACCTCCTTTCTTGCAGATCTCATACCCACTAGCGGTCATGAATCCGTCCATCTCTCTTGGCGGTCACTCTCTTCTCGGGACTCTTTCCCGCCTATATCATATCCCACAGCTTCCTGATATTCGCCGTTTCCTTCCACGCCTCTGAGGAACGCACAGCCGTATGAGAGGCTGCCGTATTGGACACATGCGGTTGGCGGGCAGTGTTTGGGGTTGGGTTTTGTGGTGTGCGTGGAGGAGGAGCAGGCGGGAGCAGGGGAGCAGGGGAGCAGGGGAGCGATGTGGATAGGTGACTGGCGGGGAGAGTGAGGTGTAGACTTCTACCATATCATCGAATGTCTGTAACGGACGCCATTCCGCAAACATACAGATGTCCTTGACATCCAGAACATTAATAACCGCACATAGGGTAACAAATGAAATAGATTTGTCACTGAGTAAGACCGTCAAGGAACATTGTGGACCAGTACTGAAAACCTTGTTCCATAACATGACACGGCGACGCCCTCCCTCCTCACAACCAGCGTTGTGCCTACGTAACGTAGTACGTTCACGTCTCGTTCAGTGACTACGCCATTGGCATTCTCCTTATAATAGGTGAACTATCAAAAATTTCGTAAGCCAAGACCCCACCATTGCATACACATCGTTCCTAGAACCACCCGACGCCGACTCGGACGACGACGACGTGTCCGTTGCCGGTTGGCTTTACGATGCGTAACTGCCTCGTTACGACCCACCTCATCACGATCCCATCGGCATCGCTAAAATGGATGTTAATGAAAGTTCAAGGCTTTCCTCTACAAGGCAGTCTAATTCTTCTTGTATATCTGGACTGATGACAAGTTTAGACGAGGTCTTCACAGTCTTCACAGCCACCGATTGAATCTGGGAAACAGTCGCTCGTTCTGAGTCCACTTCGGCCGGTCGCAAAGCGCACTGTCGGAACCTGTACACAAGCATATCGCGGAACAAATGCATGTGTTCGTCCAATGTACTAGGGCCATAGTACGTGAAGCTACGCAGATTCGGAAGAAGAATATCTGCATGGGGCGGATAGAGCCGTTGGAGGAGCTTTTCTGTGAGTAGCGGATATAGACGTTGCCTATGACTGCGAAATTCCAGGCGTAATTCCTTTGTAAATGGGATATACCCCAAACCCCGAATTAATTCATCATCGGAAGTAATTGCACCTGTCAGGGTGAATTTTTCAAGAGATGCGAGGAGCAAAATGATGTCATGATTTCAGGCAAGATGTTCTGCGATAAGGAGGCGAAATCACCGTGGAGGTAGACCTCATGCAGGAAAGGGAGTTTGACTGACCCTGAAACTTGAATTGTCTCGTCCCACGTCGGTGCATCACACTTGAGTGTGCAGCGAATGATATTGGGTGCCTTTTGGAGAAATTCACGAACTTCCTGCATTTGAGTATGACGCGAAGTGAAGTCCATTAATTGGTGCCAAGGAGCCAGGACCCTGTCCAGGCGAATATCGTTGATACAAAGCGTTGAGAGCTGTGAGGCCACTGAGAATAGGCTGAACTGTCGTTCTCTTGAACTAAAATGAACAGTAGCGGCGGTGAGAAGAGGAAGGGATTTCTCAGCCGTGGAGATGGCGTCAAAACAAACTTGGCTGTCGGGGAGGAAGAACTCGATGTCTTTCCATTGCGTGGACACGGACGCTAACATGGTAAAGACTTTTTTCATAGAGTTCTCGTACTGGCGGGCATCCAAATGCGATGCAAGACAAAAGGTGAGGGGACACCCCGCAGTTCTGGACAGCCAGTCCCGGAGAAGATTGGTTTGAGCCTTGCGGTTTTTTTTCGTTACTCGGAGGTGTATGTTGGTCCAAAGCACGGGAGACGACCAAACAAAATCCCTCCAACCTCGGCAAATTTTGCCTAGAAAAAAGGGATTCTCTCCCCCTTTGGCTAGCGGGCACAAGGCACTGTAGAATATTTCAGTCTTTATCTCCGCTGGAAGTTGATCGATGGGGATAAAGAATTTAGTTGTGAGTCCAATCGTCGACGTTGCTGTTCTTGTTCAAGCAAAAAGGCCTGCTTTTGTGCTATTTGGGCCCGCGTGTCCTCCATTTCTGATTCTAACGCCGCGACTTGTTGAAGTAAAGCGTTGCGAGCGGTCTCATTCTCAGAATGATGGCAACCATGTTCTGGCATACTTCTGGCATCTCTTCAAATCTTTTTCATCAATCTGGACGAGGCTACATACTCACCTTGATATGTAACTGCTCTAAGGGATGATTCGAACAGGTGAGAAATGGATCGATAGGAGGGCTTTGCGCATGTTTGTACTTCAAGCAAAACCGTTTTGCGTAAGCGCACGATTTCGACTCCGATATGAAGTTGATGATACTATCGATTATGTAATTACGATTTCATTTATGTAAGTAGTCTCAAGTTTTAACCATCAATGTCCATCATATATCATCCTCTCTACCGATTCAAATATTCAACACTTAGTAGATGCCAAGCACTTCTAACCTCAATGCCTCACTGGCTTTCTTCATATGCTGCCTTGCCTGCAAGTCGGAATTGGTAAGGAGTCAAGTCATAAATTAATTATTTTCGCACGACCATTGTTCGTCCGAAGACGCCATTATGGCTCATCGACAGCTCGTATGGTCTAACGGCGCTGATAACGTGGTGAAAGCTGACCGATGTTGACCCGAACTCTTGACGTCGACCTGGCTTTTGAATGGCCGCCTCACACCTGACGGCTGAGGAATCGGAACCTCTCTTGGCAGCACACGAGAATGATGCTCAAGTAACTGCGACGTATGGCACCCTGAGGGGGACTACGGAGGTGAAGCGGCAAATAGGTATATTCTCCGCCGTCTTTATCATCTTCAACAGGATTATCGGTACTGGGTTTGTACCGTGTCGTGTTCGAATCCCAATTCTCGCTAACATGATATTTCGCAGAATTTTCGCCACTCCCAGCCTAATTCTGAGTCTGAGCGGGAGCGTTGGAGTATCAATGTGTGTTTAAACCGATTTATACTGTTTATTCATGTCTAATTTCCGTGTAGGGTGATGTGGATAGTAGGTGCTATCATCGCTGCTGCTGGCATGCAGGTTTACATCATCTGGGGTACAGTACGTGACCCGGCTTTCTACTATCTCCCTATCTTAATTCACTTTCCTCTGTAGGCCCTACCGTTCAATGGCGGCGAAAAGAACTACCTCGAGTATCTGTTCCCGAAACAAAGAAGGCTCGTAATATCTATGTACGCCGCAAACGCCGCTCTCTTGGGTACGTCTTTCCCTTCACGTTCTGATAGAAGTCTTCTCATTTTCAATAGCATGGGGCGCAGGCAATTCGCTAGTATTTGCTGAGTACGCCATCGCCTCAGTCTCACCTGCATCCACGAAACCGTCTTCGCTCTTCTCCCCAGTGCGCCTTCTCGCATTTTGCTGTCTCACAGGCGTGGTCCTGCTGCACGGCCTCCATATCCCCACCGGACTCCGTCTGCAAAACCTGCTGGGCGTTCTCAAGCTAGGTATCCTCCTGATCGTCGTGGGTACAGGGGGAGCTGCTCTTTTCGGCTTCCTGCAAGTAGGCGTTCCACGCCCGGACAACTTCGATTCATGGCAAAGAGTTTGGGAGGGCTCTAGGGGAGGAGGAAATGTGATATGCGCATGCTTGTATAACGTAAGCCACCCCAACACCCTTTCATTCCTCAAGCAAACGCCATACACAGGTCATCTGGTCATTCGTGGGGTTCAGTAACGTCAACTACGCCCTTGCGGAGGTACACAACCCAGCTCGCACACTCCGGATAGCTGGGCCCTTGGCTATGGTCGTTGTAACTGTGTTCTACCTTCTTTGTAATCTCTCTTACTTGGCTGCTGCAAGTAAGCAGGAAATTACTGGTTCTGGTCGCCTTGTTGCGGCTCTACTGTTCAAGAATGTTTGGGGCTCGAGGATGGAGCGTGTATTATCTGGTTTCGTGGCTCTCTCGGCTCTGGGAAACGTTCTTTCGGTGGTATGTAATCGCTATCCTGGATGGAATTTGGAGGCTAACTTTGTTTGCATTAATCTAGTCGTTCTCACAAGGAAGAGTCAACCAAGCACTCGCGGCAGAGGGTATCCTCCCATTTAGCAAGGTGTGGGCCTCAAACTGGCCTTATCAAGCTCCACTGGCAGGATTAACCCTCCGTGAGCACCTTCATCACCATCCGTATTCACAGCCTGCTTACTTTCGAAGACTGGGTCGTCTGCGTCATCGTCGTATTCGCCCTACCCCCAGGGGACGCTTACAACTTTGTCATCAACGTCGTACGTACCTCCTCCTCCTCTTCTCCTCCCACAACCGCTCACCCCTCTTCCCACACAGATCTCATACCCACTAGCAGTCGTAAACGCTATCATCTCATTTGGGCTCATCTACCTTTCGCTGTCCTCTCGGGCCTCTTCGTCACCTATACCACGTCCGACCGCAGGCCTCCTGATACCCACCCTCTTTTTTGGGCTCACCAACGTTTTTTTGGTCGTCCTTCCGATGACTCCGCCTCCGGAGGACGCGCAACCATATGATAGGCTGCCATATTGGACGCATGCGGTTGGTGGGTGGGCTGTGTTTGGGGTTGGGCTTTTGTGGTGGGCATGGGGAAGGGGGTTGGGACGAGGTAAGGATGTTGAGAGGTAACTGAGGCCAAGGAGAGGGAGGCTGGGGTATCTTGGGCGTGACACGTATTTGCATTATAGTGTACCTATAGTACTACATATGTCTATAGAAGACAGCGTACCTGTTATTAGTCCAGACGATCATGAGGCCGCCCCACCACAAGATGCAACAATTTCTGCGTCCGGGTGCGTAGAGGACTGCTCAGAGCGCAGCCCGGCAAGGGCATAACGGAAGTTACATTCTCGCACTCCATCCTGCAAACCGGCAACTGTTCTCGATAGCCACAACATAGATAGCGATACATATGGGAATAAATAGAAACTAAATTGTCATTGACGAGGTAAAGACCGGAAAAACTTAACGCCACTGCTCAGATCCCAATCGAGCGCTCAACACTGTTCCGGGGGACGCTGGGCAAGGTCAGCCTGTACACCAAGAACTGATTGTCCACGTCTAATCCTGCATTATAAGGAACACCGATTGAAACTCCGTTGGTGGTGATGAAGTCGTTGTCGCACTGGTGTATCATTCATTACTTTAAATTATTCGAAAGAGAAAGAAGAGGCACGTACCACAGTGAACAGGAAATAATCGTTAGGGAAAGCTGGATCGTTTACGGGCGCGAGAGCGAATGATTCCCACTTAGCAGCAATCAAGGTATTGTCGTTGGGAACATCTAAGAAGGTATAAGTACCGTAGCTGTTTGAGAAAATGTGTAACCAGACCATTGTGTAACCCAAACCGCGCCAGCTGGGTTTTGTCGAGATAATTGACGAAAGACACATATTCCGCTGGCGTGATGCTGGGATCCAAGACACCCCCTGGGGAGATGGGGTTAGCCGGATCGTCGAACTTGGTGTTGTGGATGTCCGTAGCCTTGGAGATGGAGAATAAATCGGCTTGCCTATCCTCAGCCACATCAGCAAAATAATTCAAGAAGGTTCAACGTCAGAAAGACAAACTTGTAGCCTGATTTAGCGTCATCTCCACCCCGACCATTCCCATCCCTGGACAAAGCCAAAAAAATTCCGGGACTGATAAAGTGAATCTCACTGCACGCTTGCGTTTTGCCCTTTGAGCTTTGAGGCAAAGGGACGACCCATTCTCCGACGAGTTTGGGCGTGATGATGGGGTTGGCGACGTTGAAGGCAAGCAGGCGGGTGTAGCGGTTCGTCGTCTTCGCGCTACCGCCGTCTTGAATAGTGGCGGACTGGAGCATCGCGTAGAGGGTTTTGGTGTTGTCGTCGTAGGTCAAGCCTTCGAAACCTTGAAATACTGTTTAGATTTCAAAAAATGAAGGAAGTAGAGATAAGTTCACCTTGATTCCCAGTTCTTCCAGTGGTGGGACCAGTGACGGAGGAAAAGTTCAGATGTCCGGACGCGTCTAGAGGGAGAATAGCGCGTGGAGGTTGGATGGCTTGGATCAATTGTCCGTTTGAGGTGAAGTGGTAGATGTAGGGCCCGTACTCGTCACTAACCCAATACCTGCTCGTATATTGATGTTATCAGCTTCTTATGTCAAGATATTTTGAATGCTTACGAGCCATCCGCGTTTGCCACTAAACCTTCCGCGTCGATTACCAGACGATCATCTCGTCGTGAAACAATGGGCATCTCTGGATCCAAGAACGCAACAAATTCATGGCCAGGTACCGCTGGTCTTACAGCCGTGGGGTCCAGACCGCTCGTGGTCTTGCCAAACCTGTCGAATTGGAGAGTTGTCTTTCGGTACGACAATGTGAGCGTCTGCTGGGCTGTTGTGAAATCCAAATTGGTTGCACCCGCGTAGGGTTTCAGGGTAAAGTCAACCTCGTGCTGACGCGATTGATAGTTGACGGTAGTGTCTCTGGTGAAGGTTGAACTTCTAGCGAAAATAAGGAGGGTAAGAGGTGGCTCACACATTGTAGCCTCGATCAGGATGAACGACCAAAGTCCCGGTGAAAGTGCCGTTCTTAACTTTCCATGTACCGCGTTTTAAAGCAATGGCACTTCCGAAACCTCCCATCGTGTCTCCTGTCGAATCTTTGAGGTTCGCAGGTATGAGCCCAAAGGCGACGGGGCCCTGTCAACATTATGAATTACTGCGTATAAGACATCTGAGCGAATGTTCTGACCTTGTTGACGTAAGTAACTCCATCAAGAACCACGGAGTCATCACGTTTTTTCAGCTCCTCCGGGGAAAAACCCGGCAACGCAGAGGACTGAAGAAAGAATGTGAGGAAAAGGAGTGACACTATTAGCTTCATAGAAGAAAATTTTTGGCTGGGGCAGCAGTGAGATTCACCTGCTCCAGCCAGACGTATAAATAAGCGCACCGATAATTACAAACGTGCGTGCGCTTTGGCTTGGCTTCAAAATGTGAGGAAAGCGCTAAAGGATATGGCACATCCCATGAGGAACGTTAATCGTACTAACAACTCATTTGATATGCGTTCTGGGAAGCGTCAAATCAGATGCAATTGTGTAGAGACCCCCTCGAGAACCGACGGCGGCCGCCACAGGCCAGCAGGCAGCTGATAGGTCACCCCTCGGATGGAGAAGTAGATTTAAGCCCAGGATGATGGTAGAGTTGCGCTGGGATTGAGTTTCTCTCAATTTTAACAGGAACACACATATCCAGACTTTGGTCGGGGAGGAAGTGAGCAAGTGGCAGATGGCAACAATTTATGCAAGTGGCAGGTGGCAACAATTATGTCGTGAGATTCAATCTCAAGATCAGAGCGTGTGAACAAGCACACGTGTCAATGATCGAGCCAATCACTTGAAACTCCATCGGGTACATTGGGTAAACATTTGAGTCCGAGCAAGGTCTTTGCACAACCAAGTTATTCGTGCAAACGAATTTCTTGGACACTCATATTTCCCTCTGTGAGCTACGCAGTAGTCATCTTATCGCGCAATCCTCATAGTCTGGTCAATTTTTGAGGGCCTAAAAACCTTAATTAAAAGTTTATGAGGGAACTGCTCAATGAAATTGGTGTCATTGGATTCATCTCACTATTTTTAAGAAAACTTAGTAAACTTTGATATTTTTTGTTGTCTTTGTCTGTCTGCAACTGTAGCCAACATCCCTGATTGGAGTATTTTGAGAAAGAGCAACACCTTTTATGTTTGGTGATATTATATGAGAATCTAAAAGTTGCAACCCTTTCTTCTTTGAAAGGGAAAGGGACTGTTTGAAAAGATCAGGGGCACCCAGCCATGCCCAATTGAACAAAAATTTATCATTTGTTTCAGTTGCTTCAGATTCCATTTTTTTTATCATAGTTTGGTGATATATAAACATTGATTTTTTGGAGGACATCTCAGAATTGGAAGAAACAAACGCCAGAAAGAAGTCTGAATTTGAATCAGATGATTTCAAGGGGAATATTTCAGTCCTTTCTTTGAACTATTCTCATTCAACAAAAGTGCAGGCTGGGCAACATGTCAAACTTTTAGTCTAGGCAGGTCAGAGTGGTCAAATTATGTCAAAGAAAGGAAACCTTTCATGAATTGTCAGGATGGCTTTTGAGAACAACCTTGGTCCCTTCATTGTGACCTCCTCCTCCTGCATGGAACGACTTCAACTCAACTACTTTCTGGGCCCTGAGGCTGTTTGTTGAATGTTTAGTGTATGGAATCAGGAATCTGGCCAGCCTGTGAACTTGGTCACTGATTTTCTGCAGCTGCTTGTACTGCACGAAATATCAAAATTGGAATCCTTGAGATTAGCCCGCTGAGTTAAAATATGTAGAAAATGTGGAAAAGGCAAAACTAGCAAAAAGGGAAGCAATTTCAGCATCCTCTGGTTGGATAATGAAGCAAATACGGTTGATGAGGAACATGTTTTTGAAGCACTCGAGTCAGCCTCAGACGACGTCCTCAATGCGACATATACAATTGGCAAATACATCAGTGACATCAATGATCCCAACGCACGCAAAATAGAAGTGCTTTTGAGTGAGCTCAACAGAAATACCCGGTGTGTTGAACAGACCAGGGATTTGAGGAGTCCTATCCCCTTTACCTTGTAACTAATTCGATCTATGTCCTACATTCTTTTTACAATTTTTTGCGATTTTGTCTCGATTTTTAGAATTTATTTTTTACCATACGTCTATTAGCCCATAACCCCTTATAACCCATGGCTCGGGCTGTCCACAGAGGGGTATGGGTTAAGAGAGGTTCGACTATTTTCAAGAGGAAATGAGCCGATTGGGTGCAAAATTGAAAGATAAAAAGCCAAAATATCAACAATATATATGTACTACGCAAAAACCAGCCGTACAAATAGGTGAGTAGATGATCTCCGCAATGTGTAAGAAGTAGGGTATATCACGATGTCAATCATCGCAAAAAATAATTTGTACTAAGCAACCTATGGCGGCGGCGGTGTGGGACAGCATATTATGCCTTCTTCAAGTACCGTCCAACATGACCGGCAAAGCCTGGCGCCATAAGTTGTAGAATATATAGGCTGTGGTCCCCCCATACTGGCAAGCAGTGGCTCAATGTTTAACGGCCTCCTTCCTTGCAAAGAGTATATCATCGCTTGAAGGACAAACAACGCGTCGACTTGCTGTCTCTCCTCGTGAATTTGATCATTGACGTCAATACGACAGAGGATGACATTTTCTGTTGAAGGGTTAGATCATTGATGAGCCATTGATGAACCATGCTTACGCCACGAAATCGACCAAATAAATCTCCGTCGAACATTAGAACCGTGAAATCGAAGAGATACGTCGCAGCCATTCCAAGTCCTATGGTTTATCGGACTGAAATTCCAGGGAAACGCCTGCCCATCTCCCGGAAAGGCAGGGATCTGTAACTTAGCATTTTCTAATGCGGGTCTCAGCCAGTCATCAACCAAATTGTCTCGGAGGATGTTCGTGAAGGGGGATAGTAGAAATACTTCAGGCGGAATTAGGTCCATTACTTGAATGATGAGCTTTGGCGGCGTTGAAGTTGAAAACGGGGGCATAAATCTAGAAGACGAAAGGAAACGAGTAATGTTGCTTTTCAGTACGGTGAAAAAGCTGTTGATGACACAACTGTTGTGGAAGTAGCCCAGCCACAAAGTTTAATTGACAATGCTGTGCACTGAGTGAGGGTCCGAAAGGACGAGCGTGCTGCGAGATGCACGACGAGGACTTAAAGTGTATACATTGAGAACGGAAGACTTCAGTTTCGTGTTGTGATCAAGAGCGAAGACGATGAAACGACGTTTAAAACCTGATGCATGAATCACATATTTGGCACTGGGAGTGAGGGGTCACCGGGGTAGTTGATAAGGGCCAACAGCGTGCAATGATGTCGAAACGCGAACAAATGCTCAGCGGTGTGCAATGTTTAACTTTAAACTGGTAGGATGTGTTTGAAGAAGTCGGAGGTAATTGAAAAATCTGGCGAATTAATGGTCGCGGAGTTTGCTTTACCAAACTCGCGCCAAATAAAAGTCGCTTGTAATATGCATTGTGCAGCCTGCTTCAAAGAGAACACAGCACAACGATTGGAGCGGTGTAGAAGCGCGAAACTCGGTTCCATAGCGATACCTTGTTCTCCTCTCTTTTGTTCCTTTTGTGTTAACCTGTGCGATATCATACCTTGGGCTTTGTTCGGAAGCCTTGTTCCGCATTGGATGTAAAAGCCCCGAGTGGCGTTCATGACAATAGTCATTTATGACCTGAGTCGTTAACCAACCCATTGCCTCTCCCGCACACAAGAACATTACAAGTCAGTCGCCGCCAATGCCAGCGACCATATAAATCGATAAGTTGGATAGTCAGATGAATTAGATTCCCGTTTGTTGGGTGTTGATGAATGTTGGCAGCGACCGTCATTGGCAGCAGCAAGATATTTGACAAGCGGGAACACAAGTTAAGGGCTTCGCAGCTTCTTGTGGAGGGGGTCTTGAGTGGGGGAGAGGCGAAGGGGAAGCTGAGGAAGTCGGAAATTCGGTGGGTGATTTAGTTTTCTCTAATAAGGTCGCAATGATCCGTACCAAAGGGGAGATCTGGGGTAAAATGCACAGCGGGCAGAATGGCCCCAAGAGTGTGTCTTGAGTGCGGAGATGGAAGGAAAAGTGAGGATTTCAGAAGTAAGTCGAATAAGTTTATTCCTTCGCTCTATTTACGAGATCAGATGTTCATAGCAATAATCAGCACCAGAAGGAGGAATCCAGATATTGCAGAGGGTACATCGACGAGCGGGAATTGGACGGCTTCCTAGTTGGAAGGCAAATGTTCCACAAACGGTGCGCCCAACAAACGTCTCGATGTTTGGTAAAACGTTCTGATCTGAGGATGGGGCAGCGGAGACGGTGCTCATAACGGCGACAGCATTGCGTCGGTTCAAAGAGCGCATCATCATAAGTAACACCAAGTCAACATTCGAACCGATACCGTCTGGTAGTTCTTCGTAAATTCGACGATCGAAATAGACGTAGCCCAAGACGACATTCCCTACGAAATTTGGAAATCAGGTCCAGAACAAGAAGCACTAAATTCAGTTCCTCACCTGAAGTTAAAGACCAGACCACTGACGAAGAAAGGTCATGAGGAGCGTGAAGCTCGAGACGCACATGGTAGCTCCGATTTACCTGAGCAAGATTGTCTTCCCTGACGTCGACCCAGCGGAAACGCTCGCGAAAGACAGTACCACAGAATGGAAATCCTTGCGGGAGTGGGTAATTGGGGTATGGGACCTCTATGGTGGCAAACGCGGAAACGGTGTCTCTGAGGCTCTGGAGCCAGCTGCAAGCGAGGTCTCGCAAGGTGTTGGCGACGGCGGATTGGTGGAAGTAGGGAGGAAGTGGAATATTCATGGATCGAGGGGTGAACAATGCAGCGTATCGCAAGTAAGTCTACTGAATGCCTTGAGAAGTCTGTACGCTGGTGCATTCCTCGAGAAGCAGCCAGAAAGAGGGTGGCGAGATCAAAAGCTTTGTGGGAAGGAGACAGAACCGTCCCGACTTACATGCTGTACTTGGGATTTCCATTTTGGGGATATCTGGCCGCCAGGGGCACAGGGCGGGGGACAAAGATGGGACGGTACACATGAGGCGTGAATTGAGCCCACAGGAAAAAAAAACGTTGGCCTATGAGTCAGGGTGTTTTCTGCTTTAGGTCACCTAAGGTCAAGAGGCATTTAATTGTGAAAGCTGTTGAAACATTGAGCGGGTTTCGGAGCCTGTGAGAGGTGACCCACAGCGTTGACAGATAGACGCCGATTACCACCGAATTCCGTTGAAACAGACGTTTCAATTGGATAGAACGTCGCCTGTCATCAGAAGTGGCTCTGCGCCTCGTTACATCTTCTTGTCAGGGTTCCTCCATTCTTGAAGCAAACGGCGACAAAGAAACTAGGCCACCAGAGCTTTGTATCGGTGAAGGGTTTGACCTGCACGACGTAGAATTCTCCACAAGAACTACAGAAGTACTTCAAGGTATTTGCAGCGTAGGGTTGGATGACCGAAGATGAGGAGGCGCTTCACGGACAGGCGGATTTCGAGCCAATTTTGAGAAGTGTGACGTAAGATGGGGCGGGATATTACAGCGGAAGTTGAAAGCGTTTGGTGCAAATCGCTGTGATTGACACAGCAGTCATTGAGACCTCTAATCAATTTTGAATAGATCAGGGAACCTCTCGGAGTTGAGGTGAGACAGACACGATGTTCATTTGTTTGGATGTGTCTTCAGTTACTTGGTCAGTGAGTGTTTTGCAGCTTTAGGGTTCGGAGGTGTAGCGCCCAAACCGTTTGTGCGCCAAGAGTAAAAGCCACATACTGAAGGAAGGGCTGTGTTTGAACAGGGCACGCCCTAAAGTGAGTCCACGTGACATTATCAGGGGGTAAATGCGTGAAGCGACGGGCAAATATCAGCCTCCTCGGGCTTCAAATTTCAAATCTCAAGAGGTAGAAGTCCTCGCCTGGTGACGCAAACATGTTCAAGTTGTTTCGGAGTCGCAAACGCAAGGCTATCCCCCTGTATCCATCCACCGCACGGAAAGATACCACCATGCTTACCAAAAGAGAGCCAGCTATAGTGCCATCCTCTTCTAAAGAAAACTCTACACCACCGATTTGGATGATACCTCTTCCACCAGATATCATTTATTACATCGTCGAGGAGCATCTCGAATCCAACTTCCTTCTCACGATAAAATCCTTATCCCTCACCTGTCGATCACTAGTACCATACTGCCGCACTCACCTCTTTCGAAAAATTACAATCGGCTATCCTCCCAAATTGCCTCGACGTTGTCCATATCCTCCAGCAGAGCAGTTTTCCAAGCTCATTGACGAGGCACCCGATATTCTTGACTATATCTCAGAACTTCACATCATTCATATTGGTGAACGGAACACCAATATTCTGGATGAACGCCCCATTACCCGAGAGGAGTCGAGCCTGTGCCGTATTCTCACTCGCAACATGCAAAAGCTTTCCTCACTTTACCTCATTCACAATGGTGATTGGGCATTACTCTGTCCAGCCGTGCGTGAGGCGTTTCACGCGGTCTTCCAGCTCCCCACGCTCGTCCACGTCTCCTTGGAAAACGTTAAACTCCCTGTGAACTTACTCGGTTTATTCAGGAACGCGAAGAGGCTGGAGTTTTGTGTTAGTCCAAATGCACCGATGGCTTCGTTACGGCAATTCGTCTCAGGCCATCTGGCTGAGCCCGAAACGCTTTGTATTCGTAACGAAAACGGATTCAATATGAAGAATGTTTTCCATGCTGAGGCTGCAATATCCTTTGCGTGTCTTCGAAGTTTGGAGTTTGAAGGGAGCGCTCGGGTAAATTCCCAACTGCAGGGTTTCTTTAACGCTTGCCCAAACATTCTGACGTCTTTGAACATTTGCCTTCGATCGTCAACAACGGGTGCGTTCACTTTGATCTATCGCACTGGATTGTGCACTCAACAAGATAAGCAGCACCGGATTCAACATTATACCTGGGCGGCCTCCGTGCCCTGACGACCTTGCATTTTTGTATCGAATATCCGCTCTACCTCCCTGGCTCCGTTTTGGAAACCGTTCCGCGGCGCAAATTGGAATGGTTTACCGCGGTATTGAAAACGATCAGAGGGACCAATGTTGTGGAATACATCTGCATCACCGTTGACCTCAGCACCATGCTAAAATTCCACGAGTTTGGCTGGTCCTCTCTGGATAACGTCTTCATACGACCACACGCCTGGCCGCGCCTCCATACGTTTGAGGTCTTTGTACGTGTAAATGTCAGCCACTACTCCAGTGATTCTACGCGGAGTTGCGACCTAGATGTTATGTTGCGTAAAGTGATGCCGATTACTTCTGAGAGAGGTATCCTTCGTGCACGTTTGACCCACGAACGTCTGAACTTTGGGCTATAGTCATGCACTGCACCATATGAATCTTTCCTCTCTTATTTTGACCGGTCCGGTCACTAGTAGTCACTGGTGACAAGTCATATTATATATTCTACACCTCCTCGCCGGTAACAAGATATGCTGCGCGCTCAGGTCACTGGTCATCAGACCTTCTTGAATTCATTTCCTTGGCCATATTGGGATTCAATTTGTGGATGCATCCCCTGCGCCCTGCGAACTGAATTATAGACGATCTATTTGCTCTAAGTTGTGGCCAGTGGAGGTCACTAAGCCTATGTTAGACGTACCTCTGACTATTGTTTCAAGGAGCGGTTTCGCCACTCACGGCATTGCTGCGAGGGTAAGCTCAGATGTGAGTTTGATGCATCGGACCGCCCGCCGGCCAACTGCATCTGGTGGCATTACACCAAACGGGCTTGTTTTTTTGCAAGTAATTTGAGAAGAATCAACTATGTAAGATCATGAATTGACGGAAGAAAAGGGTCGATGGCGTAGTTGGTTATCGCATCTGTCTAACATTGCACACAGAAGGTCCTCAGTTCGAGCCTGGGTCGACTCATTTTTACAAAATTCGCTCCCTGAGTTTTATCGCTTCATATTGTTGTTATTCCCTTCAGGCAGCTTCAGAAGTCCAAAAAAGGTGTACAGTACTTATAGATGAAGCTTTAACGTACATAGGTTAGATGTAACATGGCTATCGATCGTGAAATCCGAGCACCCCGACTTTCAGTCCTTCAACCCATATTCCTGCCGTTGCTTTTGATAGCTACATCTTCTAAGTAAATTCGATCCCGACACTCTCACCCCATATTAGCCCACCCCACCGATAAATTAAGATGCCATCTACGGTTAATTTAGTCCGTTGTCGTCCAAACCCTGACTGAAGATCCCAGCCTCCAAGATCAATCAGTCGTCTATCGTTTGCGGCAGTAGGTTCACACAAGCTCTTATCTGCCGGAGGGTCGTTACCCTATTATAGTTGAGCCCGCCGCAGCCTTCCCTCTCACATCTTGCTTCCCAGGAAGCTATTGCCTCTGGCCACTCCGACATCCCTCCTGCCAACACGCCCAGGGTATCTCCTAGCGGATTTCGCTCCATTTCTAAAATCATCGCGTTTTTTAAGTCCTGCCAGGGACGATTGTCTAGTTGCGCAACGCCGCAGCGAAGGCAGTGGTATGTTGATCTGGGACGACAAATGTTAACGGCGATTAGGACATTAGAGCACATGGCGGACATACTTACCTATTTCCTGCCGTGAATCTTTCCGGGCTATTGATGAGCTCTCGAAAACGCTCGCGGCGTTTTCGGCGAAGGTTAAATAAGGCAAACAGATCTTTTGAGGAAATCCTCCTTAGAATTGGTGTATGGATGGCGTCATGCAAATCCAGGGCTAATGTGTGCGTGGAAGCAATTTTAGCTTCGCGCTTCCAATCAAAATGTTTAGCTAGGGCGTACACGCGGAGCGGATGCGCTCTGAGAAAATCGGGGGTGCCAATGGTAAGTCTGATCTGCGCTATAGGGCCGGGTGTATCCCACTTCTCAGCGACGCCAAGGACAAGCTCAATCTCATCTACCGACTCCCACTTGGGAAGCGGGAGCCCGGAGACTAGTCGCAAAATCCTGTCCAAAACAAAGTCGTTCTCGTAAACGTCGATTATCTCCGACTCTAGGGTCCCTCTTAGGTGGCAGTGGTTGCGTTCTGGCTGCACGCGATAATGGCTTTTCGGTTGTGGAAGGCTGAACATAGTCGCGAATAATCCAGATGATTGGTGTAGCGTTAAGGAATTAAGGCGATAGAGGGTTCCCTCCAGTGAACGAAGGATAACATCGGCTTCAGGTGACGCGAAGAGAGGGTGATAAATAGAGGGTTGATATTGTGAAGGGGCGAAATCAAACGCATCAGTTACTTGAATTTTGGAGTAGAGGGACGTAGCCATGAAGAGAAATGTGATGGGGAAATGGATGCTCGACGAGGCGGGTGTGCTTGCTTAAGTACTCAACAAGGCACCAAGAACGCGAAGTTCAAAGTCCTCTCTAAGAGGAGAGTAAATTCTCGGAGATGCATATTTGCAGTGCGGGCGAGCGTTGATAGAAATCGGCGAGTAGCGATCCCCAATGTTGCAAGATTTCCAGAACCTGTACGGCGGCGGACAGGGAGATGATTTTCGTACCACGCCACCAGGATCGGGCGAGGGTCATATCTGATGGGAGACTGAATGAGGATGAAGAAGAGGGCACTATCACCTGCGAAATGCGGAGGAAACGCGGTCAGGTCCTCAGGAACGACACCCTCTTATTCTGAACACGTCATCGATCACCGATTTTTGTGAAGTAGGTGCTTGAAATGAACTTCCGTTATGCGGCACTGCTGCAACTTTGGTCTACTTCAGTTCATTACTATTAGGAGCGAAACAGTCACCTCACATGACCAAAAAAAAACCTGCGTGATCTCCATTAACGGCGACCAGGGTTGCTGAAATTAGAGAATGACGCACGGGTAACGCACGGAAGAGAATGCTTTGAATAACGTTGACAGGTGTAACAGCTATGTCCGACCAATCACCACCCCGAGGGAAGTGGCTGTTACGGTACTGCAAAATAAAATTGTGTGTTGAAAGGGTTCTTCTCTAGGGTTCTTCGTTGAGTGTCATTACCCGATAGATTCAACGTTTGAAGCTTGAAAAACTTCAAGAAGGACCCCAGACCTGACGAGAAAAACTGACTGTCCTGAAAAAATGCTATTGGAACGAACAAAAAAGAACTTACAGTTGTGATTGACCCAATTGTGTTGAACTACTCACCATGCCACCTGGAAATTCGCTAGGAATCAGGAGGGTACGTGAGGGGTTTTTGACATTGTTTACCAGCTCCTTCCGCGGCGTTCGGTTACCAGAAAGTTCGTCTTGGTCTGCTGATGGATTTAGAGTTTGTTGAGAGAAGAATATAACGACAGGGATTCGGTAGATGGGGAGAAAGATTTGGGGATTTCAATGATGCCAAGACCGAACAAGCTCTGAAATGTTGGGATTGTGGTATCTGGGGATGAGGAAGTGAATATCGCTGCAGCACAGTTTCTACCAACTCCGTTTCCTGCCCTTCGCTTTTAGATACTCCACTCCGTTTCGTAGGCATCGGCTCCCGTGACAAAATCAAGTCCAGTTTTATTCCGAGAGACTGATCCGAGAAAAGCATACCAGCAGCCCATCCGAGAAACTTGTGAACCATATGAAGCTTGCAAGCGTCGCGGAATCGGAGATACGACGGCGTGAGTGGATGTGCCAGGGAGGTTGACTCCCCGAACCTTTCGTTCAGTAAATAGATGTATCCCTTCAATCGTCCAAACTTACTGCAGGCAGGAGATCTCGAGTCACACAGCGACGATCCCTGAACTAAGGTGCAGACACTTTCAAACCTCAGGCGTGCGCAGGAATTATCGCAAGGGGGAGTACAGAGTTGAGTCAAACGGTGAGCCTCAGGTGTAGCCCGCCCCTAGTGATTCCTTCGTTTACCGAGCCTTGCCTTTACTCAGTATTGATATGATGTAACGGCATCCGACTCCTATTGAAGCGCTGTGGCAGTGGGAAGCCAGAGATTGGTTGGCCGCGATGACGACTACTATGTCAAAATAACCCGCCGTTTTTGTAATGCCTGAATAATAGTAGATATCTCCTACCAAGGCTTTGAGCAACATGATCGGCTTTTGTCAGAAAATTCCAGTAACGAAGAGCCTCCTCGAGCGGCGATAAGGGTGTTTTACCAGCTACGGTCAGAAGCTCGTGTAAGTGAAGATCTCCGCCTCGTCGGACGAGAATGGAGGAAAGGTCACCAACGAGGGGCATGTTTGAAAGGGTCCCGACCAGCACGGAGTGAGCGGGGATATGAATCGCGAGTGTCGGGGACCCATAGATCTTCTCTCGACAACAAGGAATATGACTTTAATCAACCACCAGGGCCCTGAGTGTGGCCAGGCGTTATGGGCGTTACATACTCGAGCAAGGCCGGCTAGCAAGGAATGAAGCCACTCGTCAGCTGAGAACTTGGTTCATCGGATTTCAAACCCCACCTTGAGTAGCTACCGTCGAGAAACTCGAGTTATCTTCTATAAAGCAACGGTTTTCTCAAAGTCCCAACTTGAAGGACGTGGGGATGACCACGAATTTCCCCTGTAGACCCTTCAGACATTGAGGGCAGACGAGAACTGTCCACTACGACGTTGGGCATTTGCACATACCTGTGCAGCATCTTCAACTTTCGGAGCTAATATCCTCCGGCGCAGAAACAGGACGGTAAGGGGGACGTGGTGGAGGAAATTCTTAATGTTAGAGCAAGAGAATGAGCTGGGAACGCACCAACAAGAGTGACCGGGTGTGACCGAGACCAGAGTAGATCGAGTGCGCGGGGATGATTCTAAACGCTTGACGGTTAATGTGCTCCGAATTTAAGGTGAGTAAGCTTTTTCTGTCAGCGGAGGAACGGCAAACCGCAGAACTGATTTCCTTCAGGATGGAGGGCTGTCGGTAAAATACATCCCCCCGCCGCAACGGAACGATTCTGTAACGCGGCGGCCCGCGGGCTGACTCATAAGAGATATTGATAGTCGTTAGCCTGGTTCAGTAAGGCCGAAGTGGCCGCGACCTGTTGCATTGATGAATATGGAGCCAGGAAACCTCAACGCAGGGGAAGCATTGTTTGGCTGAAGTCCTGACCGAAAAATCTTGGAGGCTACGGTCTTGACATATTGATGATAATGTGATCCGACGGTCCCGCAATAAAATTTCTTTGATTCCAGTCCCAGAAATGCAAGGTACAAAAATATTGCGCTGGGGGTTGCAATTTGGTTGCAATGCTGAGAAGTTGTTGAAGCAGAATCGTGTGACGTGACGACTGTGACCGCTGACGCCATATTTGGCTTTGCTTGTCAAGACAATCCATCATCATCATCACATTCGACATTTGGTTTCTTCATGCCACGCTGCTGTCCCGTCTCGAAACCAAGCTGCTTGGCTAGCTTTCTTTCAGGAAATTTCTAGGCAAAAGGGATCTTTGTTATTCTGGGCAATTTCACCAAATTGGGATCGGAGGGACCAGTCAAGGACCAGTGGCTACACACAAGTTGATGTGACACGTGCCAAGCTTGACCTCTCGTGGTAGGTACACTATTTCCGCCATTTTAAAGGATTCTTACGATGCTCTTTACGCTTTCAGGCAGTGCCATATCTCAAGGTGTGAAGGATAATCGTAATAATCAAAAGGATCAAAGGTATTCAAATCAATCAATAAGGGCATAGAACTCAGGTGATGAAAACGCCTTTGTGAGAACAAGGCCGCGCTCGATCACCACATAGGACCTTATCACGAATTTCGTCACTCTGATAACTTCCCTAGTGTGTTCTTTTCATCTTCTCAGCAAGAATATTCACGCAGACGACTTATAGAGGTATCGTTCGGATTCTTTCTCTTGATGCGATTAACTTCTGACTCAAGGGCCTTGTGAAGGGTACAAGTTGTGACTGCTTCTTGACTAAACTGTGGATCAAATCTCACCACCGAAGCGTGCTACAAGCAGCGCATAATTACCTGCACAACCTAATTGGTAAGTGGATCGATAAATTGCAGAAATTTCTTTCAACAGGCATCCTTCTGCGCGCTAAAGATTGACTCCTGACCGACGCATAAATACCGCCAGCAAGTGTCGACATGCCCATTTTTCCTACTATGTTGCCCGCATACTTCCCCTCCTTGGCTCTTTTAACCGTCTCCTTTGTTGGTCTTGTCGGCGCAGGTCTTCCCGGAACAATTTACGGGGTTAACCTGGGCTCGTGGTACGTTTCCTTCCTTACGTGTTTTCCACCTTAACCTTTCTCCGTAAATCTGACAGGTTGGTATTGGAATCGTGGATGCTTCCGCAAGGTAGGTTGAGTAAATTATTTCTCCGTGAATCTTCCTCACTCACCAACAGAATGGTTGGATATGGGGGGAGAACAGTGCCAAGACTGCTCAACATGTATCGCTTCGGAATTGTGGGTATGCCTTCATTCTGGTATCGGACACCCTTCTGACACTTTTACCTCTTAGCGCCTTCGCTCAGGCTAAGCCAGACATCGTAGACCAAGTGTTTAACCAACACTGGTGCATGCTTTTCGTCACTTTTCTTGACTTACGCCACTGACATCTGCGGATAGGGAAACTTGGTTCAATCAAACCGATGTCGATCAAATACAAGCGGCTGGCCTCAACGCCGTTCGCATTCCCGTACGTATTCTGTTCTTCTTTTGTTCGGCATAGCCTCAACTTCATTTTAGTTAGGATATTGGATAATTGAGCCTTTGGTTGACAGGACCACCGAGTTCTACCCCAGAGGAGGAATTCTACAGCTGGTTAGTTCCTTACTTTTTTTCTCCTACTTTCAATGCGAGGTTTATACGAGGTGAAATATAGCAACGCGGCCTCCAGCAACTGGCAGCTGCTGGTATTGCTGTGATTCTCGACCACCATGCTCTTCCTGGCGTCGCATCGCCCAATCAAATGTTTGCAGGAAGGTATGCGACTTGTCTCTTGCTTATTTATTTTGCTTTACAAAATGCTCTTTCAAAATACTAGATGCACAACCGATGTTGAATTCTACGTGGGCTAATCACTTTGACTCGAATCTGCGCATACGTTTACTATCATCTTCTCCACGTAGACTCCGCATAACTACCATCGAGCGTTGATCTGGACGGCGATTATGACAGCATTATCCCACATTGATCCAGCGTTTAGCAGTGTTGCCGCTATCGAAGCCATAAACGAACCTATCATGGACGTGACGCAAACGCCAGGCTATGGGGATTGTACGTCGTATTTCGCGCTTCAAGGCTCTCATGACGCTGTTGATATACCTTCCAGTCCAAAAGAACTTTGTGCAAGTTGTTAGGGCAGTGGAGCTTCTCTTAGGTATTCACGTCCCTGGTTACGCCGCCCCGGCAAGTTTCGCGAGCGCGTCGAGTGTGACAGCCGGATTTCAGACTAGTGCCACTACATTCGGAAATAGGTTCAATCCTGAAGTCGTGCAGGTCTTGAAAGATGCGACACTAATTTTCGCCGAGGTTGTGAAACAATTGGGTACGAACACCGTTTATTCGCAGGCTGATTTGAGGGGTCGGTTGCAGAGACGAAACTCGTTGGTGACGACGTAAGTGGGGAAATCATATATTATTCTGGAGATTGATTGCTTTTCCATTCTGAAGTTTCATGGACGTCAATTGGCAGTATAATAATCCTGCTAATCCTGCGGCAGCGAAGATCGGACCACAGATTTATGATAATCACCTGTATTATGTGTGAGTGTACCATCCTTCCTTTGTTTCTGGTCTCACTAAGTGGGTACGCTAGATTTGGGGTAAGTTCTATTCCGTTGCCTATACAAGGTTATCTCAATGGCGATTCGACAGGGTGTTGCTGCTGCAAATGAAGAAGCATATCTAACCTCCATTTGCAGTGCGTTCTCCGACAGCCCTTCTCCTTGCAAGCACCTAATATGTTATATTTTACACAGACCTAGGCCGCATCGCAGCTGATGCCGCTCTTCAAAACTCACCCCTTTTGTTTGGAGAATGGGGTCTGCCTACTGAATTTTCAGCTACTGATGAGTTCCTACAAAAATGGGCCGACGCTCAGAAGATTGCCTATGGAAAAGGTGCTGGGTGGTTGGTAAGTCCACGTTATCGATTTTTTCCTGCGAGTCGTAATTATGAGGATATCCAGTACTGGAATTTCAAGATCGAGATTTCAGCGTTAGCTGGTGATCTAGCTCGGGAGTGGTACGTTCACGTTTCTTACTTCATTTTGGTTGATAAATGGCTGATGCGGATGTATTGAGGTCGTACATGGAGGGAATCAAGCGGGGCTATCTAACCCAAGACCCGACAGCGTTCAACGACCCACATGTCTGCGATCCGTATATCAACACGACTCTGGTGTCGTAAATAACTTGAAATGACCATGTCGAGCGTCGGTCACAAAAAAGGGAGAGATAGGTTTTGATCTGTTGAGTATCTGATATCTATGATATCTATGACCCAGGGTTGCATATGTTGCATCGTAATATTTTTTTTTGCAATAAGAAACATGAGCGCTGTGATCACTTTTTGATCCACCTTTTCCTCAACTTCAACTTGAACCAACGTGTCAGCTGAGGAATGTCCTCTAGAAATATGGGAAATCATCTTTTCCCTCGCCTGCAGAGATGACGGAAGCACGGCTCTCGCCCTTTCCCAAGTCTCGCGGTCGATCAACTTCGCATACTCGAAACCTTATCGATACCAAAGCGTCGCTCTCACGCGTTGCGAGCAAATCATCGCGTTCGGATCCGTGATATCGTCCTTCCCTCCTGAGCTCAGACGCGTCAAAAACCTCTTCGTTCACAATCCTCTCCCGAAGGTCTACACGTCGGACATCTATAACTCGGATGAAGATATGGATGCCAACCATGACGGGTAGGCTCAAAGGGCTGACCCCGCCCTCCCCGAAGAGTGTCTTTCTGGGAAGGCGAGCGGTTCCAAAGAACTTGGAGAAGCTCAAGACGTTGATAGTGGACTAGACTCAGACGAGGAGCATTCGCATGCGTCTGACTCGCATGCGTCTGATTCGGAAGACAGTTTCCACGAGCTGACCGCCGAAGAGCAAGCAGAATTGGCGGAAGAAATACAGGGATTGGAGTTAGAGAAAGTTGGAAGCCCACCCGACTGGACAATTGGAAGTACACCCGACTGCCTAAAGGAATTCCTCTCGGATGTTGAAAACCATCAATATGCCAGCCTTGACGCTTTTCGTCTTATCCTGGAAACTGTGGCACCGACTCTCGAAACTCTCACTGCACATTTCATAAAGTATCAGCATTGCCTCCTTGAAGTAATCACTGTTCCGGAGTTGCCAGTTCTTCGAGATCTTTCCTTATTCAGGATGCGTCCTTATCACTCCAACCGCCCGACTTTGTTGTTCCCAGGTTTTCCCACCGTTTTTCTATCGCTAAGGAGATTTCAGATCGAAGGCTTTATTGAGCCATCTGCGTTCCTCTTAACGCATATGGCACCGTCGTTGGAGTGCCTCCATACAAGCGAATTCATTTTTGAGTGCGTGAATTCCTTCCAGAACTCGGACACGCTGCTCATGTTTTTCGCAGGAGAATCAAACCACTGTTCTTTCCGGAAACGCTACGAAAATTCGTAATTCACACGATGTTGGTAGAGGACGTGACATGGACACCGCATACAATCAAAAGGAAGCTATTTGGAGGAGTTTATGACGAGGATGTCGGGAAGTATGCTGAATTTGTGGCGGAACCATACTCCGAGGTATACGAGGATTGGATGGGAGATTGGGTGGCCAGGATTAATGGCGAAGGTGATGCAGTGTCTATTGAACTTGATACAGATGATGATGCGTTCCGAGTCGATGAATTTTAATCATTATCGGGGAGTTCTTTCTTGCGCGCAAGGCCATGATAGCGGCCAGTGTCCAATTGATATACGGGCGGCTGGATTTTTATATAGTTTGTGTGTCCTTGGTAGTTTGCAAATGAAGGAATTACAAAGTGTTTCTTCGTGGAGGAAACCTTACAAAAATCCTGGGCTTGAGTCACCTGTTGGATCTAAAAATATCTAATGCTATTTTAAACTCCGATGACAGCTTCTTTCAACTTGCACTCCTCCACGATGAAGCAGCGAGTCTCTCCCCATCAACCATGCGAAAAACGAATGTTTTCTTGCCCCTCATTTTCCTCCTCTTATCCGTAAACGCGTCCCCAGACCCTCAGGTAACGCCTCCCCCAACACCTACCATAGCGAAGAGGCAAGTCGCGGGCGGCGCTGGGACACCCATCCTATCCACGCTGCACTACGCGTATACTGCGCTTCCATACCAGGTGTACCCGTATCCCGTTCTGCGTGGACCACAGTATGGGTTTAATCAGTGTAATGCATCGACGTTGGGCTCGACGTCGAATTGTCAGACGTTGATCTTTAATGGGCCGGTGCGTTTCAGATCTCTTCAGTTTTCTTCTCATGAGGCTTATGCTACTATGGCGTGTGTATATAGGACGATTTTTGTCTTTGGGGATCCCCAGATCCAGCTGGGCTCATAGGGAACGAGGAAGCAAAGGTCGTTGCGTACTGCACCAAACCATATCACGGAACACGTGTGATTCCCCCAGGTGCTATTACTGGGCTTCAGGTACTCCCTTTTTCTCTTCTTCCTTATTTTCCGATCTCTTTGCTCACGGAATGCGATTACATAGTGGACCAAGACATCCGCATATATCCAGGTAGTCGGGTTCATTAATAATACTGGGATAAACCTGGACCCGACCGACTCTGGCGGGGAGCTTGACCCGCATGGTGCTGATCTGCAGGGCAACCCGCTTGGAGGGGTCGTCTTTTCCAATGGAACGACAGATTCGGATGGGAAGACGCTTACACAGGTGTATAACTGGAATACGTGAGTCGTCGCCGTCCGTATATGCGCTTCTAGGACGCATATATCCACTCCCACTCGGGAGTATGCGTCTTCATATCGTCCATTCCTCTCCTTGCATGCGTCCCTGCTGATTCTTACCCCTGAACACAGATTCGTGGGCAGCGGCCAATTCTGCTTCAAAGCCTGTTACAACAGCATCACTTCACCCGACTACTGCCAGAACACGTATGACCTTATTGGGTGCTCGTATAACATGCCCACCGCCGCGCAGGATGGGCAGTTCACGTCGTGTGATGGTGACTTGCAGGATGTTGTCGGGGTCTATACGGTCAATGGACAGAGTGCGTTTTTGACTTTTCTCTCTGTTCCTGATATAACTGATAATTCCCCTTCGCAGCGGTAACGTGGTCGATGCCCGACCCACTCAACACGCCACCGCCATACCAACCCCGCGTCCCGGCATCGTCAAATTGTCAAACGTACCACTCGACGGATCTACTGCTCGTGGCTAGCTCGACGGTACGTTTCGTTTCTGGTTCCTTGTTGTCCCCAATAATTCATTTCATTCTTTTGGTAGTCGGCATCTGGGCTTTCTGCAACGGGTTCCGCTTCGAAATCTGGTTCTGCGGCGGCTTCCACCGTTTCTAAAACCAGCGGATCGGTTCCGCGAGGTGGGAAGAGGAGTCTGTTCCTTGAATTTGGTTTGGTTGGCGTGGTGGTTTTGTTTGGCGTGGGAATGGTTCTGTGAGCCTTTTTGGAGTGGTGGGTAGGAGGGGGGAATTGATGACACCAGGTCAGGTTTTTTGACTTTACGCTCGATGATTGGACTTGACGGACTTTTTGTTGTGCTATGTACATTCGCTTTTTGCATCGTTTTGGACTGACGCTTTGACTTTTTCGCACCTATACATACATATCAGCACTTCTGTTACTTATCATTCATAGTTTTCGTCCGTAACCTTGCCAGTCATTTTGCGCTCCCAGGACTCGATCTTCAGGCTGAAGAATTATTTAATTGCCCAAGATAACCCTAAGCCCGCCTAGCTCAATCGGATAGAGCGTCAGACTTTTAAGGCGGGAGATCTGAAGGCTGCGAGTTCGACCCTCGCGGTGGGCTATGTTATATGGTTGAACCAATAATTTTTACATCTGATCTCTGCATTGTATTTATCTGCATGACATTCATTAATTACATGTGAAATTGTTGGTTGATTCTTGATTTTTTTGTTTGTAGCCCCTTGATAGAGGCGCGAAAGAAAAAAAAAATCGGGAGGTTAGTGAGTGGTATTTGAGCTTTTCAATGTTGGGGAGGAGGTGTTTAGAGTCAAATATATATGGTTACATGAATAATTTCTGCTGACTTGAGACTCTTTCTTGGTTCACGATCATTGAGAAGTGACAGGTCACCGGTCACCTCCCAGAGTCATTTAGAGGCGAGCTGAGGGCGATTCCAGTGGTCCGCAGTGAATCACCAGAGAGCAACGTACCCTCGGAAAGCTTCAAACCAACAAAAGGGGGTCGATGGTGTTTGCTGGATGTTATTCTTCACTGCTCCAATGGAGATGATAAATCCAATAATCGTAGTGGATGTATTCAAAGCAATTTGGAAACATACAAATGTCTTTGAGCTCCTTGTTTCCTACAGCAGAAACTGACCGCTCCAGTGGAGATCGTTCAAGAAACCGCAGCTCACCCCGATTGCACGACAGATCGACTTTCAAAACCTGCAGACTCATCTCCCTCCAGCGCTGCGTCGGTCACCGTTGACTTCCGACGAGAAGCGAACCTCAGCGCAATGGATGGTAACGGTGACGTCGAGGTGCTCCAATCGTCTGCAGGCCTGGAAAAGCCCGCTTGGACTCGCAAATTGATCAGCAGGGGTGCCAATCCCTTCAAGTATATGCGAGATGAACAAACATGACTTGAAACAAAGTACAACTGCTCACCGATATTTGGAGGTGAATATTCTGCACGCAAAGCGTCATCCCAAAAACTTGTGGGTGGAGTGGGTCGTCTTCACCATTTCCCCAATCAATGTAGGATATGACTGTAAAGGCAAGGAGCGAAATGGAATACAGTGCGGCTGACTCGACTATGATTTCAATCACCGAGTTGAATCTGCGCTTGTTGAGCCCGCCAAAGCGACCCGACACTTTTTGGACCTGCACGATGCGACATGTGGTGAGGATGGTCGTTATTATGACACTCCCGATTGGAAACATGGAATATATTTTCAGACTATTCATCGGCGTTCCTCCTATGAAGGTGGATTTCTCGTCCCAAGGCGTCATTTGGGCTGAGGCAATGACTGGCGGATATTTTCATAGACTGTCATTTCCGAGAGGTTTGAAACTTACTGGTTCCGATCAATGTAAGGGCAGTGGGCACAACTACCACCGGCCACTTGCGTCCCCATACAATCCAGCACCTCCATAACTGGCCTATAATGAGCCAGGACTAGGGAGAGATTGTTGTTGCTCACGAAAACAGCTTCTGCAAGGATATTGTTGACAACAAAGAACACGTTATACGTCATTGGGAACCATGAATCACGGCTCATCGCTACAGTGCCGGCCATTATTTTCAAAGAGACAGCCCAAGCGAGCGCTGCGTGTCCGCTAGCTACCAGGTAGGGCGCCATGTTGCAACTGATTAAGATAATTTTCTTCTGGCGGCTGTATTCCCTCTTGGAGACTGAATGTTGTTAGAAAAGTGGAGGAGATCATTTCGCACAGGAACATACCAATCAGCCATACGGTCAGAAGGAGGAGAGCGGTGTAAATTCCTTGCACACAAAAAATGAAAGATGTTGTATGATATCGTACAACCAAACGCACCACTGATCCATATTTCTGTAAACGTTCCACTTTCGTAGATGATAAGCTGCTGCGAAAAGGCCGACGCCATCTCTGGGATACGATGGGGACGCACAAGGCCTTGTCTAGCCCTTATATTAGATATTTGTATAATAGCCTCACCGCCTCGAGTCTTCTTATCCCTCGCATCAACCGGAGCACTCCAGTTATGGATATCCAAATACTTGTAGAACTTTGACATCCTTCGAATTAAGTATAAGTTCCTTAGTATACGGATCTTCGGGAGCGTTGTCAGATAACGTTCGACAGGCAATCAAGGGGTAAACACCTCAGCGGTAACTTGAAGCAAAAGCCAAAACTTGTCGCACACACCCCGCCTGATGCTATGTGGTCTGATAGAGTTGGAGGCACTGAAGCTGGGCTGAGAAACGGCGATAGGTAGGAGTCGAATGATACCCATTGGCATTGCCTCTGGCTGATAATATCAATTGCGTAGGAGTCAAAAAAACATCGTGAGTGCAAGCTTGAAGGCCAGTCAAGCGTAACTTATGAGGTTGTGCCCACCAAGATGATCGACGGTAATGGAAGATTTCTTGTGTATTTTCCCAGCCAAATGATCTCACCCAACACAAGAGATAGGCAGATCAATCTTCCACAGGCAATGTCAGTGAGCCATTTAAGAGTTTTAAGTGCATAGTTTGTAGAAAGAAAAAAAATCATGATCATCTGCACATGAGCACATGTTTGTCTTTATTTAGCGATCTCTTCCATCGGAGCTTGAAATGCAGCCCGCTTGCAATTGGTGATTAATTGATTGCTTGGTGACTCCCCGAACGCAAGCTGATAATCTCCAGCTCACACATACGCACCGGAGTGTTATGCAAAATAGAGGATTTCCTTCAGAAGGCCCATCGTATGATGGTCTCCTGGCTCTCCATCCTTCGCCCGAGGCCGACAACCACCAACACATCACTGTAAACGATACCCAGGAAGACGATGGTGGACTTGATGACAGTGGATTGCCGCGATCACATGCCGAGCCAAAAGGAAAAGACCTGCCTGAACTCCCTCATGACATTCTTTCATTGATATTTTGGCATGCGTGCCAACCGGTCCTCAGTGCTCGTTCCGAGTATGGCCCTAGATGGGAGCGCACATTCTATCCACTCTGGCTCGGCAAAATATCCAGATCGTGGCGCGAGACTGCCTGGGCATCTTCGGAGTTATGGGAAATCATAGTACTTCGCATCAATTTCAAGAAAATTGGCATTCAAACCGACCTCTTACGAGAGTGGTTTGGACGCGCAAAGGGACGATTGCTTGACGTTTACATTGAAGAACCACACCGCGCTCATAAACTCATCATTCCTTTAATCCGCGATACTCGTTCTCGTGTTGAACTGTTGGATCTGATCTCCCAACACTCGGAGCAGTTTCAACGTATCGACTTGCACCTCCCTTTTCATCTATACCAATATTTTGCTGACTCAACGTCAACACGGCCAACCAGTGAAGGCCCCGCTTATCCTTTACTACGATACGCCTCATTAAATTTTCGAGAAAAAGAAGAGGTTCCCGAAATACCCGAACTGGGTTTTAAAGAAGCACCCTTTCTATGCACTCTATCCCTATCCTCTTTCCGTATGAGGCCGAATGGCCTATCTTTCTGTCCTACGAAGCAAATCACTCGCCTCGTTTTGGATTCATGCAGAAACTTGATTTTGAAGAATCTCCTCAGTGACTTCCCTCGACTCAATGAACTTACTTTGACGAAATGCAAATTTTCCCACAGCAGACCAATCCTTGGAGGGATCGTACACAATCACTTGCGAATCCTCAATGTTGAGTTCACAATGCAAGTCTTCGCAGTGCCCAGGTCCCACGTCATGTCGAATTCTTTACCTGGTTTGGAGAGCATATCAATCTGTGTTGCCGAACCGTTGCGATCCGTTGACACTCAACACATTCCTCCGTTCTTGGAGCACTCCCGCAGCATCTTGACTTGCCTTACTCTCGAATTCCTAATCACCGCAGAGTTGGAATATCAACTTATTGAATTCCTTTCTCTTCCTGCCATCTCCTCCCTTCGAGAATTGCACATTCGGGAGTATTCCATTCACGGCAACCTATTGAGACACTTATTGGGTGCGGGGCTGGGTCGAACCTTCTTCGACGTTCTTCACCCGGACGAAGACCCAAATTACCTCCCACATCTAGAGATTATTGAATACGAGGGCCTATTGGCAGTGCATGCTATTGATTTCATTGAACCGTTGATTGTTCGATCACGTATACGCACAAGGTCAGATGATCCTCCCAGCTATGAGGACAGCAAGAATTTGGGTATATCAGAGGGAGTGGCGACGTTGAGAAAAGCGACGATTAAAGCCGACCAATATTCTGAGGTCGCATCTTTTTCGATTGCTGAGTACACAGATCCGCATTACGTTTGGGAAATAATTCAACTGATGGAGGAGGGGGCGTTGAGGCTACTGAATATGGATGGATCTTTGTGGGAATAGAGATTGACAGTACGACGGTTACTATATGGTGATGGTTCAAGGGCATACGTTTAAACATCACGTACTATCGTTCCGAAAGATTTGGTTCACAACTGGCATGAATATGAATTGATGAGCTGAATCTCCAGAGGGTTCAAGCTGAATTTAAATTTCTGATTCTTCTTCGTTTCGAAAGTTGGCGACCAAGGTGACGCGAATAAAATCGATGTCGCCGCTGCCCCATCCTCGGTTGCGTCTGCCAGAAATTTTGAACATCCAGAGGGACGGTGTGTTTTTGTTGCATTTGGAGAAGGGAGAATGAAAGGTTTGAACATTTGCTTCGGCCCTCGGGTTGTCCTCAAGTCGCGAACGGTGAGGTTTAAATTTGATAGGTGAGCCAAACAGCTCAACATACACTTTTCAAGTCGCCGGATCTTCCCGTTGTGACTTGCACTCTAGTTCGTTTGTCGAGAGACAGGGTGAATGAATGTGCTTGAGCCAGTGGTGAACATTCCTTTCTATGTGTTCCTTCACTCACTCGTCTGGCAGACCTTTCACCCTACTTCACAGGATGACAAGAAAATTTGCCTGCCAATGATCGACGCCTAGGCGTCCATATTTTAGTCTTGCAAGCGAGGATTGGCGGTTATCAAGGCCTTTTAGGCGCTCTACGGGTTATCGATTATCTAATATCCCGCTGCCGGAGCTTGTCCCACAATCAACGAGCGCTTTTTGGAGAGCTATAAGGACAAGCGTGGGACGGGATGGTTGTCCTTATCGCGCCATCTCTCACCCATCAGCATTATGCCTTTCTTTGAAGGTGCTCACGATTTCAACATTAAGGGTGGTTCCTTCAATGATGTTTCCGGAAATATGACCATAAACGATACAAGCCGCCGAACCACGAACTCCGGATCGTATAACACTACGAGTCGCAAGTATGACAACTCGAACAATGACCGCTCGATTAATGACTACAGCACCGGTGCGCTTTCTTCACCTTCAATTCTGTTTGAGGCTAATTTGTTCTTCAGGAATGACGCGGAATTTTCATCAGGGGACAGTGAACAACTTTGGCAACGCAAAAAATGTAAATACTGGGGACAATCACGGTGCGCAATGGCATTGGCATTGTTTGAGCGATAACTGATAACGAACTAGGTTTTATCAACCAAGAAGATTATCGAGGGGCCTTTCCCTCGCCACTTTACGACAAGTATGCACAAAGAGGTTATGATTATCTACGAAGCAGGGGCCAGGGTTATCGTCCACCCTACCCCCATGCTCAGTCTGTCCCCCCCAAGATGCCCTCGTACGGGCCTGAAGAACCACAGTATTACGGCCATCCACCACATCATCCGCCATATGCACATGCTCCCAGAGGTTTCCCAAACTCCTATGGAGCTCCCCCTCAAGGTCACAATACATATCCTCCTGGGATGCATGCGATGGATGCCGAGCACGCAGATATGTTAAGGGAAGGCATGGATGAGCTACGCAATGAGGGTCGGTATCACGGCGACTCGGATGGTGAAGATGACGACGATCTCAACCACCGCGTGGAGAGAATGGAATTGGTCGAGCCCGTCCCCTTATCTGCTGCGGGCTTGACCCCAGCAACGTCGCCGCGAGTCAGGTCCGATTTGACGGCTTCAGCACCTCCCACTATCGCATCCTCTACCGCCAGTGTCCAGAGCGCCAGTCCACCCATGAAATCGAAGAACCCTTTCAGGTCCGGTGCCTCTACGGACCGTTCGTAATTTGTTTCTCTTTCACTTCCCCACACACCTGGCTTTTTATTGAGAGGAATTAGGATCCACAAAGACACCTTAATCAGTTTCATACAAATTGTCTCACAATCTTATAATAATCGCACATACATTCAAACCAAGTTGCATCCTCACAAATGTCAGCGCCATATCAGAACGTGTGTCAGGAATTTTAGATAGAGCGAAGGGCTCAATTGACGCTCACAGGCAAATTCTTCCTTAGTGGCCAGTAGCGCCCAGGAAAAGCCGGTCCGACCTTGATTTGTTTTCTCCATCTGCTTGACGAGGACTGGAATTGGCATAAGAATATCATGGAAGAGACCACCACGCAGACGCGCGCATGCAGTGACATGCTCTGTGAGTTTTCTTCCTTTTTTCACGTCCAACGTTCCGCGTTCTGAATCGACGTGCGTCATCAACCTAAGAACGCAGTCATGGATTCAATCAGGTATGTCTCTCCTTCACTTCCAATATCTAAATTGATTCCCGAATGCTGAGCATCCTCAATCCCTCGTAAAAAATTTGAAGCGCCATCATCTATTGGCATATCGAATCTCTTGCCACCTTCAAGGAACATCCGCAGTCCGTAGTACTATGTGCATTCCAAAATCGACATTGTACCCGCCCTCTCCGTATTCAAGAAGGCCCAGATATTCTTGAGATATTCTCCACCCTATGATGGAATATCAAGCCACTGACTCAGGAAGCTTTTAATGCCAGCCTTGGTACCTGCTGCACAATGGTATACAATGCGACCGCACCTTCCGAACAATCCGCAGTCTAGGTAGTAGTAGAAGCAAAGTAGAAGCACCTCGACTCACCAACGATCATTCTTTTGGAAAGTGCGGATTGGAAGTCACTTTGGTATTTGGGCTTGTGCAGGACATTGAGAGCTGGCTGGTCCATAGGAAGATGGAGGATCAAACCATGGGGAGATTGACTGAAATTTTCTCTAGCTCCGAAGGTTAGCGGTCGGATTATTTCACTCCATTGTTTTACTCGCAATGGTGGTACCCCAGCGTATTGGTTACCCTGCCTTTATCCTCGACAAAGCGTGGACATCGGAGACAAGAAATTGAATTTTTCTGTTATTCTCGGTTCCTCTCTTTACCGAATTATACTGACTCCATTTGGACGCCCTTCAAAGTTCGGTTGCCCCGCCGGTGACGCGCGTGCGTCGCGAAGTACCCACCACCCCCATTTGGCGTGAACCGAGTTTCACCGGATTTCTCGCGCGATTTGACAGAATATTGGCAGCGGCGCTGAAAATCTTGCCGTAACCTGGAACTATTGAAATCTTTTTAATTTTAATTTTTCCGATACGGGATGCGAGGGGCATCTCCGCCGTAGCGAATACTCTGAAATACATGTGGGGGAAATCCGCAAGTAGGTCAATCTAATATGGGCACAGAATAACATGAGATATGTACATTTCCGAGGGTTAAATCAAGAAGAAGCGATAAATGTGAGAGGGATCGCATGTGCCCCCAGGACACCGAGGAGATAAGAGGAGAATGAGAGGCAGCGAGAAGGAGTGTGTGTGGTGAGCAGTATCAATGAAATAAGCGTATAAGTGAAGGAAACGCACAGGCAGTCAAAGGCCTTGAGCTCGCAAATATGAATACATACATGGATGAATGGGTGAGCGTGGGGAGTCGTGGAGTTGAGGTGCGAGGAACCATTGAAGGAGTCATGAAGAACGAAGGCGCGCCTTGCCGGCGTGAATATTGTACACAAAGTCCAAAGATATGGTTGAGACATAGAGTTAGATATCCAAGAAGGTCCCGGTTGAGTTTTGACGCCGGAGGAGGGAGACGTGACGAGTACGACGTTCAGGCGTATTGAGGAAGCGAGGTCATCATGAAAGCCGAGAAGTCCAGTTCGATATTTGAGAACTGAGCGCTGGGATGCTGGTCAACAAAAGTGGAGAAATCGTCGGTGGGAGTGGTCAGGAACGTCTCGCCACCCACACCCATACCCATATTGGTTTGCTCGTACGAGGGGAAGTTGAAGTCAGGGTATACCTTCTCGTTGTAAGGCTGGACACTGAAAGAGTCGAAGGGAGAACCGTAGGAGGGGGAGCAGGGACTCGTGACGTAGCTGGGGTCCGGGGACACGGGGGAGGAACACTGGGACCAGGTGTCTATAAAGTCCGTGTCAATAGAGAGGCTGGAATTGTACTGCGCCTGATCGAAGGCATCCGTTGTCTGTTGGAGGGCCATACCGTCTGACAGGGGATCGCAGAAGAAGGACGGAAGGGGAGAATTGACATTGTCGAAGGAGAACGAATTGAAATCCTAATACAACATTAGCCGTTTCTTAGTGGGGTGAGGCATTAAGGTGGGCTTACCAGGGAAGATTCTCGCTTAAGTGCCATGGACTGCGCGCTCATAGCGGCGGCGGCGGTGTCAGCAAGGAGGTGCATCTCAGCCTGAGGCGGCGAAGCAGGAGTCGAACATCGACTGGGCTTTGAACTGGATGAGCGAATCCTCCGAATTGGCGCCGAAACCGCGGATGGGAGGAAAGTCTGAGTTGCGCGGGAATTTTCTGTCTCTGGAACGGGGGCAGATGACGAACGGCGATAAGCCCGAGCAGTGATGGGGGCCTCGAAGCGTGTAATTATCTCTGGAACGTGATGTTTGTCGAATTCTTGAATCTCGGCGTTGAGCTCCCGTCCTTTCTTGCCTTCGACTAGAAGTTGCGCTATCTTTGCACACCGCTTGTGATCTTTCGGTTCTACCTCCCGCACCTTCCGTTTCTCCGTCGTTCCACCCTTGTTCTTGGTCTGAAGCGGTCTAAAGGCGTATTGAGGAAATTTACGCTTGTGTTCGTCCTGGGCTTCCTTGGCTTTTGCATGCCAGACTTTACGCTCCTCCTCGGGGAGACCTTGCCAAGTCAAACCTATGATCTTTGAGAGAGTCGAGTGATTGGTCTCGACCGACGTCGAGACGTGCTGGGCTTTAATGAAAGAGGAGCGGAAGAGGATGAACGCGTTAGGTGGACGAGGGATGTGATTATCGGGTTTTTTCTTGGAATGGGGCTGGCGCCTAGGAGGCGGGGTCTCCTCTGCCGGAGGGAACAGGATAAACTCGGAAGGTGGAGGCGGAGCATCAACCAGGGGAGGAAGGCCGTCCATGTCGATTGGGACATCGACTAAGCTCGGCATCATAGCATCATCAAATGTGGAAGTGGGTGCGACAGGTGTCGTCCAGACAAAGTTGTTTCCTAGACGCGCAACGGTGTCATGTAGGTATCTGTCCGTTGAATGGGATGGGGCTTACCAGATTCCGTACGCTTTACAGCTCTCGATCGTTCAGCAGGCATGGTGTAATATTGGAGGAGTCGAGTTAGATATCGCAGTGGGACAGGGGGAAGGTTGATAAGATGTTCTGGGCGTTTACGGGGGAATGAAAAGAGGAAGAGTCGGGGTGTAAAGGTGTCGCGAGGTATAAGCACGAGGCCTCTTTGGTATCTTTATATGGGTTTGCAGGGACATGAGTTACTGACTTTCCTTGGAATCCCATCCGCAATCGAACCCTGATCGGAGTGAGATCTGGGCAAACACTACAAGAAAGGCGATATTGAACCCACAACTTCCTAGATCACTCCTTCACAACCAAGTGAGTGCAAGCGCTCTCGATCGGCTGTGAGCACGACTCTCGTTTGTGGGCGATGACTCTGCAACAGAAACTAGCATTGTCGAAGAACAAGAGAATGAATTTCAATATTCTCGCCATTTGTTTCCGCTTTTATTTGTTGGTGTTGGTGTTTAATTGACACGTTTGACGTTCGATAAGGAAAAGGCAATCGATATCTCATTTAGTTCCGTTCATGCAGATGTAAAGTTCAACGACACCCAAGCACACCAAACGAAGTCTACATCGTGGCCATATACTACGCACGAGGTGTAAAGAAGAACAGTCTCTTTACAAAATGTGCCAACCCTTCACAACGACACAAACCTACTGACCGACCCCCTTAACGTTATACCGAAAAGGTGCGTGTTGTGTCTAGAAAGAAGGCTAGAACTGCGCCCGGTGACCGAGTAGAGGCGAACGCCACCTTCATATGCTACGCAATATTTCATACCCTCCACTGCTTGTTAACTGAGATCGCGCTTCATAGACTGAGGGTATCCTCCTCGTTGTTAAATAATGCTTTGCAGACGCCATAGCATGCTGATTTGACGCTTCTGAGCCTCACCCCCTTCCCACTCAAGCCGATAGCCCCATTCAGGGGGGCCAATTATCTCCATCAATCTGTTCCCCTTCCGGCGGTTCGCACCTTGCCGGACTCCGGATGACGCAACCCTACGAAACAGCCCTGTCCAAAATGCGTTGTTTTGCAATAAGCTCGTCCAAAAAACAAGAAACACTGCTCTAGGAGGCCTTTATTCAATGGCAAGTCGTAAATTAACACCTGTGCTAAAACTGATTTTGTCACATTTCTTGTTGAAGTAGATTTTCAATTGATTAGATGTAACGATCCTGCACTGTACCTGGACATCTGATCTAATACTTATCCCAAGTTCGACTGACGTATCTGATACAGGGATGAAATAACTGGACATCCTGCTGAAGCCTGCTGATCATTCATGCCGTCAAGCTGATCTTTACAGCCGGTGTTTTTCAGGTTTCAACTCAGCAAGCCAACCACGCTAGCCTCATTGCATTTGCCATTACCGAGATAACATAACACAAGTGCGCCGCCGAGCGGAATACTCCAGTCGAGAACGGGCAGCTTTCTATAGGTCCAACTAATTGCACTTCTCAGGCTCTTTCCTAAGTTCCCTTGACCTGGAACTTGGCCGCTAGTAAATTATAGCTTTGGTCCAGATGAAATTCTAAGACAGGTTAGGACTCATGAAGATCGAGTGACCTCGAGAGTCTCTCACGTACGCCTGACATACGCGCGCCCTGGTTCAGAACGCTGGTATATCTTTTCGACTTTGCCCATTGCCAACGACGAATGTGCAGATATTATCTTCTTTCGGTCCTACGGGGGACGATGCGAACTCGCCCTCGCCCTCTCAAAAATTGTCCAGGTGGTTTTCTATAGCTGGGCCATGTGAGAGACGTCAAGAAGTTCGCCTCAATGCCCAACGACTCAGGGTTAGATCACCCTAATTTGCGCATTTCACCAGAGCTTGGATTATGTATCAAGCACCCCCAGATCTCCAAATTTCATACGCTCACCAACTCTTTTTTTCTAACCCAGATCGGGTTTGGCGTGCGGAAGAATCGGGTTGTCAAGGCTCACGTTCAAGTGCTCTTGCCCTTTTACGCTCGTCCAAGCGCTAAACACTTTTATCGACGTACTGAATAATATTCTTCAAGTTCCTATGCCTTCCAATGTCCAATTTTTAATCTGAAGACTGGACGTTATGTGATTCAAGCCAGAGCCGCTAACCAGTAAACGCTACGAAATCAATTCTTTGGACATTACTTACCAAAATGATCAGGCACTCACTATCAAAGTTCGACTTGAGTTCGACATCGACAATTTACTCAATAAATTTTGAATATTGATCACAAAATTTATAGTATCTATCCCAGTTCAAACCCCAAATTCCAGCACCTCTTCTCCTGTGTCCCTCGACAGAGCCTGAAGACTAAGTTCAGAGACACATGCAGCGACTCGACTCGTGGGCGCCAAGATAACGCGTGTTTTGATTCCGCCTTGGCCGAATTCTCCATTCGATGGAGAGGTGAAATTCGAATTTGGGGTAGCACCAAAACAGACTATCGCATGACACGTGATGAGGGTACGACATCGGTGCTTATATAATTTATCGATTCATTGACATGTTCAGCACCTTCTTCATCTCCTCCCACCGTGCGTTACAACGCGCAATCTGTTGATAAGGAATCTTTAATCCTCGGAAAAACATACATTTGTAGCCGCGGGTTTTGACCGTAACCTCTGGTTTCGTGATACTATCGATGGTGGCGCCTTCATTTGCTTTTCAACTCATCAGCCCTGGAGACTTTCTTTTTCACTCGAAAACACATGTCGCGATCTCGGTTTTCAGAACAAAGTCCACCCGTTTTCTCACTCTGAGGCTACTCAAAGGCTACCTTGTTTGGATCCGTTGCTTTCGCGACGGTCGCACTGATGATTAGATCTGGGTCGGGCTGTCGGACCCTCTTATTTTCCCCGCGGTTTACATGAATCTGCAAGGTAAAGTATTTTGTAGGCTTTGCGGTCTCACTTGTTTTTTCGCTCTCGCTGGACTCTACACTGGAATCACGTTTTCTTAGGGCATGGTGCTGTTTACTCTGGCCAATTTATCACCAGAACTACAAAGTCTGACTCCTTCTGATCCACTCTTCGCATCGCTTTTCTATACGCAGGACAACGACCTGCACGCCACCACTTCCTTGTTTCAGTTTTGTGGGTATTGGTTGGGCGCTGCTTGGAGGTAACTACTGCCAATCAACAAGACCTTGTCCTTTCTGGAGATGAGGGGAGAAAGGCCAAATTTCCTGGGTGATTTACACTTTGCTGAACTATGTATTTATGTTCATGACCTTCTTCTGAAAATCTCTTGCGACCAATTTGCCAAACTGTTCTCCTTCCTCTAGCTTCCTGCCCTCATCCTCTGCCTTCCTGCACAATTTGCAACCAACGTGCGCGCTATCATCCCTATTTAAACTCTACCCTGACTCTGAAAGTGGCTTAATTAGCTCACTCTTCGACCGGTAGTCGTTCTCGTTCTAAAGATACGTGCGTAATCTTTCCGCCGTTAATTCCTTGGTTCCTCAGTCTAGCTACTCTGCTGAGTCTCTCATGTCAATCTCGCACTCTGAAAATCTTTATCGTCCTGTTTTGTTCTTAGTTTTCGAAACAACGACCAACCTGAAGCAGGAAATCCTTGAATCTGTACCTTGAGGCCCTGAATGTTATCATTGAACTCGGAACGCTCTTCCGTGCTCCGACATTCCAGTTCCAGAATCAGTTCTCTCAAGCGGTTAAGTACTATACGGAGTATGTAACAAATGTTGCCTAATCTATGTCGTCACATGCTGAGGCCATTCTTGTTCAAATCCATAAATCATGGACCCACAAGTATTCATCCCCTTCCATGCTCCCCTTCTACATAGAATAGAAGACCAGCAATATATTCAGCTGTTTACGTGTTTTTGAAATGCTACTGCGCCACGCAGCCAAGGCAGTCTCGTAGCCTCGTGCGGTGATGGTAGTGCTACGCCCACATAATGAATCTGGGACCCACAAACACCCACCGATCGTGATCGGTGTCGGGCCTTATGATATCATACTCCTCGCCTATGAACACGATAACCCGTATTTATAACGGACTTGAGCAACAGAAAATTCCGAAATATGAACATGCAATCTGCAATTTACTAATGTAGGAAAGACATCGACTTCACATCATATTGAAGACGAGGAGACTAGTAGTCCTCTCGCGTCAGCAAATCCACAGCGATCCCAAAGTGATCCATGCCATGATTCACTCGCAATCGCCGTTACGGTCACATACAATAGGCCAAAAATTATTCAAGTGAGTCGACCAACGTTATAACGGTGATAGTACACTTGGCACTTGCCTTCGACGCCTCTCGAAAATACTCGCAAACGCGCATCCCAGTGCACCGCAAAATCTGAAGCTGCTGAGGTAGATCGTTTTGAGATGTCCTTCAATTTTCATAACCTCCGAAAACGCTCCTCATTCAACCATCGCACGTCCCTACTGGTATACCCTTCTCCACCCCAGGCCTCAGAATGGACGATTCGCCCGACTTATTGCCGACTCGCGGGGTCAATAGTACATAGATTTTTCGAATTTTACACTTCTTTCATGACGACATTATCAAGCTGCGCCGACGGGGCAACTTCGAAGGGTCGAAGGAATTCTTAGGTGCCCCCATGATCATAAGGAACTACGCAACGGCTCGTTGGCCCGTTCTTTCAACGATATCGCATGATCTGAACGTTAACTCTTCAGATTACAACTCAAATGAGCATTCAATATTTATTACTTTTAGTACCAGGTAGTCAAAGATACACGACAACTATAGATACAGAAATAGGGCTAAAATACACGTTTTGAAAGCGTGGCCCTGGTCCAAAACCGAGGAGCAGTGGCGGCTGATGTGAATTGAATACGGGAAGGCGAAAAAAAAATGACGCAACAGAGGGGCGTTAAAGCGGGGACATGTACGTGATAAGGGGAAACGGAGCGCTCGTGATGTAAGGAAGGGAAAGTGGGGAAGATGGGGTTCATGTCAAAAGCGTCATGACAACGAGAGAGACAGGATGAAAGGGGAGTGAAGTGGGTCCACGACGCAGACAACGTCGAGGTTCAACGAATCGATAATGAAAAGTGGGGCCAACGCCTGAAGGGAATATCAATAATGAATCACTAAGCAAACAAAGGTAAGCTCCACAAACACCCACCGCTCAAAGTTCAATCAAAGCTTCTAAAGCTGCTCATGGAACCGCCCAGGAACCTCCGCCGCCGCCGCCGCAATCCAACCCATTCCCGCCTTTAGACGGTACACCCCTTTTCCCGACGGAACAGACACAACCCACCCTGCCTTTCCGAAGTAGCTGGATGCGCTGGTGAGAGCGGAGCAGGTGCACCGTCCCTATCCCTTGATGGTGCAGGCGAAGCTACACGGCCAGGTGAACCAACTCCACCATAGCGGGGTGATGCGACTTGAGCAGGAGAACCAGTGGCATAGCAAGAATGACCTCGAGGGGAAGCAACACCTTCACGAGAGGTTGATTGATAATGACAAGTCGTTTCCTGAGCTTGGTATGGCGCGCTCTGAGGCTAGCAAGTCTGTCCTTGCCGTGAATGGGTCCTATACTGAGGGCCATAGATCATCCTTGCCTGGTAAGTTGTCCCCTGCGATGGTTAAGTCGAACCCTGAGGATGGTAGGTCGCAGCCTGAGGATGATACGGGGTAAGTCGTACCCTGTTGCGGATACGCCCCACTCTGCGGAGGATAACACAACAAACAGAGCAGCCCCATAATCGGCACCGCATCCCGCCCTCAGTAACTCTCAGTTGACTCTCCCCGTAACATGCGTCGCCACGAGTTCCTCGTCGTCCCTGCACCTGCCAGCCGTGCATAATGCTGCCTCTCCTCTTGCTCAGTCGCGTAAATCTCACTATCAAAGGTAAACACACCTGACAAGACACCAGTCGAGCGCCCTCATACGCCGCCCTTGGAGCTTCTGGGGCTGATACGACCCCCAATCGATAGTCGGGCCTTGTTCTTCATGGTATAGGCGGGCAAGAAGACAAGAAAAGAGAGAACGAGGGGACCTGGCTTGCGGAAAGGGTAGGATTGGACGAGGCGAGCTCGTGTGCGGCGGTGAGCGTGTGAACCTTTTCTTGCGTAATACCAGAACGAAAATCATCTTCTCCTCAAGCCACCTAAAATCCTCAGCACCAGTACATCTACCTCCTCTCCTTCACACTCTTCAGTACCGCTCTTCACATGTCACTTTTAATCTATTCATAAGGGGTTTTTGATCCTCGACAAAACCTACATTTGTCCCCGCGGGTCTTGAGCTCTCTGGTTTCGTGATACTATCGATGTTGGCGGCCTCATTTGCTTTTCAACTCATCAGCGCTCAGCCCTGGAGACTACCCATTCTTCTTCACTCGAAAATACATGTCGCGATCTCGGTTTTCAGACAAAGTCCACCTGTTTCTCACTCTGAGGCTGCCTAGTATGGATTCATTGCTTTCGCGACAGTCAGTGAATGATGAGATCTGGGTCGTTCTCTGTCGGGCCGTCATACTTTTCCCGCGAATATGTGAATGTAAAATATTTAGTAGGCATTAGCGTCTCACCTGCTTTTTTCGCTCTTGCCAGGTTTTAGACTGGAATCAAGTTTTCCATCGGCACTGTTTACTCTGGCCAGTTTGTCACCAGAACTACAAACTCTAACTCCTTCCGATTCACTCTTCGGACCGCTTTCTATACGCAGGACAATGATCTGCGCACCACCATTTCTTTATTTCATTGTGTCAACATCAGTTGGCCGCTGCTTTGGAGGTGACTACTGCCAACCAAAAGACCTTCTTTGTGGAAATGAAGGAAGAAAGGCTAGGTTCCCTACTCTACGAATAGGTGATCTACACTTTGCTGAACTAATAATTATGCTTATTCATGACCTTCTTTCGAAGAATCTCTTGCGAACAATTTGCCAAACTGCTCGTGACTCCCAACTCTGACGTCTCTTGTCCTCTTCCTTTGCGTTCCTCAGGCTGCAGCTAATCTACAATTTGCAACAAACGTGTGCGCTACCATCCCTATTTTCGGTACTTTAAACTTTACCCTGACTCTGAAAGTGGCTTAATTATTAGCTCACTCTTCGACCGGTAGCCGTTCTCATTCTAAAGATACGTGCGTAATCTTTTAGCCCGTTATTTCGTCAGTAAAACTGACACTCTGGCATCTTCGTTGTCTAGTTTTTGAAACAATGATCAACCTGAAGCAAGAAACAATCTGTACCTTGAGGCACTGAATGTTATCATTGCGCACTCGGAACACTCTTCCATGTTCCAACATGCCAATTCTTCTCTCAAGCCTTGGAACCGGTTACTATACGGAATATGCATCACAAATTTCACCTTATGATTTGGTAAAAGAGCTGACGCCATCTTCCATAAACCCATAAATCATGGACCCACAATTCATCCCCTTCCACGATCCTCTTCTTACAACAAGAGACCGATAAAATATTCAGGCCTCAGGTTCACATGTTTTCGAAATACCACTGTATCACAAAGCCAAGGTAGTTCTCGTAGCCTCATGCACTGATGGTACTTAGGGCTACTACCCACATGCTGAATCTGGGACCCACAAACACCCACATGATCATGATCAGCGTCCGACCTTCTGATATCACTCGAGTCGCCCACGAACAAGCTCGAACAAGACTTGTTACCGCAAAGCAATAAAGTTCAAAATCCTTCAAAGTCGGACGAATCGGCGTTGCGGTCTGATATAATACTTAATCCAAGTGGGTCGACTAACAGTAATTGTTGGTTAATTGGGTATATCCAGCGAAGCTCGACAAACGCACATCCTTGCACCTCAAAATCTGAAGCAGCTATGTAGATCGTTTGACGATGTCCTTCAATTTTTATAACCCCCGAAAACGCTCCTCCCGCAACCATCGCACGCCCAGGCCTAGGGCTAGAATACGCTTCTCCAACTTGCTCTGAGGTCATGACCGTCAGGGTGGAGGATTCGCCCGACTCATGCCGAATCGCGGGGTCAGTATATGTATGTAGTACATTTCTCGTAATTTGCGCTTCTTTATGGATGACATTATCAATTTGACAGGCAACTTTCAAAGAATCGAAGACATTCCATAAGGAACTGCGCACCGGCTCCTCGTCCCGTACTTTCAACGATATCGCATGATGATCTGAACTCTAACGCTTCAAATTACAAGCATTCAATATTCAATAGTTAAAGTACAAAGTAGAGCCCATGAATACAGAAATGGGGGGCTAAAATACAAGGTAAGAGCAGCGCTCACGTTTTGAGAGCGTGTGGCGGCTGATGTGAATTGAATACGGGAAGGCAGGGAAAAAAAATGACGCAACACAAACGGTGTTAAAGCGGGAAAAGTGTACATGATAGGAGGAAACGGAGCGCTCGTGCTCAAAGTAAGGGAAAGTGGGGAAGATGGGGTTAATGTCAAAGGCATCATGACAACGAAAGAGACAAGATGATACGGGAGTAAAGTAGGTGACAATGTCGTGGTTCAACGAATCGATAATGAAAAGTGAGGGGGGAAACACCTGAAGACATCAACCAACGTCAATAATGGACCACTAGGCAAACGAAGGAAAGCACCCACCGCTCAAATGTTCAATCAGAGCTTTCTAAAACTGCTCATGGAACCTTCCAGGAACCTCCGCCCTCGCCGCCGCCGCCGCAATCCCACCACCCCCATTCCCGCTTTTAGACGGTACAGGCGACGCCGCTCCTCTCCCCGACGCCGACGGAACAGGCGAGGACACACCACCCTGCCTTCCCGCTCCCGAACTCACCGAATGCGCTGGGGAGGAGAGCGGAGCAGGTGCACCGTTCCTACCCCTAGATGGCGCAGGCGAAACGACACGGCCTGGTGAACCAACTCCAACTCCGCTAACATGGTATGGCGATGCGGCTCGAGCGGGGGATCCGGTGGCATAGGGAGAATGACCTCGAGGGGGAGAAGCAACGCCTTCACGAGAAGCTGCTGCGTGAGGGTAAGTTGTTCCCTGAGCTTGATATGGCGCGCTCTGAGACTGATAAGTCTGTCCTTGTTGTGAATGGGTCGTATACTGAGGCTGAGAAGGCGCCTGGTGAGTCGTCGTCCCCTGCGATGGATAAGTCAAACCCTGAGGGTGGTAGGTCGCAGCTTGAGGATGATATGGCTGAGCGGGATAAGTCGACCCCTGTTGCTGATGCTGATACGTCGGCTGGTACGTGGCCCCCTGCTGCTGATACGCCCCACTCTGCGGACGATACCCAACAGGCGGAGGAGCCCCATAATCAGCACCGCCTCCCCCACCCCCAGTGACATTCGTGGTGACTCTCCCCGTATCACGAGTCGCCACATTCTCCGTCGTCCCTGTCCCTGCCAACCGTGCATAATGCTGCCTCTCCTCTTCCTCAGTCGCGTAGATCCCGCTATCACCATCGTCTACACCGGGTTCAGCACTGATGGCATGTTCTTCGTGGGGCTACAGTAAACAGGCGTTAGTTGTGTATTTTTGGGAAAGGGCGCGTTTATAGAATTGAGATGGGGACGGAGGAGTGGCGGGGAATAGAGAAACCATAGCGTAGCGGGAAATAGAGAGTCAAAATAGAAAGGCGAAACAAACATCAACCGGGATACGCACAACCCCAAAGAAAACGAGTATTCCTCGAACGCCATGCACAACCGCCAGAAGATACAATATCAAAAGAGAGCGGCGTTGTACGAAAGAGTGGCGGGGAATGGAGAAACCATAGCGGGGTATAGAAAGTCAAAATGGAAAGGTCAACGACCCAGTGCACGAACACCAAAAGAGCCAACATCAAAAACAAAAAAAAACACACCTGATAAGACACCGGCCTCGCACCCTCCTGCGCCTGTAATGGGGCCTGATACGACCCCCGATCAATCGTCGGGCCTTGTTCCTGTTCTTCATAATCCCTCGAAGGCCTTTCCCCCACATCGCGTGAAGTCATAGCTTCAGCCTCCCTTGGCCCTCGGCCCTCTGGCGCTTTTTCCTGACGTCTGCTTAGCCTTCGAGAGATGGACGTCTTTTTGTCGAGCTATCAAAAAAAGTTGTTAGTTGGAGCGTGTGAAAAGAAAAGATAGAAAAACGTACAGGATACCCATGAGGCCCCATCTCCATCCCCGCTCCTCCCTGAGCGTACCCAGGCGGCGGAGCCCTCTGCTCCTCCTGCGCATCCTGATACTCATCAACACCCTCCCCCTCCTCCTCCTCAACACTACTCCCCTCCGCCTCCTCCTCCTCCTCTTCCTCCTCACCGCCACTAATATACCCCGCACTCCTAACAGCAGCCTCAACAGGCCCACTCCTCTCAAGCTGCTCACTAGCAACCAGGTACCTCGCACACAACATCCTAATATCATTCCACCACTCCATCATTTCATCCCGACTCCTAGCTCGGAAACTCCACGCCTTGTTACTCTCCCCCTCCTTAGTCGACACTCCAATCATACTGCGCAACCCACCACCTTTGGTGGTCCCCGTCCCTTCCTTCCGTCCCTCGATATGGAATTTGTGGCTTTTGCTCTTGATGGTGCTAGGCGGGCCTAACGTGCACGACGACAGGAACAAAGAGAAAGAGGGGACCTGGCCGGCGGGGGTGGTAGGATCGGACGAGGCGAACTCGTGCAAGAACCCAGCGGGTGTGAGGACAAAGTAATTCTCGTTATAAGCCCGCGTGAAGCGTTTCTTCCGCTCCAAATGGCCCGTGTGTACTGAAACGACGCAAGGATCGTCTTTCAACGGCCATGTGACGCTTTGCGTTGTACGCATGGGGGTTTCGGGGTCCAAGAGGTGGTCGGAACGCGCTGCGAAGGCGATCCATTCTCTATCGGGCGTGAGGGAGGCCATGTGTGCGGAGAGGGACTGGAAGAGGGCTTGTGATTGGACCGAGGCGCGGGACTGCCATTCTTCGAATGTGTTCCAGGCGGATTGGATGGAGCGGACGATGCCGAGTTCAAAGGCTGCGCTGTTTTGTTGGGTCATGACGAGCGATTTTTGGAGCAGGTTTTCTTCGAGGACTTGGCGCTGCATTTGGCGGGCTACAGCTGCGTTGGTTAGGTACCTATGATGAATGAGTAAAGTCTTTAAGGATGAAACAGAAAACGCACGGGTCTTGACGAGCTTGAACCATCCCCGGGGTGTTTTTGAACGTCGAGATGTGGTTAGCGAGATCACCAAGGAGCTTCTCAGAGACTTCGCGTTCTTTGGCCACGTTCTGTGCCAGCTTGGCTGTGTCACTTTGCACATTCTGTTGTGGAGTAGGTGAGTATTAGTCAGTCAAGTGAAACGTCTGAGTCTGAACCTTTATATGGGCTTTGATCTCCGTAGTGAGTTTCTGAAGGTGAAGGACGATTGTACCCTGGATCGTGCGGCCGAGGTCGGCATGGTGGTCAGCGACGATGCGTGATTTGTCTCGGATGGTGTAGAACACGTCCTGTGGAGTGAATTAATGAATATAGCGAATAGAATAGATTATAGAACGTACCTGAAGACCTCCTTCACCGAGGAACTGGTTTCCAGCCCGGAAAGGGACTTGAATGACGCCAGCGAGCTTCATCATGTCCCTTGCCGTGTTATTCTCGATTTCAGCAATACCCTGCGCAGCAACGTGAGATGGCCATTCAACCCACAGCGAATAAAATAAAGCGTACCTCAAACCATGCAGTAAGCTGCCTAACGATAGCCTTCCAAGCTGTGAACCGTTCAATGAGGACATCCGCAGGCTTGAGGTCATGCATCTCAATGCTCCTCTTGATGAGGCTCTGGTGACGAGAAAGCGTCGACGTGCGCGAGGTGCGCGACGTCGCGCGGGACAGTGGCGCCCCCTCTGTCTGTTGCACGGCGTTCTGGTTGTTGTTCATTCTGGCGGGGGAATGGAACATGGTTTGAGCCAAGTTTATATCCACACTCAGATATTGACGTCAGCTTAACCCTAACCACAGAAAAATGAGACAAACACCTAGCAACATCGCTCACGATCATTACCAATCAACATTTCTCCTCAATATCGGCCGACTAGCTCAGTTGGTTAGAGCGTCGTGCTAATAACGCGAAGGTCTTGGGTTCGATCCCCACGTTGGCCATTGTCTACCATGAACATCACTTTTACATCTAGTGATGCTTCGTCCTCTTTGTTCCACTAGATCTCTCGCCCACCTCATGATCAGTCCAACCTCCGGTGCGGTAGAAAAATCGAGCTGGAGCAACCAGCTCACTGCATTTTGCATTGAATTCGGTAACCACCCTTCATACACCAAATTTAATATTACGTGCCGCTTCCGCCACAAGCACCTCCATGTTCGTTCGCACCCATCACTTATCGTCAAGAAGTGACGTGGTGTTTGCAATCATGATTGTCAGTAGAACTGCTACTACCTTCTGAACCCATACCACCGCCCCACCGTGACCTCGATCCCACTTGATCTACAGTGGTGTCCGTCGCGCTCGAATCCATCTGCGTGTTGTGCTCCCGAGAAGACAGCGTTACCCCTTCCCACCATTCCTTAACAATCTCGTCTTGGTGGCTGAGCTGTGGACTTCTTTGCTATCATTTTGCGCCCCCTTCTTACATGACATTGCCGACCGCGTCGAACCACGGGTTTGGCGACCTCCTGTAGAGCGCTAAGTCACTTTATTAGAAAGCCTTCTCGCCAGATATTTTTGACCGCTGTAGCGATTAAATTGTCAAGAAGAACCCCATACTAATCTCCTTCCAGTTGGAATGGACGACGGCGCAACTCAATACCGAGTACTTACTAGGTAGCCCACTATAGGCATGTATCGTTGAGGTCTACTTCTCCAGAATTAAATTCAAAATCAACTGTCCGCTGAGGTGCACCCGCTTAGTCTCTCCTAGACAGACTTCGATATATGTGAAGTTGTACCTTGGTTCACGATATATGAAGCACCCGCTGTGCATTGGGCTTCCTTCTTCATCATGTGACGTTGGACCAGGGATTGGAGGCCCGGGATGGGCGCCACAGCCTCAGGCTTATCACTGTCAAATCATATCAACCTCTTAACTCCTTCATCTACAGATTCTGAGATGACTGCAGAGTAAGCCCTCATTTCACGTCCGGCCGAGATTGACCACAGTGCGATCGACTACTTCTAGGGATCTCACTATCGCAAAGAATGTTGTGGCCTGGATCACGGCGAACCAAACCAATCTCTCAACTCCCTCTCCGTCGGATGTCAAAGCTGGAGAGATTTTCCTATTTGAAAAGAGCTCTCAAGAACCGGGCAGCCGCTGGGTCGATAGACGTAGCTGGGAGCAGGTGTCGCGTCGACAATTTCAAAATATGGGGTGCGAGATCTCCGAGGAGAAGCGCGCTTCAGACTCCCTACTCACGGGACCTCGTGCGTCGTTGACTGTTACCCTTTCCAAGAATTAGATTGGTGATTTTACCATCAGTATTGAGGAAAATAAATTGGAGGAACGTCAAAATCGATTCTAAAACGTATCAACTTGTGGTTTATGAAGAAGCCAAACCCCCCGATCGACGAGGAGAGAAATCTGAGCAAAGCGACTTACCCAAAGATCTACAGGAGAAGTACCCCGAGGAGGAAGAATCTTCTCATGATCTGCGCGGAGATCAAGAGATCCGTTCGCGATCTTCGCACTTCTTTGAAGTTATTCTGAACAAGTGATGGATCGGAGTTGGTTCTCTCGTTGGAATATACCTGGGAGTAAAAGTTGACAAGAGTAGATCGAAACAAAAGGAAACCTCTGCAATGACGAATGCGAGGATCTAATGGCGCTGCAGGTTTGGGCAGGAAACGGGAATTGTCTGGCCCCGGTTACCAACTGATGTACTTTAATCATTCCAAATTAAAGGTCATGATTTTACTACGTATAGGTTGTTTTCTGCTTCACCTTGAGGACTCGTGTGTGCTAGGCGAAGGCTTTTCACAGTGTCGGGAACTCGGCCATACTTTCCCCAGGCCTTAATTTTCAGTGCGGCAGTAACGGAAGCCGATGCCACCCAACGTGCTCTCCACGAGGCCTCTGCAACACAAAAGCTTTGCTACGGCGCCTTGAATTCGAAGCTACATATTTCCGAAAGTGACTTGCTACTAGGCGTTCCTTTTCAGTCACTCAGTCGACATTAAACCATTAAATTCCCACCACGCCTGGATCCGGACCTATGATTTACATATGAAATGAATTGTCGTGTTTTGGGCGATTGGAAGGATCGAACGCATAAGCCCTAAAGAAACTTTAAACAGAACCCCCTGTCAACAATTTCTAAAAGCCCCCTACATATTAAGCTCACAAAGGCAGAACGGAACGGGTCACAAAAACATACCTCTACGATTGAGGGTCACCCCCGGGAACGCCACAAGTGTAGCAAAACCTGTGTTCATCAGGGTTGGGAGGGATGATGACTTGACCCGGGTTGCACTTGAGCACGATCCCTGGACACTGGACACGAGTGGGTACCGTCGCTGCGTTCGCGATCGAGGTGAAGGTGACGAGACATGCGAATAGTGATGAGGCAAAGGTAGGCTTCATGGTGGCGAGTGAGATGTGGTGTGTTGGCCGTTAGGTGGCTGACAGGTACGAACGACATGAACATTGAGACCCAGACGATAGGAAGCACGATGCTTACTTATTGACGACAACACGCAAGAACAATGAGCGGATGGTTAGAACGGAGGCGAAGAATGAAAAGCTGGCGAGGGGTTAACGTTCTAAGAGGCTCCCTTTTAGTTACTGTGTGCGGGATCGAAGCATAGACCGCTTCCATTCGAACGGGTGCGGTGGCTGACAGAGCTACAAATAGGCAATACTATGGTTAGAACAAGAGTTGCAATTAGAACGGTGGGTTCGACTCCTTGACTGTGAACTAGATACGCCGTCGCTCTGCTAATGGTACGTCCGATGTTGACAGGAGTGTTTGAGCCGTAGAACCACGTTCGTTTGCCAAAAATTCTGACCGCGCCACCACACTTCGCGAAAAAAGGCAAGCAACTGCAAACGGGGTGACGTGTAGCAACAAAAAATTGGGTACTGAGTTGTCTGGCAGATAACAGCAGACGATGGGATAGTTTGTTTATGGAAGAATGTGGTGTGAGGGAACATTGCCACCGGAGAAAGGGCGGAGTATTTGAAGACGATGGTAATGATGCCTGCATATTCTCCTGCATTCTCCACAACTTGTAATCCGAACGCCAAACCGATCAGATTGTCAAGGGATTTCAATGACTTGGAACCATGTCAGTTACCTGCCTAGCGTCGATGGTCGGAGAAATTCCAGGTGGTGGTAGAAGTGATGGACGGAATCCGACGGATGATGCGAAACCAATGACTTCAAGAAGGGTGTGAGCAAAGGGGGAGGCGGTACAAAAACTTGAACTTGAAAAAGATGATTATTTGCTCTTGTTTGGTAGGATCTTCTAGATGATTACCGCTAGGCCGCCCTCAACGTTCAACGTTCAACTGTCAACATGGTTTTCTACCTTGCTTCCATCAAATTTAAATTTGGTGTACATGTGTAGTCATCCCCGACTCTGGAACAGAGAGGGTTCTGTCAGACACAGGGGAGAAAGAGTGATTTGTCCGATGAGTAAATTACTAGGCATATTTTGATCAGAGGCATTATTGCTCAATGATTTTCTTCACATTTGTACAAAGGATAAATTTAAAATATATTCAAGAATAAAGCTGAGATAAAAAGACACTATGGATGGTAGTCACATATAAAATATGCCCATTAGTAACAATCTAAATGAAGCTGGTGAATATACTTAAAATGTGTCTTGGAATATTGGGCATATTCTGAATACACTTAATCATATCTGGGCACATTGGAATCAAATATTGAATGAGCTGCTGGAGAAAATTTGATGCACATTCTGCCAATAGTTCTCATGTGGTCCTTTGTGCACATCCTAATTGCAGTTGATGTTTAATGTTGGGCATATTTTGATTTTACCCACCTGACAAACGTGAAGTAAATTATTGAGCAATAATGCCTCCGATCAACATATGTCCAGCAATTTACTCAATGGACAAATCACCGTTTCTCCCCTGTCACTTGAGACAGGGCCCAATAAATAACCAGGACAAATCAGGACATATGTACCTCCTTAATTGTAGTCACTTGTAAAATAATGAAGCAAATGTGCATCCCGAAAACATTAATTCTCAAAATTACAAAAGGAAGAACGATAAGAACATCAACCATATTCAATTTGCATATTTAAACAATTTCTTTGTGAAATAGTCTTGGTAGCCATGGCAACACCACTCAGCTGAAGAATATGTTAAAGAATAAAATAATGGAATTGGCCAGTCAATATGGCTGACGTTCTTATTGTTCACCAGTTTGAGATTTTGTTAATCAATTTTTGTGCGATGCACAACAGATTTATTATTCTACAAGTGTCGAAAATTATGGAGGTACCTTTGCCTAGATCACACATTGGACCCTGTCTCAAGTGTGTGAGAACGATACTATCAGTGACCAGGAGTTTGATATGCTTCAGGAGTTTGAAATCCCCGATTTCCTCTCTTAATTTTGACACAGGCTTTCTAGTATTTTTTTCTGGACTAATTATGACTCTTACAAATATGAATATCAACCTTTTTTGTGCAACAACCGAGTCTGACGAGCTCAGGATTTTAAAAGGTGGTTTTCGGCGCATCAAAACCGTGATGTATGCAAATGATTTTCAAGATCTAATCCGATCCTTTGCATTAGGGTATCTAAAAATTTACAAGCATGTACTAGTAAACGACGCGACTTCAAATACAAAAAATCGAGCAGAAAGGTGAAGAACTATGCTTATAATCCAATGAATTTCGATTCTTTGTCTGCTGAGCGTGACAGACGTGATTTTGGGCTGCGTGGTTTTGAACCCTGACAGTCGCATCACCTATCAAAATTCTGACAGTTGGATGTGACTTGGACGTGACAGCCATTTCAATCTCCCGAAACAATCGACTTCGACGACCGGTAAGCCTCCGTCAGCTTCCACCACTGTTCAATAAAAAAACGAAAAATATATTCATGTTCATGAGATACACATTCACCACCACACAAAATTTGGAGGCCCGGAGTGTAGCGGTTGTGGCATAATTCAGCCAAAGGTCAAATCGTTTCAAACTCCTGGTCACTGATAGTAAAGCTCGATCCTTGCAAAAGTTGTGTGATGGCTTCCCACGAATTTCGGCTTGTTCCGCTCTTTGTTCCTAAGGGTCCCTAAAACCTCAGCAGTTGCTCAGCAGGCAACTAATAGTAGTATAGAAGATTATTCAGGTGGGTAGTATAAATTACATTATTTACAGTATGATCAGTTACTTTGCATGTTGTTTTCAAACAGAGTCGGGGACTGGCGCTTGCGCCGCTAGACGATTGGGTAGTCAAACTCGGAGCGTCATTCGGCTGGGTGAGGATGGGGCTCTTGGCACCGTACCAGCTTCAAGTTCACACTCTTGAGGTCAGATCCAAGTCAGATCCCATTAAATTTTAATGACATTTTGTCCGCAGAATTTGATTTCATATCAAAGAAAACATCTGTTGCTCCATATGAAAGGGTCGATGGCGTAGTTGGTTATCGCATCTGTCTAACATGACTCGACTGGTTGTGCACAGAAGGTCCTCAGTTCGAGCCTGGGTCGACTCATATTTTTCATGCTCAACGCAATCCTAGGTTTGTGCTCCTGTGAGGCGGCGTCTATAACTAGAACGAGTGCGACATAATCTTTTCCTTGGCGCTGCGACCTACTAGTACGGAAGGATTGAGACCAATAGAGCGAAATTCAACTGAGGAGCGCGCACGTTCGAGTTGAATATGCAAATGATCGTTTGGTAACTAACAACTATTGTACAACATACACCAGATGGGATATAACATGAAAAGAGAAACGGGGGGTGTGGTAATACTCATGACAATGATATCATTGGGAGTCGAAAACATGAGGAGAAAGAAGAAAAAAGAAGATCTTGAAGATGACGCATCGAAATGCCTGTTCGTCAACTCTTCAGACTTTTGGGGCATTATCATCGATATTCGACATGACATCGCGCTTCTCGACGTCTATTGCACGCTAAGTTACAAAATTTCAACGTTGGACGTTGTTAGAATAGACGCACCTTCTTGTTTCGTAATGTTAGCCTGCCTTTGTTCTGCCGTGATAGAGCCAAAGATGACGTCCATATCCTCCAAACTACGACCCTTGGTTTCTGGTATAAGGCTGGGAGTGCGGGTTCAACACGTGGCTGGAAAAGAACAGGTGGACTGTAAACGTACAGAGAGAATGTGGCCATCGCTCCGATATTGACCGTAGCAAACATGAGGAAGATTTTGTAACCGAGATTCGTGACCATTTGTGGCGTAACTTTAGAGGTGACGAAGTCTGAAGACGAACAGGATTGGTCAGTCGATAATGATTCACGTGTACCGTGAAACTTACTCCAGAGCCATTGGGATGCACTGGCGAGAGCGAGACCATAGTGCCGCGTCCGAGTTGGGAATATATCGGCGACGTAAACCCAGGGAAGGGGGCCCCATCCCAAAGAATAGAAGCAGACGTAGATGTACAACATCGCGGCCATACCCTTGGAGGCGGGAGGAGGATTAATGATCTGACCAGGAATGGCTTTCGGAGGAGGGTTTGTTTTAAGGATAGCGCCGATGATGAAAAACAAAATGCCCATTCCCATTGAGGATATAAATAGAGAAATTTTCCGACCTAGGCTGTCGGTGAGGACGAGGACGAAAAATGTTGTGGCGACAAGCTGGAAAGAGATGTTACCTCCACAATTGGCAAAGCGGAAAATGCGACACACCTTAACGACACCATAGATACCGGATGCAAGAAGAGAATTTTTTGCACCGGTGTACCCGATGGATGCGAAGATTTGAGGGGCGTAATAACTAAAAATGAAATTGGTGAATGCAGCCATTAAATTCCAAGTCAAACTCACCCAACCGAGTTCTGTCCGCCCCATTGTTGGAGGAGGAAGATCACAAAAGCGATGACGAAACGAATAAAATTGCCTTTCCCAAAGAAAGCCTCCTTCAACCCCAAGCCTTCACGCGCAGCGTGCTCTTCCGCAATGGCCGTGTCGATTTCGGCCATCTCATGAAGAACAGACTCTGAATCCTCGCGATCCATGCGGAGATAGGCGAGATTGCGAAGCGCATCGTCGTGGCGGCCAACGGAAGCGAGCCAACGGGGCGATTCCTAAAAAAAATGTGTCAATGAATGACGGAATCCTATACGAGGAAAAGCCACGACAAACTTTGACGGTGAGCAAGCCGAACAACATGATGCCACATGGAACAAGCTGGAAACCAAATGGAAGACGCCAAATCAGAGGACTGGACTTCAACGTAGGGCTTTGGCTGATGCCATCTAGAAAATAAAGTCAGTTACGACGCCGTCGGCTGAGGGGATGTATGACGAACAATTGAGGAAGTATGAAATCATAACGCCGAGAGCCACCATGATTTGGAACAGACCAGTAATACGCCCACGAACATCTTTTGGAGAACATTCGGACACATAGGCGGGGGCAACGGCGGAAATACCGCCAATGCCAAATCCTGAGACGACACGTCCGCCATAGATCAAACCAAGACCGCGATCTGCGACGGTGGCGAGTATCTGGGAAGAGAGTTAGAAGAACCTCAAATTCATCACGGAACCAACCTACAGCCCCAACAGCGAAGATTACGGAAAACCCAACAAGAGTCCATTTACGACCAGCCCAGGCTGTGGGAGGGTTAGGAATGTGGTAGCTCTCGTGTATAAAGCTATCCGAACCCGAAAGTGGTGCGCTAAGAAGAGCGCCAAAGAATGCTCCAGCTTGAAGGACAGAAACAACGTTGGAAGAGACCTCATTTGAGCGTGCAATGTTGATGGTTCCATCGGTATTTACCAAGCCGAAGCGGTGTTGAAAAAAAGTTTGCGAGACAACGCCTCCAGCAATACCGCTAGAGAGTTGGCAAAATGAGCTTCCGCGAAGAACAAATATTGAATGTTGACCTACGTATCGTAACCGAAAAGTACAATTCCCCAGTACGTTACAAAAGCGAGCCCTAATTGTGAAGGTCAGCGGGGAACTGAGATCAGAAAGGGAAAAGCATACAGTAAACCCGGATATTCTGGTAAATGTGTTGCGCTGCAGCCATCGTCGGTCGGGAGGGAGTGAGTTCGACGACAGTTAGGACGAAGAAACAGCCATGCAAGATGTCCTAGATTTTAAGTGAAAAGACGCTCCCCCACAACGAGAGAAAGATCTCGATCGCGGCATGGGGGTGGGGGCGCGGGGAAAGTCGTAAACGGTAGTGCCGCCGGATGAAAGAACACGCAACATAGCGAACTTTCCGAAGACGGCTACGATCCGGATAACCGAGCCTAGAGCTACAATTCTATCAGTAAGCATAAATGTAGAACGTCAGGTTGTGGGCTCTTACGCTAAGGGCATCCTTCCTTCCAAAATATTGCGAGTGTGAGGGTTGTGTGAGGGAGTTTTCAATCCGCTTGTCTTCCAAACAAGTCCAAATATCGGAGTGACGAAAGAAAAAAAAAGAGATCGATCAGTAAAAATAGATTTTCTGGTCGGCAGACCGTTGATCCACCTTTTGAGCCATTGAGCGGCCCGCATTTATTTTTCTAAGGTTTGGAAAGTGGGCATTGAGAGCGCACTCAAAAATCTTCATACGTCTCAATTGAATGTCACCACACGCAAGCAGGGCCGACTGGGGCGCCCACAATGGTAACACTCAGTTTACATTGTGCACGTAACTTCTGGAAATGCTCAGCTCAGCTCCAGCTCTGCTAACCTCTGAACAATTTTTTTTTGCTTTATAAGAAACTCCCTGCTCGTCACCGAACCGAATGCCGTTTCCTCCTCGCATGTCGACCTACGGTTCACGTTTACAGGTTTATGTCACATCTGCGCATGCTTGGCCCGCTCGCATACATGAATACGATCACCACGCTTCAAATGTGTGCGTGTCGCCTTGTATTCGTAGGGAGACGACTGATCCGCAAGAGGAAGGCATAGTTTTAAGATGTTTCCAGTATACATCATATTCGCATACGTAGGGAGTTCGGAATATTTTCCTTTATTTTCTTCTACTCAAAATCCTGCTTTCTTGGACCTACAATCGCATGTAAATTCCTGACAAAGTAGAGGAAACTACTAAACGACCTACAAATAAAAAACCAAAGTTCGTAAGTATCAATTGTTCAAGCGGCTGATAGGTTCTTCGAATGTGACCGGCTAGCAAGATGCAATGCGTAATGCTACGTAGCTAGCATACCTGATTAACTATCGTGCCGGGATGAGAGTAGAATGGAGAGAGAATTTGTTAATAAGATGGTGCGCACGTGTGAAGCTGACCTTGACTCGGTGGGAAAGTATCTGACTAGACTGATCATATATTGAACAGGACCTCTCGCGCTCTCAACTGTTGAATTTTACAAATTGAGAATGGGCATCAGGGGGAATGCACATATATGCAAAGTTCTCGAATTTGAAGGTCATCAAATTTCTACGTGCATGCGGTCGTGTATGGACATAAGAAAAGAACATGGCTGTGATGGTCAAGGGCGGCTGAACCCAAGATCTTCGCGTTATTGGCATGATCAATTAGCGGCGCGAGCACTGGTCCTCGACTCTTTAAAGATCAGATTTTCAAATCTGTCAATGAGCCAACAGCACAAAATCTACAGTATTTCAAGTACAAGTCACCTGCTCGTCGCCGAACTTCTTGCGTAGTTTGTTCCTCCCACATCAGGAAATTGGAGAAATCCCGATTTAGCCATATGATGTTCGCGAGCCCATTGCAATGTTACTAAAATTAAATATCGACGATCCCAGTGCATAATTGTGGCCCTGACATAAGATGGATACAACCTTGAAAACAAACCACATTGCATTACAAGTGAGTCTAACAGATACTGTTTTTTAAGTGAAGCATAACCATGAAAGTGAGAAAAATGAGATGAGAGAGACCATGTCAGATCTCGCCGTGAGGTGCTGCTGTATTTGTCGGTAACAAGCAATCTCAGAAAACATTGTAAATGGACAGGGGAGAGCCCATTTTTTATCACATAGATTTCTAAGAAAAGAAGCTGAAAATTTAGTATTGCACCAGTCTGGATCTTGGTTGCCATATTACTCTTCAGAAAAGAGCCAATATTAACCGTTTTGGGCTGGTGATTGAAATAACAAGCTCTGGGACATCTTTGAACTCATGGGACATTGAAATTATCTCAGAAGTGGATTTCTCAGTATCATAAAACTGGACATAGTTGGAATAATTATAAGACTACAATATCTGGGTTTTGTCATTGTAGGTCAGATTGACATGAACTGCAAAATTGCATTGCGAAAACTATGAGGATTTTAGGTCTGAACTTTTCCTAAAATGCACAGCATCACCTGCAGTCTGAAGTCGTCAACTGGAGAATACAAAAGATTATGATATACCACATGGTTAGTATTACACCTGACTCTGCATTAAATTGCACTTTGAAAATTTTTAGAACTTGTGATCCACTTAAAGCAACTAAATTGGCCCTGTAACTTGCCTCTGACCGATAGATACCCCACATTCACATTCAAAATTAGAGGCCCACTTCTTGTAGATTCATTACCATCCATACTGACGGAACTTAAAGCAGACAGATGGCTTACTACAGCAAGACCCAGAAAAATTCAACATTGGTTTTCTTCCGGCTATGTAAGTGTTTTTGGATGTTCTGGTTCCAAATCTGAAGTTAAATTGTCAGATATTCATTCTTTCCCAAGGTACCAACCTTGCTTGTTCATGACTGTAGTACCTGGTTTCAAGTCTAGGAATGTCATCACTGAAGCGCTGACGGATCAAAACCACACAAGTCCCGTTGTTTAATCAACTGCCACCACGACGCTTTGTCATTTGACCAACCCGGGGTCTAGACGCCAATCGTTGAAGAAATAAATGTTGAAGTAACATTCAACATCCGTCGGCAATTCTCCATTCCCCGATCAATGCAATTAAAATTTTCAGAGATCGCCTCATATCTTTTTAGAACCCAGCATGATTACCATACAACTTCACAACTGTGGCATTTTGACATCTCCTGCCGTAACAACAAGCTCTTTTCCAGCCCTAATGAGAGTGGCCACCATGAGGACGTGCACAGAGAGACCGCGAAAAGGCAAGGTCTTGGAAGGAGCCGAGTGATCGATCGGTGTTTGTTCGGGTGAAAATAGCCAAACATGATGCTGCTCTTCCTCTTGTACCAGACTTGCGCTAGCCGCGTGCGGCACACATGTAACCCACGATCAGTTGGAGGGGCCTCAAATACTCGGTTCTGCTTGGATGCTTCATCGTTATCTTCCTGTTTCCCCTCTACTTCTCGCTTTATAATCATAATCATACCCCGTACCCATAGAATGTCTTTTGCCCACAAATCATCCCTCCTTGATACCCCAGCTGGTCTCACCCCCGTCGAATCTCTTTGGTTCGAAGATGGCAATCTTATCTTACGTGCAGAGGACTCGCTTTTCCGGATCTACAGCGGGATTCTATCTGCCAGGTCCTCCGTATTCAGGGACATGTTCGCATTCCCTCCACCGGCAGAAGGCAACGCCAAGATGGACGGATGCCCAATTATCGAGGTGTACGACTCCGCAGAGGACATGACGTACTTCCTACAAGCTATCCTTGATTCCAGGTATTCCTTCGTCCATGACAATCAACCTTGTCTCATTCTGCCCCCCAGTTATTTTGAGCCACCTCCCTCAGCCACGCACCTCCCCATTATCGCCGGAATTCTCCGGCTCAGCGCGAAATACGACGTCCAATATCTCCGTATTCGAGCAATGCAACATCTCCTTACCACCTATCCCACAACTCTTGCTGACTGGAAGGTGCGAGATACCAAACGCACCGTCCCAGCAATCGACAACACCCCTTTCGCCCTCCTCCTTCTCGCCCGTGAATTCGACCTCCCCTGGCTTCTACCATCTGTGATGTATTGCATCTGCAGCCACCCAATAGAGAAGACACTAGACGGCGTGAGCTGGCACGGATCTCACCTTGACCTCCCATGGAACGATAAGCGCCTCTGCCTAATTGGGCGCTCGAACCTGCTGAAGCAGCAGAACAAAGACGCTATAGAGATGGCCAAGGTACCGGGAGATGAGGTCGATTGTCAGGGCTCGTCGTGTATCGCAACGCGGATTAAGTGTGCCGAGATTCTGTGTGACTGGGGCGTTGCGGGGATTCTGGATTTCGCAGAGGACAACGTCGCGTTGTTCAACTCAGGGCTTTGCAAGCCCTGCCAATCAGCGTTTACTGGCCAGTGCGCGCTGGCGAGCGAGGGCATGTGGCAAGCTATACCAGGCATGTTTGAGCTTCCGAGTTGGGACGAGTTGGAGAGACAGCGGCTGTTGGCGCTGGAGTGATATGACTTCCATCGGTCCTCATACCCCGCCCACTATTAGATCTCTTGCGCTCTTCGTTTTCGCGAGTACCATGCTCTGCGAGCATCGCTCTCCCTCTTTTACGCCATTTACGACCTTTTTGGGCTATCAGCAGCTTGTACCTATTTACAATTCGGAACATAATCTTAATGTATAGTAGTAGATGCTCTATCTTTCCAGCGTAATTAAATAATGAACACATTTAGAAGTTCTCTGGCGTTAGTGTTGAAGAGAACCATCTCGCATTGATCCTCCACCTGCCTCGAAAGACATATTATCCATGAAAACAGCGCTCTGGCCCACCCAGATCAAACACAGAACGATAAACTTACAATTGTTATAATTTATATCCAAAATACAAATATATGGTACAGAACAAGTCATATACGGTTCATAGTGTTGAGATGATGGTAGATCCATGGGCAGTCAAAGTACAAAGATGGTAAAGGACGATTGCGGGGTAATGGGAAAGCAAAAACAAAATCATGAACGATCTTTATCTTTGGAGGTAGCCTTCAGGAAAGGATTGTTCGAATTCATACGTGGTGGACCGCTCTGCGAGCTGGCGTAGGAGGTAGAAGGTGCAGAAGCCACCACGTCGGGATTTCTTCGCGGATAGGACGCTGGCATATAGCCCTCAGCGGATGGAGGATAGGCCCCGTAGGGGTTAAATTCTTCGCCTTCATCTCGCCCATAAATGTCGTTAAAGGCATCATCCCCTGGATATGGGCCTTCCATGGTCCCATTTAACATTTCTTCGTCCCTGGGATCCACCTGGTAGCGGTAATATCCTTGGGGAGGGGGCGGATATGGTGCGTGACCTTGATATCGAGGGGCGCCTCTGGGCCGCCCATCTGCGTGGCGTTGGTAGTCATTGTGGTAATGTTCTTGTTCGGGGTAATAATAGCCAGCAGGAGGGGTGGAATAGGCCTGGTGATTGGGCGGTCGAGATCCCTGGCCCCTACTTGGCTGGTAGTTGTACATTTGCGGGGCATATGGTTCCCGTGAAGGCATGGCGCCTCGGTGATCATTTTGGTTGATATAGCCTATGTCAAGTTAGGTATCAAATCATAAATGCTTACGCACGAACTATGACACTGGGGTGCGCACCATAGTTTGTTCCAGTGTTCACATTCTTTGCGCCGTCGAAGTTGTTGACCGTTCCAGCATGGACGTTATGCGTCCTGTCTAGAGGAAAGAGTTTTATTCTGATTAACTTCAATGGGATCCAAGAATCGAGAAAACTTACTCCTGCTGAAGTCATTTCTCGAGAAATTGTTGTTGCCTGAGTTGTGCGTCTCATTGGTGACATTGAACGATCCCTGGTTCGTTGTGTGGCTGCTTGAATCATTAATAGTCATGTCTCCAGCAACGTCGTTGAAACTGCCACCAGAGACGGTGACACCTGAAGCACCTTCAAACATAGGCATGGTGGTTTGGACGGACGAAAGATGGTGGGCGATAAGGCGATCTCATCCCACGCTTGCCTTTTAAATTCCCCCTTGAGCGCTCATGAATTGACGACTTTGTCAGGTTGTTTGGACACACCCGCAAACCGCCGCGATAGGCGCCTCGGATAAGAGAATATTACAATCCTCCAAGAGGGACGGGTGAGCAAGATGACAGTCTTTCAAAGAAAAAGCCAGTGAAGCAGATTCCAATTTTCTGGTCGCCGCGCCACTATAAGCTAAGGAGGTTTATTATTGATACAATTTCACAGTTTCAGAAGTAACTCACGCGAACCAGGTTGGCTAGCAAAACCTTGAGCCTTTCGAGTCGACCGTGGAGGCGGGGTGAAAGGCATATGCATGTGAGCTTCCTATCGCGTTAAAAAGTTGTTGGGCCCTCATCTTCTTGTAGCACATATCGGGTTTTCATTACAGGCCGTCGACGGTCGATGTTGCGAGGCACGTGGGCGTCCGGACGAAATTCCGCAAAATCTGCCCCTCCCTCATTCAAAAAATGCCAATAACGTTTTGTACGATCGAAAGAAGTATCTAAAGTATGTGTGTCAACAATCCTGATCTTTATGAATATCGGCCCAACTCCCAAGCTGAAAGAAACCAGGCAAGAGTTCCCAAACTTTTTCCCTCCCCGCTTTATGCTGAACCTCCGCAGCCGCCACGCACTTCTGACAAACATGGAGGGCCTGCCAATCCGAATAGGGCTCCAGCGGATGAGGGCTCATCCTCAAACTTTCGGCCTCGCGCCAATTCATCCTTAGAGGCAGCTTTGACACGCACGCTACCACGCATTGCGGTGAACGAGCGAAATCAAACAGCATACTGTGCGTCGCTGATTTCTGAACCTCCCAGAGCCGTTCCTTCCCCACCAGACACAAGGCTTTGTCTTGCCATGATAGAACCGTGTTCGCTAGTAGATCATCCATGGCGATATGGGTACAGAGGTAGTATGCCCAAGGGAGGATGCTTGGGACGTTGTTGTCCCGAGCCAAAGGAATGATTCGGACAATGGCAGAGGGGACGTACTGGTATTGTTGTGCAAGGACGGCATCGCATCCCGCGAGGGTGCTGGGGAATTTTTCAGAGAGGAGGGAGATGCATTTCCGGCGGAGTTTGACCATATTGTATTTGGTGCTTATGCGGAGGATGCCCGAGACGAAGGTGATGAGTGTGGCGAGGTCACAGCTTCCTGAGATGCTGTCGAAGTGGCTGTAATAAAAACTCAGTTAAGCAAGAGGGTTGGGAAGGATGGTTGCTTGCAAGGAATCGTAAATCGCCTTCAAGGTATCAGTGAAATCGCATGCTCGATCTGTCAGCTCCACCGTTGGGCACCCGTCTATATGATCAGCTCTGGAAGGCTGAGGAACCTCCCACATCCCGGCGAAGACATCCGAGTGTCGCGATAAAACCGTCTGGTGTATCCTAAACGAGGTTCGTTCGATGATCAGGATCACAGAACCATCTGGAAAGTAGAAATCCGGGTGTTTGTGGTAATCGCGTCGATCCTTAGCGACGCTGGGCATCAGTTGTGGTTGCGGAGGGGAGGGAGCAAGTGACATTTTTACGAGGACTCAGTTTAAAAGGTTTCGTGTCATGGTTGTAGGGAGACAAAGGGTCTGGAAGTTTCGCACGGTCTAGTGCCTGAATCAGTGATGGCTTTGTTCAAGCTTTGTTCGTCTTTGTCCGAAAAAACTTGCTCTCGCTTGCATCCGGCATTCTGCTCAAGTGCGCCAAAGTTTCCGCTGTATGTTTTTACTTCTAGGTGTGCTCACGATGTCGGCATGTTCATCACACCATTAATGGCGCCCAAGATGCAGTTTTGAGCGCTTAAGGGCACTTAAAAGACCGTCAGCGTGGGATGACATCCTGTTTAACATCCTTATCGCTCACTATCTCATGCCCTCCAAAGTGTCTGTTCTCGAGGGTGCTCAAAATGTCAGAATGGAAGGTGGCACCATCAACGCCGTTTCTGGAGATATGACCATCAACAATTCGAGCCGCCGAACGACGAACTATGACTCGTTCAATGCCATGAATCGGTCGTATAACAACGCGCAGAACAATCATTCAGTAAACGACTATAGTACTCGTCAGTTTTCCTTATTCTTGAACCACGATTGAGATTGGAATACCTGTTTTGTGATGTATACAGGCAATACGAGGAACGTTTACGCGGATACGGTCAACAACTTTGGATACACACAGAACGTGAACACAGGGGAAAACCGTGGTGCGTATCTCAATCATCTACCGATCAATCACTTTTGACTTTGAATAGGTACTATCAACCAACAGGACTTTTCCGGAGGGCCAGGCATCTCTTCATGGCTCATGTACGCGCAAATGCAAAGGGAATACGACTATCAACGAGGCGGAGGTCAGGACGGTCAGGGATCTCGACCTCCGATGCCCTTTTCCCATTCCGGTCCGCCCGCTGGGCCTCCTTACCAACAACAACCACATAATTACGGCTACCCATATCAGCCATCTGCGGCATACCCACCGAGGGGTTTCCCTCACGGTCATCCTCAATATCAAAGTAGCGCTCAGTACGCAGCTCCTCGGGAGGGGTATGATGATATGCGTGAGGACGATGAAGATGAGGGGCTTAACACCCGTGGGCCGGTCCCCTTTTCCGCTGCTTCCCATCCCGGAACCAGGTCCGGTTTGACCGCTTCAGCGCCTCCCAGTATTGCGTCCTCGAACGCTAGCGCGCAAGGGGTCACTCCCTCTGCTTGGGGATCGAACAACCCTTTTGGGGCTTCTGTACCCAGAGATTACCATTGATCATGACTCGTTGTCGTTCGATTGCTGCGTTTTTATATATGCTCTGTTGTCATGCAAGTTTGTATTTGACATTTTCATCACAAGGGCATTCGATGACGCCCCCTCTCCGGTAAAACCGTCAGCTTCGAGCGCTCAACGGGGATTTAAAAGACCATCAGCGTGGGATGACATCCTGGTTGACGTTCTTATCGCTCACCATCTCATGTCCTCCAAAGCCTCCACCGTGTCTGTTCTCGAAGGTGCTCAAAATGTCAGAATCAACGGTGGCAGCATCAACGCCGTTTCTGGAAACATGACCATCAACGATTCGAGCCGCCGAACGACGAATTACGACTCGTTCAATACCACGAATAGGTCGTATAACAACACGCAAAACGATCATTCAGTAAACGACTTTAGCAATCGTCAGTTTTTCTTTATTCTTGAACACGATTGAGATTTGAATGCCTGTTTTGTGATGTATACAGGCACGACGAGGACCTTTCACGCGGGTACGTTCAACAACTTTGGAAACGCCCAGAACGTGAACACCGGGAAAAACTATGGTGCGTGTCTCAGTCATCTATCGATCAATCGCTTTTGACTTTGAATAGGTACTATCAACCAGCAGGACTCCTCCGGAGGGCCAGGCATCCCTTCATGGGTCCACGATATGATGTACGCGCAAATGCAAAGGGATTACGACTATCAACGAGGCGGAGGTCAGGGATCTCGACCTCCGATGCCCTCTGCCCAATCCGCTCCACCCGCTGGGCCTCATTACCAACAACCACCGCAGAATTACGGTTACCCATATCAGCTACCAGCTGCCACACACCCACCGAGATATTTCCCTCCCGGTCTTCTTCAATATCAAAATAGCGCCCACTACGCAGCTCCTCGAGAGCCTGAGGAAGGATTCTATGATGATCTGTATGAGGACGATGAAGAGGAGGGACTTATCCCCCGTGTGCCGATCCCCTTATCTGCTGCTTACCATCCCGCAGCCAGGTCCGATTTGACGGCTTCAGCGCCTCCCACTATTGCGTCCTCCCACGCTAGCGCGCAAGGCGTCACTCCCTCTGCCCGGAAACCGAACAACCCTTTTAGGGCTTCTGTGCCTGGGCCCAGAGATTAGCATTGATCATGACTTGTTGTCGTTCAATTGCTGCATTTTTGTACAGTATATTGCTCTGTTTCATGCAAGTCTGTTTGACCCCCCCGTACCTACCTTATCTCTGAATGACTTGTGATGTACTTTATTTCTGCTATTAGATTGTACAACTGTAAAATGCTGACCCAGAATAATTATTATATTGACACAACAATCCATTTACATCTACCTACGAGTACAACATATCAGAAATCTCCCCCCCAAAAAAAAGGGCAAAAGAAAAAGAAAAAGACGGCAATACCACCATGTCTGCAAATCTAAGTCCCCACCCCAGAACTAACATAAACATCCCCATGCTCCAACCAATCCAACGCAATCCTCGCACGCTCAACAACCTCCTTATCATCATCCAACCCTCCTCCTCCTCCTCCTCCCGCATGCCCATGATGTCCCCCCACTACCCCCGCATGATGATGAGGCGAATGATAATAAACCGGATGTCCAAAATAAGTAGCGCCAAACCCTCCCGTGCCTCCCCACACACCCCCTCCTCCTGCACTTCCAGGAACAGCGATCGAAGCGGAAGCACTGGGTGAAGTACCAGCATTCGACCCCCTCCTATTCCTCCCTCCACCACCACCCGGACTCGTCGCCGCGCCCACACCACTCCACTCACACAACCGCCTCAGCGTCCCCACGATCCCCGCATCCACAAACGCGCCTCTTCTTCCCCTAGGGTCAGGTTTAACGAGCTCCCAAACGGCGGAGACGAGGGGCTTTTTGATGTCTGCCCGCGATTCTGCGAGGGCGGTGCGGAGGGAGGTGAGGAGGTGGGTGTGCGTTAGGAGGAGGGATTGGGAGGCTGGGGAGGGGGTGTTGGAGAGGTTGCCGAGGGTGTATGCAGCCTTGTTGGGAAAGGGGGGGTGGGTTAGTAGGGGTGGGATGGGAGGAAGAGGGAGAGAAGTACCTGAAGGACGACGTCGTCGCATGTAGATGCTGACCCACCACCCAAGGTAGAAGCGATAAGATCCAACACTTTTGGTCCTACCTCGCTAAACACCATCTCGATCCCTTCCTCGCTTTCGGTAAGGTTACGAAGGATGGCGAAGGCTTGTTCTTGGACGGCTTCGTCTGGGTCTGTAAGTAGTCTATGCGGTTGGTTGGTGGGTTAATTGAAAGCGAAAAAAAAAAAAAAAGGGACGGAATGCACCCAATCAAATACCCCCACCCCACCTCACGCATCACATCCCTCTTCGTCTCCGTCTCCGTCTTCCTCACCAGATTCTTGATCGCCCAGAGGGCGTTGACTTTTAGTGTTCGATCTCCAGAGTTCAAAACCGCAACGAGGCGTTTTAGGAGGCCTTGTTCGAGGTAAGTCTGTCAAGTCAGAGTGAGTGAATGGAAGAGAACCAAAACGAACGAAACAACGTACCCCCTTCAACACCGAAAACTCATTAACGACATTACAAACAGCCGCAAGCGCAGCCCCTACCACCCTCCTATCTTCCCTCTCCTCCCTGTCCTCCCCTTCTTCCTTGTCTTCCTTCTCCTTCTCCTTACCTTCATCCCCCTTCTCAAACCCATCAACGAATTTACCCTCCCCATCAACATACCACCCATCCATAAAAACCCTAAAAACAACCATGCCAAGCCCACTGTCTACAATCGACGTGCGCAAGACGGAAACGGAGCGTGAGAGGGCGCGGGTGAGTTGGCAGGCTGCGTAGCGCGTGCCTACGTGTTTTGGTTTGGTGTAGGAGGAAGGGCGACGAAGGATGACGAGTAAACACGGTAAAAGCCCCAATTCATCCGTGACGACTCTTCGGACGGTTTCTGAGAAGAGGGAGAGGGAGGCTAAGGCCATGAGTACCGCTTCGCGTAGTTGGGAGGTCGATTCTGGTTCTTCGTCTTCGCTTGTTTCTTCTTCTGGAAGATCGTCTCTTGCTTCTTTCCCATTCTTCCCATTGCCCGAAGGAGGGACAACAACCAACTCCTTGGCCAACCTCCCCAAAAAGCCTACACACCCCCTTGAATGCGCGAGCTCTGACAACTTTGGGTCGTCGGAGGTGAGGAAGTAGAGGATGAAGGCGGCTTTGGTTTTGTGGGGGGGTGTGTCGGTTGATTGGGGGGATAGGAAACGGATGAGGGTGGAGAGGATGATGCGGATTGTGCTGTCGTCTGGGGAAGGTGCGGGGTGTCGGGCGCGGGTGATGTGTGTTGCGCTGGGGGTGGTGATGATAAGAGAGGGAGGGAGGGAAGGAAGAAGAGAAAAGGACGGACCAGAGACAGGCGGCGAGTTGGACGCCGATGTGCCGGGAGCGGGTTAGAGTGATTATGGTGGAGAGGGGTGATGCTGTTCAAATCTTGTTGGATGGAATATTAGAGTTGGAGAGAGGACGTACGATCTTTATCATTCGGAGACTTGCAAAGCGCAGAAGCGACGGTTGGATTATCTTTCACCAGCGCCGCGAGCGCCAACAACGCCGCTTCCTGTACCTATACAACGATATTAACCACAGCTCCAAACCACGCGAAAGTAAACGCACCTTTGCATCCTTCCCACCCAACAACGCCACCAACCCCCTCGCAACCCAACCACCCTGCCTCCCAAAAGGGCCTCCAACACCCATCTTCTCCCACCCTCTCCTCGTCTTCACCTCCTTCTGCCTCATCTCCAACGGGACCCACTCACCCACGACCCTTCTATACTCAGCCGACTTCAACACGTTGGCCAACATCATCGGCACAGCCGAACTACCCTCCTCTTCCAACAGCGGTAACCACACATCCAAAGAATCAAGTTGTAACAAGTACTCCAGAGCCTCTTTCGCTTCCTCCCGGATACGAATGGAATGTTCGGGTTTGAGGCCCCATGATGATGGCCCGACGATGTCGGCTATTGAGATTGTGATGGAACGCAGGGCGCGGGTGAAGGCGGTGCGGAGGGAGGGTGGGGTGGTGTGTGTGAAATTTGAGATGGAGATGAGGAATGCGCGGGGTGCGTTTAGGCGGAGGAGGGTTATGAAGGAGGATGGGGAGGCGTAGGAGAGGGAAGAGAGGATTTGGGCTGCTTCGATGCAGAGGTCGTCGTGGTTTAGGCAGTCTATCAGTCTGGGATGTATTACATCAGTCACAATCGAACAGGTGGATTGCTTTGGAAGTACGTACGATTTTATGAAATTGACATCTTGGGATAATTGGAGTTTGGCTATTGGGTTGCCGATGACGCTGTTCTTGACTTTTTTGAGACTGCCAATGTCGACCGTCATCGTGCAATCCAAGCCTATCGTGTGAACATCGCGTGTATCTGCGCGTGTGTGAAGACCACTGCAGTGCGGTAGCTCACCGAGCTTTTGACAAGTTTTCAGGCCAGACACATAAGCATTCTGGACAAAAATTTGCATAGAAGGCTGGAGAGGAAAAGAGGACATCTCGACATTTGACACGTCTTAAAAGTAAAAATTATAGGCCTGAATCCAGGATTGAACTGGAGACCTCCTGCACCCAAAGCAGGAATCATACCACTAGACCATCCAGGCTTGAGAAATAAGATTCAATTATGCTTCAAATTGGTTAAGCTGCGGCGTCGCGTGCCGAGCTTTTGTTCCTCAATAGCCAACATTCTCAAGCAACGACATATCCTAACAATTTTACGCTAGAATCATGGCAACTGACTGGTGTGTTGCGAGCAACGACGTTTCGACCCTTTCAACATGCACGACGCACTCAAGGTATGCGTGGTGCCCCATCGTCACCGTCAAAGCCGACAAGCATGACTGTCAGGAACAATATTTAAACGAGACATTTCGATTGTGCGTCCGTTTTCCTGCTACTGAGCCCTCACTTTAAATAGTCATTTATGTCGTCACAGGTTGACATCTAACATCGCACGAAGAAGGGGAAGAAACGGAATCCGGTCGCTCCCTCTACACATCCGCTAGCTGAAAGATTGCGGCGGCTCCCAAAGCAGGTTGGGGTTATAGGGAGGTTTTGGGGAGGTTCAAGTGCTGTAAGTGTTTTCGTCTGGGTGTCGTACTGAAAATTTCGTTTGGTAAAAACGCGCACCGTGGTTGAGGTTGTGCACGCTCTTTCAAGGACCACCCATCTACGAAACACTCACAGTGCCGAACATTGATATTTACAAGGCTTTGACACACCAAAATTCACGTTACATATCCTCAAAAGCGACCCAAACCCACGGGACTCAAGCTTGAATGTAGGACGAATGGTCGCAAACGGTACTTGATACTCTACTTACAGTATGTTAGGTTCTCCTAATCTGATACCCGCCCTTCTTTCAAGAAATTGAATAACTCTCGGGCAAAGTAGAGCCTTTAAGCAGATCATAAATGCCTGGATATATGGAGCATCCTGATGTTAGACAAAAACAAATTCGAGCCCCGTTTCAAACTTCAAAAACTTCACTCCGTGTAAACCCAAAGGAAAATGGCGGACCGTACTGCGCACGTTGATGAATTAACTTGAACGCTTGATGTTCCCATTTCTAGATCAGCATGACACTTCCGCCGATTCGGTGCGGGCCCGCTATACGACCGCAAACATTTGAGAAAAACGTCAAGTACTTTCTAGGTACGCTCACACGTACCTGTACGCATCGTACTCACATTATTAAAGAAATGTCACACAAAAAAAGGAAGGAGAAATTCCTCAAAGGGGATAGTCACGTCATTTCAAAAGCTACCGGAAAGCTGGCAGTTCGCAACAGTTGACATGGCGGCGTAAGGAGATGCTTACTTGGACCGATGCTGTTGAGTTCACGACGCGACTGAGGTAGCATATACGTCGGAGAAACTCCTCATGGCGAGGCGCAGCAGATTTACTATGCGCGCTCAAGGCGTCTTTTCAAGGGTTTGATAGCAAGGAGTATTGATCAATGATCCTGTCAAGCATAACCGCACTCTTCTATCAAATAATACCACATTCAAAGTCATAGGATCAACGGCTCAGAAAGAAATCTCGGTCCGATCATATGTTGAGGCTGGCCGGAAATTTCTTCCCTGGTTGAGCAAAACATTGGAGGGTCTATAAATAGTCCGTGTTTCGATTTCAGGATGATGCCAAACAAAACGCAGAATCGATCAACTTCGAAGTTCTTCTCTTGATGTTACATCGAATTCCGGTAGCCTGTTTTCGCCAGTTCCGTTGAATAAACACTTCGGCACTTGTGATGCTTCAAATCTGTCTTCTCCGCCTCGCGATCCGTGAAGCGGCTGTGAATGGTGCGCGCCCGCTAGCTGTGCTAGTTACAAGCAAGTGATGACTGATAATCAAACTGCCTTCTTCAAGATGACCCCCCGAAAGAGATTTTGTAAATCATGCAATCTGAACCTATAAAAACATCATACCTTTGATACTCCACCCCAGCCTCCAGGTGTACTATCTTCCGACATGGATGCGCAGCCCATAGCGAGAGTCAACCATATCTCCCTCCTCCCATTAGCCGTGGGGGAAGGTGTAGAGGTCAGTCAGTCGTTTGATTCAGAAATGTAAGCATTCTTCTCCAGCGCAGCGTCTTTTGAAACTAATTTTTCGCTGGTACCCTGAAAGATTGCCGAAACATATCATTGTTGGAACGGAGTCAAAAGCAGAACTTGGGGTCAAGATTATTCCCGTAGCCGATGACTTGCGCTCAAAAGATATGTTTGGGACAATGCCAGTAGAAAAAGAAGGAGGTCTCCGAGGTTGGATGACGATTGCGGGAGCGTAAGACATTTCTCGTTCCACTTTAAGCAAATGTCATTGATCCCCACATTTGCCGAAAAGTTGGTTGATACAGTTCAGCACATTTGGGTGAGGTTTAAGAGTCTTGATTCTTCTATTTCGCTGACATAAATTTTTAGTTATGTCTATTCTTATGGAGTATATCAAGGTGAGTGTACCCAAATATTTTGCGTCGGTGAATCCAACAATTCACGAATAACTTAGACTACTACACACGGGTTTTCTTAACGAACCATACGCCGAGCAGCATTGCGTTGGTACCTCGTCGCCGTATTTCCACCCGTACTAATTATGAGCCCAGGTGGATTGGAAGCTTTCAGCTCATGATGCCCTTTGCTCTCGGGCTAGTTTCCGGAAAGCTCTTCGACGCAGGTTATTTCCACCACCTAATTGTCTTGGGCTCCGTAATTTTCACATTCTCGTACGAATTTTAACTAGCTCTGATCAAACTATTTTGACAAATTGTACTATTGCAGACTCTTCATGGTGTCTCTGGCGCAACCCAATCAATATTACCAGGTGAGGAACTTACAGAGGAGCTTTGCAAAATATATTAACGGTTTTCGTAGGTTTTCTTGAGTCAAGGTCTGGGGATGGGCCTTGGGATCGGGCTTGTGTTCGTCCCAACGGCCTCGATTTGTGCGCTTCACTTTAAGAGGCGTAAAGCCCTTGCGACGGGTATCGTCTTCAGCGGAAGCTCCGCCGGCGGTCTGGTTTTTCCCATCAGTTGAGTTCGCCTTTCTTTATAGCTATATGATTGTCGACTGACATTAATGTAGTGCTCAAGTAATTATGCGCTCCTTTTATTTCTATCATATCCACTGAAAATGGGTCTGAATTTTAGTCACCTCCTCCTCTCAAAGGGATATGCGAATGCCGTGCGATATACAGCGTACATCGTCCTTGGCTGTCTCACGATTGGAAACTTGCTCATGAGGAAGCCGCTTCCAACTAACACACAGAAGCCGGTCCCACCCATGATCGCGAGCTTCTTTAGAGAGCCGGAATATCTTATGACCATCCTGGGGTACGTGTCAGCGGCCTCCTAACAGTCTGTTTTAAACCTCTTCATAGATCTTTCCTGATGTTCTATGGAATATTTTTCCCAGGTGCGTCCAAGCGTAATAGCCTCTGCAGTTCACAAAGGGAGTAATAATCAATTATCAGTTGTGTACTTGCAATTATACGCAGTTCTACACAAAGTCGACGGGAACCTTGCCTTCTACTCGGTTAGTAACCCCCTCTTGGTTTTCTCTTCAAGAGCTGATATTTATCTACTTTTGTGATAGTTGGCCATTTTGAACGCATGCAGCTTTGTGGGTCGCATCTTTGGAAATTTTTTTGCAGATACCTATGGAGCATGGAATCTATTGATTCCAACGACTGCCATCGCGGGTGGTACTATTTGGGCTGTTTTGGGAGTGTTCGTAATATTTTTCTTCGTCCCTCCCTCCCCCTTTGATTACTAAATATTTCTAGGCATGATGAAGCCACCCTGATTGTTGTAGCGATGGTGTATGGTTTCTTTTCAGGGGCATGTTTGTCGCATTTTTTCTAAAAAAGAATTATCATGGTTCTGACCAGAATTTATTAGGGTTATCATTATCATTCGCGGCACTTGGTTCGCTCGCTCAGTCTCCGAGTGAAATTGGGTACGCGTTGATACTAGAACTTGGGCCGTTCTCTATTCCTGACAATTCGAATTTAATTAGTGCCCGAACGGGTCTCGTATTGGCGATTTCAAGTTTAGGTTGTCTTTTCGCCGCACCAACGCAAGGCGCTCTTCTATCTCGAACTTACTTGTGGATTCGACCAATTGCGTTTTCAAGCGTAAGTACCCTCTCACTCATGCTGAACCTGGAAATATCTTGATCTTTTGTGTAGACCTTGCTTTTTGTTGCCGCCCTGCTTGGAATTTTAATTAGAAGCCGTCTTGTAGCAAAGAAGGGCGTCGGAAGGGTTTAATCATAATTACGGCCACTGGAATGGTGCACAAAAATGTGGGGTTTCTGCAGCATGTATAAACAATGTAACTCAACCTAGGCGACGGCATTGTGGACTTCGTTCGCACTTGGTTATCTCGGGCTCGTCTATTGTCTCTCACAATGTATTTGCCTTATGCAAAACGGCCTACCCACTGCCCGAGATTTCGAAAAATTCAAAATATATTCACAATTAGCTTGCAATTAGCTCCTGTTCCTGTTATAGTCAACATACATCTAGCATTACAATCCATTTTCCAAAGGTACTCAAAGGGTACGCGCTATCCAGGCAGACGACCATAATCATCCGTTTCGTCAACAGCGGAGGTGTAATCCAAGTTGGAATCACGACCGTTCCAGGTCCCTGTAGCAGGACCTTCACGATCGCCGCCAGCGAACGATGACGAAAATTGCGTATGGTAATTCTGGACGTTGTGTGTGTGATGCACCCTCTCGTTTTCTAAATTTCCTGACTCCATCCTTGGGACAAGCCCACCTGACGCGCCTATCGGATTCGATGTGGTGCTATTACCTAAACCTTCAGGGCCACCATCCATCAATTGGCCTTGGTCCATATCTGAGCCAGTAACGGATGCATCTGGGAGGTATCCGTAATTTCCAGGATAAACAGGTCTTCGTGATTCTTGGCCGGGATGATAGCGATGAGAGTTGGGGATTGGAGATAGAGGAGTGGCATCCATTTTAACTGTTGATGGATCGCTTAAGAGGGCAGGGCGGGTGATGGAGAACAGGATAAGGTTGAAGAAACCCGTAAGGGCATACAGAGTACTGGAAAACAGTAAAACTTGGTATGAGACGTTGTCTCCCTGGAAACCCATCCACCGGGTTACGGATAATGGTGCCACGCAGACGACGTAGACCACCGGGTAGCTGTTGAATTTGAGTGAGCGAGACGGAGACACACGAAGTTCATAAAACGCACAAGAGTAGCCTCCTCGCCACTTTTTTGCTCTCTTTATCAACTTCCTCATCAATCATTCCATTGTGCATGATCAGGAACATTATGCCGTATAGAATGACCATGAGGATCGCAGTGGACCACATGTATAGGTATTGGGACATCAGCTGCGCCGTTTTGTGGGTCGAGAGGATCCAACACCCTATCTAAAGTCAAGTTTCTTTTTCAGGATTTCTTTGAAATGAGGACTGACAATAACCCGTCGGGCCATAGTATCGCTGTGTCCGGGTAGCGGCATAGGGTATCCCAATTACAAGACCTGTGAATGCCCAAATTCCGAGGATGGTGAGTTTCGAAGCGGTTCTGCGAATGTTCCATCTCAATATGAGGGTGAAAAAGGTCTGGAGCGTGATGGCCTGGATAATCAGTGAGGAAAGTTGAAAGACGATACGAATCAACTGCGCGCATACCAGGCATCTATATTTAATATTATACACATCGTCAACAAGGTTTTCTTCAAAGAGTGTGATACGGACTTACGTGAGAGCTACAGAGTCACTTCCCAACTGCTTCAGCACTGCCTGCGCTCTGCAGAGCGAACCTTCTGTTATTTCCTGTCGTGACAATATCAGCCAATGTTTGGAACGTAGGAACACCTGGTAGTTCACCGCTTCCTTAATCCATTGAACGTTAAGAATATTTCCTAGAAACGGAATCAAGTTATATTCCTCGAAATTATGCAATCCGTACCCATGGCTTGAACCAGGTCGGCGATCATCAGATTTATGAATAAGCTTGAGTCGGTTGCGTCTGTTGTAAGAATGTTCCCTCGTCGCGCTCTTTTAAATCGTTTGTACTATTCACGCGGTTACTCATAAAAGAGAGGAGGAGATGAGGAATCAAACGTACAACGACAAACACCAGGATACTGGTGTTGCACGCCGCAGTCACGCTGGCAATAAGTAGGTTAGCGTGGATGTTTGGCAAAACACAAAAAATACATGCGTGGCGGCTTGAACAGTGAAAAGAAGGCCCACTCTTTCTCCGAAGCTGAACATGTCGGATGAGTGGGAACAAGTCCAGGTGGGCAAGGAGGTGTTCGCGCTTGCCTAATATATGAAGAGCGAGGCGCCAAGCATTGTTGCTCTCACACCATGTTCTGTGGACCTTGAACACAGCATTTTACGCTGGGAGAAGGGTCAGGAACCCAAACCTTACTTTTAGGCTAGGGCTAGTTGAAATTGCAGTGCACGATTAACGCTGGTATGGGGCTGGAGAAGTGTACCTTGAGATTTAGGCAAACTTCACTTGGAGCGGAAAACGCATCGTACGGATCTATCTTACACTCGAAATCGACATCTTGAAGCTTTATCTGTAGGTCGCGCGATGGGACTTTGGCATTTGCGAAGTGAGAGATCGTGGTTGACTTGTGAGATCTGTGAGATGCCTGAATTTGATCACATTGTACGTCATCCCCTCTTGCCATGTGAACATGTATCCGACAGCTGACATTTGTTGTGTGTTTTTGAGGACCTCATTGCGATGCAGAGCTTTCTACGGTTTTCCTTGGCAGCTTCAACTTCATGAATGCGACTGCTCGTCCTACCGCATGTCATCAAAAACGCTCAGATTTTCAATTATACATATGAGCGTACCAACCGTTGAGACAGAAAGTTGTTCACAAGGAGAGAAATATCGTGTGAACGGCTCACTGACGCGCAGTCGAATCTACCCTTGTTGCCTTCAAAACCATGCACTGCCCAATGACAGCGCGGAGTGCATTCCTCAAACGGTGGAGTGGTAGTTTAAGGCGGAAAGCGCTCTGATATTTGGATTGCCAGTGGGAAAGAGAGGATGAGGCCACAATAGTCATGAATGCGACGATAATGGCGGAGAAGGTTGCATCACCCTGCTGGATGGGCAAGGGAATTGACACACGCTTCGGATCTTAGAATTTGGAGCGGTCATGAGGGCTGACGGAATTTGGGTCAGTTATTGAAGAGATTGGTTGGCTGAAGACTTACTTCGATGGTACAAGGGGAGCCTTGCCCGAGCAAAAGAATTGCTTTCATGCTCACCTGGAAGGCGGTCTGCCGTAGAATAAATTTGAAAGGTGGACAGTAGAGAGGAAGTACGCTCACGTTTAGGTATGCCAGTGGAACCCTCTAAAACGTACTACCCAGCCAACGGGCCGCCGTTCCGCTGCTGTTAAGACAGGTCCGACGGACGTTGAGGAGGATGTGTTTAGAACAAAGGTTGAACGCGGCGGTAGCCATCGCAAAATTTGTCCCCAATGACAGATATCGTAGATCGGAAGGCTTGTGGTTGCGCAAACGTGGGACGGCGTACGTGACCCAAGTCAGGATCATATGACAAGGGCCCACTTTGCGCTTGACGGTCGAGCGGCTACGTTGAAATACAAATTCCTGAAATCAAGCTCGGTTCGCCAAATGTGTAACTGAATCTTCTGCAAATTCTAGTTGTCGCCCGATGTAGGTCGCCTGAACGCGAAGAAGACGGCGTGTTAGTATCGCAAAGAGTGATTGATTAGCAGAGCCCACACCTGTAGATGACGTTCCCCACCAGAGTACGTACTCGCATTGTATAGAACTTGGGATGAAGCAGCCTCAGGTACTTTGAGCTACTCATTTCCCCCAAGTGTCCCGAGATATCGCCTCACCCCCGAAGAAAAGGCTTAATCTTCGATTTGGCAGAAATTTTGAATCCGAGAAGTGCGTTGTAACAAAAGGTGGATACGAAGCAAAAGTATTGGAGCGATGGAGGGGCGTACAACAGAGTCAAATGGGAGCGTTGAGCTTTGTCGCGCTTAGTGACAGCATATACTTGAGAAAGTACGCCGACAGGTCAAAAGAGAACGACAAGATTGAAGATTTGATACCAACATCACGTGACATAGTGTGACCATAAGGCGCCACGTACTTGAAGAAGTTGAAGCCATGGAAGCTTGAGCACGTACCACCATAACTATGCTTCGGAACCGGCCTCTCGGAGCCTCTGCTGTTTTGTCGTCACTCTAACATACCGCCTTGCATTGTTTGGATATCGTCTGGGGGGGGACAATACTCAGCGGAGCCGAGCGCGCTTAAGAGGAGGTGGATAAGGGTGAATAGGCGCTATTCGATAAGTGCAACATATCAGTCCATTCATCTGACCATATCAAATGCCAGGCAGGAGTATCGCTTGTTATTCTGATGCCAGAACAATCACACGACGTCTCGTGGTGCACCCGACAAGCGCGGGTTCCCCGCCATCTTTTCCAAATCGGGCTTAGCCTGTCGCGCCAGGCCCATATCGGGACAAGGGCGGGTCGCTTACAGCTTGATGCATGTCCAACATTTCGAATTCACCTTGCGATGAGTCACACGCCCCGCTCCCGCCTCGTTCCCGAACCTACATTGAGGTAGATGGCGGCGATATCAGTTTATTTGCCTGTGGGTCCTATCTGTTTATCCTGATCAACGTGTGAAGGGTATAAGACCGCCTCCCGACGATTCTGACTCAATAGGTTTTCCCGCCGCCCGCCCTCCACCACACTTTGTGACTCCCCAACACCGCCTGCACCAACTTGCTATGCATTTCATATCGACGACGCCTTCGCTGCACAGCACTGAGTACTCTTCATGGGGCACGCTTTCCTCACACCCTGCATCTCCCCTTCCACCGTCATCGAATGGGCACGTGCCATCATCTGTGGGAACAACATGTCTCCCGAGCCCTGGTAGTGTTTGTGAGTCCCGCCTCCCGCCCTTAGCAACAATCTCAATCTAAACCAACTCCTTAGATACACTAATCAGCTCAGTTCACCCCGCCCTCCAACTCGGCGCCTCTTCGCCCCATCTATTCTTCGACGTCCGAAAAGACATCTCTCAAATCCGACAAAACCCGAACTACCCATTCACGTTTGCCGACGCCGCCTTCTCCCCTCCCACCGCTCGTGTTTCCCTTCGCATTCAAGGAACCCAAGTTAAATCAGACTTCACAACTCTCAACGGTCGCTTCATCACCATAGGCGATATACTACAATGGGTATACCTGCAAGCCAACTCCCCAGTGTCGAAGGACGTCTATAACTCCTTGCCTAGAGACGTGCAATCTGCCGCAAGCACAAATTTCCGTGGAAGAGTGGGGGGGAATACGACTGAGTTCAACAAGGGGCTTTATATGCTCGACGTGCTCGGCCCGAGGATGTTCTTTGTTGGGCTGTGCAGATCCCCGGATGGTGTGTGGGACGCAATATTTTCTGCGCCACCCACCGCACGCTATTGAACTCGGTTCATCCTGGTTCGGTCTTGCTCGGCTGTTCTTTGGCGACGACGACTCGCTCTCTGCCGCTGGTCGGATCTGAGATCTTTCATTTCTCAAGTGTGTGCCGCTTTGTCTCGCTTTTTTCGGAGATGAAGAAAGCCAAGTCGACGCAGCGCGTCAAGATGCTTTGGTCGCGGACCCCAACGTTGTATCATTATTGAACACATCTCATCGACTTGTATTGGACTCGGACGCTATAGCTCAAGCTCTGTCTCCTGGTTGTACTATTGTTTGTCGACTTGCTCTCGGACTGTATCCCTAGCTGTACCCGATCTCGGACTGTATTACTACCTAAAACCCCCTCTCGATCTAGATTTGTACTCCATCATCCCCACACCGCTACTTATCATAGAATTGCTTATACCTGCCGCTATCTACGCTATCGCATTGCTGTTTTACTTGTTTATCTTATATACTGCTTTCGACCCTTAACCTTGTTGCGGCTGAGAGAGCTCGTGGACTCTGATTGGTACTTACATAAAATCTGTAGCATCTGCTTTAAAGGCAAATTTTCTGTTCCTTGCCTCTCTTGAAGTCCGATTTTCTTCCGCTTGAGCTTGCGTCTGAAAAAGAGGAAGGGACCGTAAAGTGCGTTCCTCTCAGATACTAATTGGGGTGCGTAGGAAAAAGAATTTGAAAATACCGTCTTTGAGTTGAGGTGTGGCGAGCGAGGGAAAACTATAGAGTATACAAGAATCCGGGAGTCTCTTCAAGCACAACGTTCCCCAACCTTGCGGATCTGTTCCGACGATTCAAAATCAAAGTGTTGACCGCCAAAAGCATCAATAGAAGAAATTGGCAACCCATAGTGGCCCAAAGCCCGTTCAGGTATCTAACTAAATGTCAACTCACTACATTAGATGAGGTCCGGATGACGCACCGAGGAAAGTCTTGTTGGCGGTAGACCGTCGTCGCGAATACGCCACCTACTCCGCCAAAGGCGACTATTACACCGGTTGACACGGCACGCTGCAGAGAGGTTTGGTTATGCAGGCTGTAAAAAGTGTGCAGTGGATGCGTACCTTGGTGTGGGTCGTTACGTTGTTGGCGTTCTGTGTGTGTTTAATCAAATTGCCAACCAAGTTGAAGTTGAAAATACTTACGTAGGCAATAATTCCTGGTATAGAACCGGACGCCCCCATATTGATGAGGAAAAGTCCAAGATAACGAGCGCCGTGGGGCGTGGCATAACCTGTGATCATCAAGCCGGTAATGGACATCAATGTTTGAACCCCGAGCCAGATTGCTCTTTTCTTCGTTTTGTCGGAAATCCAGGCGAAAAAAAATGTGCTAATTGCCTATACGATGCCGTTCGGTCTCTATTGCGAAGATCACTTCAAATTTGACTTACTGCGGCGATATACGGTGGGGTAGTCAGAAGGAGTGACATTGTTTCTGAGAACCCCATCCCACTCAAGATGGTGGGGATGAAGAAGGCCATTGCGGCGCCCGGCATCGTGACACAATTAAACATCAAACCTTGATAAAAGTCAACCGCAAAGAAAATGAAAAGCGGACAAGACAGCACGGACCATACATCCACAGGAACGGGTCCCTCAAATGTCTCAACACTTTGGCAGCAATCAATTTATCAGGCAATGAGTCTCCACGGTCCTCTTCAACACGATCCAAAATCAACTGCGTTTGATCTTCGGTGAGAAAACGATTTTTGTCCGGGAAATCTGGAACGAAAACCCATGCGATGGGGCACAGGCAAAGTGTACCGAGGCCTTCGAGGAGGAATACCCACCGCCAACCGCTCATACCTGCCTTTCCGCCTAATTTTGCTATGGCAGACGCAAGGAGGGCGCTAAAACCGTCGAGGACGATCGCCAATAGATAGAATATGGCGAGGCGTTTCTGGACCTCGTGCCGCTTGTACCATGTGGTGATAAGGAAGGCGAGAGCAGGGAAGAAGCCCGCCTGAAGGTTGAGGAAGGACGGAGCTTAGTGGCATCCTCGGAGTAATAAAGGTGGTATATGTAGGAAAGAATTACGGACCTCCAATATCGCCAACAGCACACGACAGAAACAAAGAGTACGCCACGAGGTCACAAAAGCCATGCCTATTTGGGAAATACCCCACCCCGCGACTGAGATTGTGAGAAACGTGCGGGGACCAATATATTGTAAAACGATGTTCCCTGGGACTTGGCTGAAGGGCAGTGATTACATCCAAAGACTGGCCAACACATTTGTATCGAACATGACTCACAACAAAACATAAGGAGGGAAAAATATCATTGTGATGATGCTGTACCTTGAGCCGATGTCCATTCCCTAAACCACGGGCGTCTATAATTTGGCTGTGGGTGAAGAGAAAGTTCGAATTACGAACCAAATCCTTGTTCATTCCCGCTGTACGGGCCATAGCTAAGTTTGTGCGATCAATCACGTCGATGGAATAAAGGAGACCCAGGAGCGGCAACAAACGCCAGTCGACTCGCCGCCTCGTCCGTTTGTTAGATCCTTTCCAAGTAATTCAAATAATATAAACTTACAGGGTACGTCGAACAAAATCTGGATCGTAACGAGCGTCTGTCGTAGCAGCTGCGTCGCTTCCACCGTTTTTCTCATCAACTATTTGCATGCCAGCGGAACTTGCTACTACGACGGGTGGAAAGGGATGGGCAGTAGCGTGGAGCATCTCTCAGATTTATGTATCTAGTAAAAATACCTATAGCGACCGCGAACAAACATCTTGAAACTCCCAACTCCGTCCTGTTTGTGGTTGATACACCTTTAAAAAAATGACTGTCTTGTCTATTTCAATGTATATACTTTCATGGGCTGACCAGTTATTACCTCTACTATATATGCGGCATTTCTTTTTTTTTTTTTTCGAAAAAAATCGCAAAGTGTAGGTGGAGAAAATTGTCACCGATACATGTCCGAAGAATCTCCTCTTTGGGCACTTCTAAGTGACGAAAGAGCTACAAATAGAGACGGGTTCCATCGGCATGACACCACCACAACCAATCAAGAGGTCTTCCCGCCGTTTTAATACCTACGTTACCGCAACTCCAGTTCAAACAACCATTCCAAAGGCTCCTATTCAATATCTTTCGATGGCCAGAAGTTCGAAAAAGAAAAAATGGACACTGTGGGAATTGAACCCACGACCTCACGCAATCACGTAAGTATGCGAAGCGTGCGCGCTACCCCTGTGCCAAGAGCCCGATGTCATGGCTGCTCAACAAATCATGTTCAGGGACTGGACGCTGAGTACGATCATCCAGTACTACGTCCTCTGTCTCCCATCTGTTATATAACCGCTTTTATCCCTGCAAGTTCGACGTTACTGCAGCCAATTTATACCGCTAAACGACCGCATTCCTCTGACTGTCATAGCGTGCGACTCAAGGCGGCAATACCCCTCAGCGGGTTGGACGCTGCCAATGACGCGGCACTCCAGTCATCTGCGGATCTAGCAAATCCCGCTTGTACTCGAAAATTGATGAGCAAAGGTGCCAATATTAATCCCTATATGTACGTTAATTTAGCACGAACATTCACGACATGAAGATCTATGGCCCACCGATATTTGAACATGGATATTTTGCGCGCAAAACCACCCCCCATAAGCCAGATTAACCTTGGGATACTGATATAACGTATCAAGGACGAGAAATATCGTATATCCGATGAGCAAAATAGCGAACAACGCGGCTGATCCTACGAATATCTTGATGACTGGGTTGAATCGTCGTTTCAAGGTCAGGCTAAACTGAGCGGACAATCTTTGGATTTGCACAACGCGCAAAGTGGTGACGAGAGTCGTTAGTAGGACGCTTGTAGTGGGAATATGGGGTAGATGGTTAGTTGGTATCCTCCTGTGATTGACTCGGGCCCAGCTTCGATTACTACGACTAATGCAAGACCTAGGAAAATTAGATGTCAATTTTAGAACTTGGAGGATGATTGAAACCCACCCGTTCCCACCAATGTTAGAACGACGGGCAGGATGACGAATCGCCACTCGCAGTCCCATACAACCTAGCACCGCCATATCTACGTTATAACCCCCTCTGATCTTAAGGACGACAAGAGAAAAGATTATTCTCGCTTACGAAGACGGCTTCGGCGAGATCATTATTGATAATGAATGCCGCGACGTACGTCAGTCGGACAGTAAACCCCACTGTGAGATCGCCAGCTGGTATTTCCATGGTCAGTGCAGCCCAGGAGAGACATGCATGGACAATGTGGGCGAGCGAAGTATGTGCTACTGAGAACTTGACTGAGAATCACTCGCACCGACTCTCTCCAATTTGATTGGCTGCGGGACCTTGAGGACAAACCAACGTCCAGAGGTAGAAAACCAAGCATAATTTAGACAGTGGCATTGCTGGATAAAAAATGTGGAGCACTAAATAAACACACTGCCCGAATTGACTAGCGCCGTTGAGCAGTATTTACTGATCAGCAACTATCTTTTGATTGATATATATTCTACCTTATTCTACCCATCCCCAAAAAGCCCTAAGACCCTTTTTTGACTCTTGAGGTACTTATGATCGCACTTTCATTGCCATAGAATTGGTTCATATGCATCCCAAATCCAGCGGAAAAAGCAACACTACGGAACATTACTCTGAGCAAAATTAACCACATCTTTTCTGGGAAATGATTTCCTATTGGCAGAATATCCAACACCTGTGGTGGGTGGGCTTAAAGCGACTGATCAGCCTAGGGAAAGGATTTCGGGCATCAAACTTGTCCACCCGAGAGTTTCGGTTGGTGTTTGTCGGGGTGTATTTGCACTTGTGCTCATCGTTTGGCCCTTCTAAGTTAGTGCACTCGAAGCAAGCACACCACGTTATAATACGTTCCGTCAGCAATCCTCCTGTAGGTAAAGAATACGCACTAATTTTACTGGAAGATTAAGATGGCCTAGCATTTTTCAAGTAATTTTATCTACGCCAGATTTCTTCGAGGTTTCTCGGAGGCATGAAACGAGCATCTGCACTTCGTAGAAGTGTGAACTTTTTCTTCGTCAAGCCATTAGATTTATGGCCTTAATTTCTTTAACATGGAATTTTTTAGGCATCAGTCAGGACTGAATAGCTCAAAGGGTCTTTTATTATCTTTTCTTCTACAAATGTCAGCAAGATGGGCTCTTAACAAATCCCAACGCCGCAGCGCTTTTGTAGCTACAGGAATTCAAGATGGCATGGTGACTTTTGCAACTAAATCTTGTAGAATCAATGCAACCGCTTCGTGGCAGAATGTGGTAATCTGAGAACCACCCATTCCAAAAACTTCCGAAAATATGAATTAATCCGATTGATCCTCTGTATATACCAGCATACTATTTACGATGGCGACAGCGAGTTCCCGTCAAAGATCTTGGGGAAGGCGAAAAAAAAAGCATGTTCTAAATCTAATCGATGTAAAATGATGAAGGAATGTGGCAAAGAGCACGTTGAAGGTTCTCCATAAGAATATAAGCGAAATAAGAAAGCGAAATTTACAGCTACAACACTGATTGTGTTGGATATGAATACAGATGACCAGACAGGGGGACAAATATGTAAGCGGCCTTGATTGATTTTGGCGGCGGAGGCTCTTTCGAGTCCTCATATGCAAACGAAGGGGGAACACCCGGGTGGTAACTGCGCCTTCAGAGAAAATTAGAAAGACATCCAGTCACTGAACAGCTGAAGAAACGCACCTCAGCTTCCCGAGCGCTTACTTCATTAGTGTCGATGGGTATGGGTGACGCGGACGTCAGAGTAAGCGCTGGAAAAAAGAACGTTACACACTTTCAAAAAAGAATTACTTGACAGAATAAACCTACCAATTGCGAGAACGAGTGCGGTAAAAATAGAGCAGCGCATTGATAATGAATGTGACAGTTTTGCGAGTGGTGTGAATGAGGGCGAAGATTTTGAAGTTCGCTTCCATCGACACCCTCCGTTTTAATAGTACATGTAGGACAAGTTAATGTCCAGAGGCGGTAAGCCAAACGAGTTGCGACAGTGAGCTCGCTGAACCACGAGAAAGAGGCTCTCTGAACAAACACATTGCTTGAATTGACTAGTGCCCATCTTTATTTGGCTGTATATATTCTGGACATCCCTGGAAAGCCACCAACAGACGAAGACCCTTTTTGTAATTGAGGGGAGTTAACTCCTAATAAGATATAATTTGGATTCAAGATTGTCTCCAGGGGTGTGTAAGGGTGCGCGACTTGCAGTGTCAGGCACCGAGACTCAGGCCATCGATGAACTGGTCTAGATTACATGTATTATTATAATAATGGCGAATAACAAAATACTCGATGAAAGAGGCTTAGAGGTCGTCATCCATGTATTTTCTTTCCAGTTTTTCCTGACGCTTTTGTCCAGGTGCGTTCGCTCTTGTGTTCACTCTCACGAAGTTACTTGCAGTGGCGTAGATGTGCTACGTTTTCTAGGATCCTGAATGACGCGCCGTCTGGCAAATAGTTTCATTTAGCCTAAGTTTAAGGGTTTGAAACGAATGACTGTATTCAACCAAAAGGTACCAGACCACGAGCTTGTGTAGTGAAAGCGATAGAGTAACTCGGAGTTTCCCTTCATCGGAACATTGAACTTATAAGTCATGATACATATTGAATTTTCGAACGCCACAAAAATTTAACTGGGGATGGTATAAAATTTTATTTTACTTTACACTCATTTTTAAATGATATATCATATATCGGTGTAGATGCTTGTGGGTGGGACTCGGGTACTCGAGTAGTTGGATCCCGCATTAGGCAAATTTAATCAAGTGAGTGCGCACAGGTTCGTAAGTACCTTGATCCCGATCCCTGAGTACTGAGTCCTGTCGATCCGCAGCAGATTCCCGCAATGGCGAGTCACCCAAGCTCTGAGAGACGAATTGTGAGTATTTAGTGCTGGACCGAATCTCAGAAATAGGGTGCTACCTACTCGCCAACCAATTGGAAGTCTGCCTCCCAGTTTGAGTCTAATCGACGTATGGCCGACCCTTCATATTTTAAGATAATACTTGAACAGAGTTTACTTAACGAAACCGCGTTGTCTCAAAGAAATGCCCAAATCAAGTTACTCATGTAGAGATTCTGGAGAAAGGGTAGTAGTGGTCTCACCCTGAAATTATCCCTCTTGATTCCCGGTGAAAGGAAGGACCGCATCGAGAAGCTAACGACACATGTACGTTATTGAAAGAGACGTTATTTGAATTCCAGGTCATTCTCTGTGCATCCAGGGAATTCCTCCAGCCGACGTGGGCACAAGAATACATAATTGACAGGATACTGGCTGGAGAGGTATGAGTTGTGCATGGACGACGGCCGCTATGAGGTATGGTGCCACGTTCCAAGTGATGAACATAGTTTTCTGCCGGAGATCGTATTCTTTCTTCGAAAGTACGAGTGTGGAAGTCAACGGAGGAAGTGGTATGGGTTCCATAGAAAAAATACCGTACCAATCAGCCAGATGGTCAGAAGAAGAGCAGCGTAAATGCCTGGGTGTGTACTATGTGCTGGCAGTATGAATCGTCAACTTACCGTTTATCCATAGTTCCGCAAAGATTCCGCCTACGTAGATGGGGAGTTGGGTTTCAAAGGGGGACTCCTCCATCTTTGGGGGGGCGGCAGCGAGTTTTTGTGGAGCGCTTCTTGTATCCTGCGAGGCTTCTTATTCCCGTCAATTATATGATACACTTGACAATGACAGTTCGAAGATGCTAGCATGTGGGACAGCATTCCGAGATCAACGGGTGAGGCCATTTAAGCAAGGCATGAAATGGGTACTGAAAACCTCGAAAAGCATGTCAGAAAATGGTGCTTTGCTCATTCATAACGATAACCACAACCTTCCTTCCAAATCCCCAGAGTCCGTATGTCTTTCGTACAGCATGAGCATCTGTGCTGCAGTAGATCCAAACGTAACTTTCGTGATTGTCGGCTGGAAAAGTTTCATTGTACTCCGATTCACTTGTCGGATCCCCGATGCGAGCTGAGTGCTGAACATTGAATATGATGAAACACAAAGTCGTCCACGCAACTGACGCACGATGTTCAATACAAGTACGTCCGTGGTGGTAGACGTTGAAGGATGTAGCCAAATAACTGCAATCATAATCATTCTTACATTTACCAGCCGTCTCACGCAATTCCTTGGTTCCGTAACCTGCATCATACACGACAGCGGAGGAGAGCGGAGGAGCAACATAATATTATTTTATCTCCATGAGGATCCACCGCTCCATCAATCCCATATAAGTAAGTATCTGGATCGGCTCCTGCAATTCCACCCACGCTCACTCCTCCTTTTTGCTGGCGCGTTTCTCAGCTTCGGCAATAGAAGCTGCATCTGTTAGAGGTCCCGAAGCAGCTAGTGTCGGAGAAGGTGGGTTAGTGATTGTCGAAAAAGGAAGAAGGGGAAGGAGAGGTGGAGGGGGAAGTGTGGATGAAGCACAGATCTGCAAGAGGGCGCGGAGGTGAACGGCATCGGGAAGGGAGGGCGCCCCCGTGAGAGCGGGAGAAAAAAGAAGAGGGAGAGAGAGCGGCAGACTAAGGTAATGGGTGCTAGAATGCCGATTCGTAGTTTCATCTCCAATATCAGTGCCCCGTACTTTTGAGAATATTGACAGTGAAACGATAGTGGCGCATGGTTTGTCTACCTGGGACGACGCCTCCACCAAAGATCACTCTCGCTTAACATGCACGTGACCCGTAGAAGTGGAAAGCAGAAACCACGGCCCGCGGAGAAGAAAAGGGGGAGAAAGAAGCGAGACTCACGTCCAAAGAAACTAGCGACCTTGAACGGGCGCTTGAGGTCATCCACAGCTGGGTTCCCGAGTAAGTGGATGGAGACGGGTTTCGCGTCGTACAGGCCCTTGACGCCCATGAGAGCTTGAATGAAGAGGGGTTGTGTGAAGTTTAAGTAGAAGTGCATGACGCCCATCATTGCGATGCCCAAGTATACTGAGCGGAGCTGTGGAGAGAAGGGCTTAGATCCGTCGTGTGATACAAAATAGATAGGAGACGGGGTGGAAGGTGGTGGTGGGGGAGGACGAAGGAAACGCACGAGTTTAGATGTCTCTGATAGATCATAGTCTCGTACTGTTGTCGTCACCAGATTCCCTGGTTCTTGAGACTAAAATTGGTGAGCTACCGACTCATCAGACACAGAATGACCAGCAAACCATAGGGGGAGGTGCCTCGACTGAACAAAAGGAAGGTCAGACGGGTGTACAGGTGGCGAAAAAAGAAGTGACGCACCGTATTTCAGCACCGTTTGGTCGTTTTTGCGCTTAATCTGATATCTCTCAATAAAACGGCCAAAGAAGCACGGGATAGGGAGCTTACAACCAAAGAAACGTAATAATACACCGCAAGTACTATGACTTGTGCAAGGACATACCCCGCCCGAACGTAGTTGAGCACAAGTGGGTCCTCGAAGGGTATCTTGCGCGCCACTGCATCGTCGTGTTGATTAGCTGAGCTATCAGAGTCAGAAGGGCAGGGAGAAGCGTACGTTGCATTGCGCCGAGGGAGATGACGAGGTTTTGGACTCCTGCGTTCATGGCGGTGAGAGACGGGGGCGGGATGGATGGACGGGATGGATGAACGGGATGGAGGTGCCAGCGTGACACATCAGTTGGAGACGTGTCTTTTCTTGTCTTGTCTTGTTTGGTTTACCGGGCACGTGCACTTGAATCGCACCTTGTCGAAGTTACTCAACATCTATCACTATAGAAATTTAATCTCGAGTTTCCTTCCGGTTGCTCATATATTGTACTTAACTAGTACTTGACCCCACGCCTCCTCCACTCATCCACACCCCCAGCCGCTACACTCAATCAAACGCAGCTGCTATCAAGCTGCTATAGCCTATGGTTAAACCTACGAAATTGTGAAAGGGAAAGTCGGAAGAAGGGAGCGAAAGGTAGGCGCCACGCACATGAAAACGCTCTTCTCCACGAGTCCTCCAAGCCATGCACTTCCACGGGGAGAACAGAAAGCGCGGAAAATGAAAGTTATTCTCACCTCCAAACATACTAGCGACTTTGAACGCACGCTTGGAGCTTCTCAGCCGTATTACACTCCACCGCGGTTTAAACGGCGCCGCATGACATTCCCTTTATTTTGCTATTCAATGTCTCAGTGGCCACCTAATGTCTGACTTTAACTAGTAAATTTAAATTCCTAACCATACTCCCCCTCATCGGCAAAATCTGCGAAGCTTTCGAATGCTACGAAACATGTCAGGCTTCCCAAACGGGTCCCACTCATACGGCCTGGAGAATAGTGAGCCATTTTCAAATCATATCGAGAAATGGTCTTGCCCCCTGTCAGGAAACAATTTATGCATCCGCGCGCTGTTTTACTTGATTAAAGAGTGATAAAAATACAAGAGGTGGATGCGAGCACCTGTACTCTGGATCACGGCTTCTAGCTGGAAAAGGACGTAGCGCTGCAGGATGACTAACATCCGTTAACCACCTGCGCAAGAGTACAACGAATTCCGACTCACCCTATTTTCTCCAAGATAGCCCGTCGAATTTCAACCTCCTGGTCCCAAACAACTTGCCCATGACGTTTCAGATAACTCTTGAAGTAGGGTCTATTTTCTTCTCGCAAGAGTTCGGCTACTGATGCATAGCTTTTACACAGCTCTCCATTGGGCTTCAGCGGATCGTTGCCTTGAAAAGGGCAATATAACAGCTCAGCCAGATAACGGCTCATGAACGTGGCGAAGCCGGAGTGTAAATAACCCATTGGGGGGTCCAAGAGGACCCCGGCGAGCGAGTCTATGAAGGCCGGCAGGGTAGGAAACCGTATTTTTGGAGAGAAATGGTCAAGAGCAAGTGTGCGATTTCTGTCCTCCACGTTAACCGAAAAAAAGGATTGGGGATGGATGAAAATACGCGGCGGTTTTCCGCTTTTCCAAAGGATTTTTGGATGAGTGGTTGCGCTTAAGCAGATAGAGAATGGATAACAGCTCGGAGGCCAAGGGTGGTATGTATCCCATTCGAGGACGTTCCGTATTTCGAGAGTCCGAACTGCCGCCGATCCGCCGATCCGCCTGTCCGCCTAAGGCACATCGTCACGGAACTCCGCACCGCTGAGTGATGTGGCGAGATGGAGAGCGATATGGAAAGCGATGACTTCGTGGCAGACGAGGTAGTTTCCTGGCGCGAGGTTGGATGGGAGTTGTATGCTTGGGAGGGAGCCGGACACTGTTGTACATAAGCGGGGATCATTAGCGCAACTCGGGAGAAACTTAGAGCCAGGAGCACGACGTACTTGGTGGATCTTAAACCATTTGGCGGTTTGTTGTCACAGGTCGTCGACCCGCAAGATGCTAGATATGTGAGCATTGGGCCGGTATTGTGAGGCCAATAGAAGATTGTCAGCATTTTCATTGAACAGAACGAAAGGAGCATACGTCGCTGCCATCAGCACCTTTCTAATCGAAGCCAAGCTGGTCACGAAGGTTCGCGTTGGCGATGAGGGTCGCAGGTTGAGCGTAGCACTGGATTTCTGGCACCCATGTTAGGGTTTGTAGTGGAAACTCGGCGGATAACACTAGAAGGTCCACAGTGACTGTCAAGTCTCGCTGCACGAACGGCGCAAGGTTGGCGCAAAGGTGAAGAGGCTCGTGACCGTGTTTGGTGGCGGCAGGTGCCGTGCGGACCAGACAGCGGACAGGCGGATCGGCGGCGGTTCGGACTCTCGAAATTCGGAACCTTCTGTCCCATTCGATCCAACACCAATGCGGGGTTTTATCTCTCCGATATGGGAGTTTCTTCGTGATTTCTCGCACAGCGTTCGGTACCTGCCTGTCTTCCACAATAAGTTGAAGTTCACCGAGCCCTGTACGGGCGGAGTGAACGAAGGAGAGTGTGTCGTCCGCCCATACTAAAGAGGTGATATCTCGAGCCGCCAAAACCTCGGCAGGCTTCAAGTGTAATTTTTGTGTATGGAGTGTTTCAGTGCTGCAATTAGATCACAAGCGCTTTGCTGGGGTACAGTCGCGGACAAAGAAAGACAACAATTCCAGTAGCTTGGGAAGAAATGAATATTTTGACAATCTGACTTCAGATTCGAACTCAGGATGCGAAACTACGTCCAAAAACACCCCTCCTAGGCGGAAGGGCAGTTGGCGGTGGATCTTCCTCCTCGAAGGCCTTGGTACACTTTGCTTGTGCCCCATCGCATGGGTTTTCGTTCCAGATTTCCCGGACAAAAATCGTTTTCTCACCGAAGATCAAACGCAATTGATTTTGGATCGTGTTGAAGAGGACCGTGGAGACTCATTGCCTGATAAATTGACTGCTGCCAAAGTGTTGAGACATTTGAGGGACCCGTTCCTGTGGACGTATGGTCCGTGCTGTCTTGTCTGCTTTTTATTTTCTTTGCGGTTGACTTTTATCAAGGTTTGATGTTTAATTGTGTCACGATGCCGGGCGCCGCAATGGCTTTCTTCATCCCCACCATCTTGAGTGGGATGGGGTTCTCAGAAACAATGTCACTCCTTCTAACTACCCCACCGTACTATATCGCCGCAGTAAGTCAAGTTTAACGTGACCTCCGCAATAGAGACCGGACTGCGTCTGCATCGTATTCAGGGAATGAGCACATTCTTTTTCGCCTGGATTTCAGACAAAACGAAGAAAAGAGCAATCTGGCTCGGGGTCCAAACCCTGATGCTCACCACTGGTTTGATGATCACAGGTTATGCCACGCCCCACGGCGCTCGTTATCTTGGACTTTTCCTCATCAATATGGGGGCGTCCGGTTCTATACCAGGAATTATTGCCTACGTAGGTATCTTCTTTCAAGTTGGCAATTTAACTTAACACCTACAGAACGCCAACAATGTAATCACCCACACCAAAGTGCGCATCCGCACTCTTTTTACAGCCTGCCTGACCAAACCTCCTGCAGTGTGCCGTGTCAACCGGTGTGATAGTCGCCTTTGGCGGAGTAGGTGGCGTATTCGCGACGACGGTCTACCGCCAACAAGACTTCCCTCGGTGCGTCATCCGGATCTCATCTGCCTGAGGGAGTTGACATTTACTGTACGTAATCAGGAAGCTGGCCACTTATTTTCTGCAGCTTGTAGTGCACAAAATATCCAAAATTTTATATCATTGGAAAGCTTGAGATTAGGCCAATTGAGTGAAAATTTAAAAAAAATGAAAAGTGTCGATTTGAATACAAACTGGATGTGGCCAGCTTCCCAGTCAGGGCCGTGTTTATGGTCTTTTTACACCAAAAAAAAACACCACTGAGTCAATTTTCAATTTAGAATTCTAAAATGTACATGGTAATTAAGAGGAGAAAAATGCCTAACGGAAAATGTCAAAAAAATGACACATATTGCGAAACTCAGTCCTTAACTAGGACAATGAGTTAAGGTGGCCAGGTTCCCGATAAGGCACAGTAGTTAGATACCTCAATGGGCTTTCGGCCACTATGGGTTGTCAATTTCTTCTATTGACGCTTTTGGCGGTCAACACTTTGATTTTGAATCGCCGGAACAGATCCGCAAGGTTGGTGAACATTGTGCTTGAAGAGACTCCTGGGTTCTTGTATACTCTATAGTTTTCCCTCGCTCGCCACACCCCAACTCAAAGACGATATTATCGCATTCTAGGTTTTCGTTGGCCATTTATTGCAAATCTTCTTTTTCCTACGCACCCCAATTAGCATTTGAGAGGGCCGCAGACGCAAGTTTAAACGAATGAAAATTGGAGTGCTAGACAGGCAAGGAACACAAAAGTTGCCCTCTAAAGCAACCATTTCAATGCTACAAATTTTATATAAGTACCAATCAGAGTCCACGAGCTCTGTAGGCAACAGGGTTAAACGTCGAAAGCAGTATATGAAATAAACAAGTAAAACAGCAATGCGATAGCGTAGATAGAGGTAGGTCTATGATAAGTAGCGGTGTGGGGGTGGTGGTGTACAAATCTAAATCGAGAGGGGGGTTTAGGTAGTAATGCAGTCCGAAATCGGGTACAGCTAGGGATACAGTCCGAGAGCAAGTCGACAAACAATAGCACAACCAGGAGACAGAGCTTGAGCTATGGCGTCCGAGTCCAATACAAGTCGATGAGGTGTGTTCAATAATGATACAACCTTGGGGTCTGGGTCCAGAGCAACATGACGCGCAGCGTCGACTTGGGTTTCTTCATCTCCAAAAAAAGCGACACAGAGCGGCGCACTCTCTAGAAATGAAAGAACTCAGATCCGACAAGCGGCAGAGAGGAAGTCGTCGCCGCCAAAGAACAGCCGAGCGAGACCGAACCAGGATGAACCGAGCTCAATAGCGTGCGGGGGGTGGCTCAGAAAATATCGCGTCCCACACGCCATCTGGGGATCTGCACAGCCCAACAAAAAACATCCTCGGGTCGAGCACGTCGAGCATATAAAGCCCCCTGTTAAACTCAGTCGTATTTCCCCCCACTCTTCCACGGAAATTTGTGCTTGCGGCAGATTGCACGTCTCTAGGCAAGGAATTATATACGTCCTTCGACACTGGGGAGTTGGCTGGCAGGTATATCCATTGTAGTATATCGCCTATGGTGATGAAGTGACCATTGGGAGTTGTGAAGTCTGATTTAACTTGGGTGCCCTGAACGCGAAGGGAAACACGAGCGGTGGGGGGGGAGAAGGCGGGGTCGGCAAACGTGAATGGGTAGTTCGGGTTTTGTCGGATTTGAGAGATGTCTTTTCGGACGTCGAAGAATAGATGGGGCGAAGAGGCGCCGAGTTGGAGAGCGGGGTGAACTGAGCTGGTTAGGGTATCTAAGGAGTTGGTTTAGGATTGTGATTGACATTATTGCTAAGGGCGGGAGGTGGGACTCACAAACACTACCAGGGCTCGGGAGACAAGTTGTTCCCACAGAGGATGGCACGTGCCCATTCGATGACGGTGGAAGGGGGGATGCAGGGTGTGAGGAAGGCGTGCCCCATGAAGAGTACTCGGTGCTGTGCAGCGAAGGCGTCGTCGATATGAAATGCATAGCAAGTGGGGCGCAGGCGGCGTTGGGGAGTCACAAGGTGTGGTGGACGGTCTTATACCCTTCACACGTTCATCAGAATAAACAGATAGGACCCACAGGCAAATAAACTGATATCGCCGCCATCTACCTCAATGTAAAGGTTCGGGAACGAGGTGGGAGCGGGGCGTGTGACTCATCGCGGGGCGAACTCGAAATGTTGAACCTCCATCAAGCTTAAAGCGACCCGCCCTTGTCCGGATATGGGCCTGGCGCGACAAGCTAAGCCCGATTTGGAGAAGATGGCGGGGAACCCGCGCTTGTTGGATGCTTAAATATCACCACGAGACGTCGTGTGAATGATGTTCTGACATCTGAATAACGAGCGATACTCCTGTTATTGATATGGTCAGATTAATGGACGGATATGCTGCGCTTATCGAGTAGCGCCTATTCACCCTTATCCATCTCCTCCTAAGCGCCCTCGGCTCCGTTGAGTATTGTTCCTCTCCAAACGATATCCAGACGATGTAAGGTGGTATGTTAGAGTGACGACAAAATAGCAGAGGCTCCGAGAGGTTGTTCCGGTTCGGAAGCGTAGTTAGGGTGGTATGTGCCCAAGTACGTGGGTGGTGGGTCACACTATGTCACGTGATCTTGTTGAAACATCAGAAGTATTGCGTAATTACCACCGGTCCGGTCACCGGTGCCTGTGGAATGGAATAGGAAATCGGTGGAATCGTGAAGATGCATGAAAACATTGTGGGCATTGATTCGGGTACAAGAACCTTCCAAGCTATCGCACATTCAATTTGTATCCAGTAATCTGATACTTCGGGCACTCAGGTGTTTGTCGGCCGTCCGCTCAGACCTAGCTCAGACGCTGGATTGTGAGGGATCCCTTGAAAGGGTTTCAACCGGATTCGACCCCTGCCAGTGATTTACCTTTAAGAACGACCTAGCGCCTGGAAGATTGGAAGGTAGAGTTGAGATAACAGGTGTGCAAGATAAAGATCCGGCCGAAACTACACGGTGTTCTCCATGGATGATAGCTGTAGAATTACCATTGCGGAGCAACCAGAGGAGGGAGTAATGATCGGGATATTCAATCCGCACCCTCAAATTGGACAAGGGTAAAATGCGAAGAGAAGGATTCCGAAACAGGAAAGGTCAGCCGGCGTCCTTCATCGAACATTCGGGAACTTTTTGACGGTGATGCGACGATGAACGTCTTCCACATTCGATATTTTTTGAGCGAATGTTTTGAAGAACTTTTAACTTCCAGATAGGTCCGAGAAATCATACGGTGGTCCACCAATCTATGTAGTCCAGTTAGCAGAGGAAATTTTGAAGGCGCCGCGAGGCTGGATGTTAAATCCGATCGGCGGAGAAGTGTGTGGAAATGAATGAAGCCGTTGAAAGATTGAACCCAGATGGGGTCTTGGACCCACAATGAAGCAGGTGGACCGAAGAGCGGATATCGATGTATCTGTAACAAGGATGAACGGTGACGTGAGAACTGAGCCTAAGATTTCCAAAACCAAAGAGTTGGCGCACTTAACGTGTAAAAAGGTGACAAGAGAATGGGAAATGGTTTGAGCGGTCAGCGTATGTACCGTTAAGTTGAAACCGAGTGAGGTCACACACGTAGTAGCCTTGGCCTCCAGAAATCGCCGGGCACGTTAGAGTGCACATCTACTCGGTGTCCAAGACAGAGGTTTTGCTTGGAGGTGAGGGTGATCGATATCGATGGACTTGCTAAACTATATCGTCCGCTCGTGTGGCGAAGCGACGGAACCTAGGGTTTCCGAAACGCAGAACAGCTGGTATACCAACAAAGCCGGTACTCCTACCTCGTAAAGCCCATACCCCAAAATGAGGTAAGAGGTTTGCGAGGTAAGCATACAGGAGGTTGTCTGCCAGTGGGGTCTAGAAGACCTCGAAAGACCACTACACGCCCAATGGCGTGGAGTGTACATTCTCGAGGTGAACTGACAGGAGTGCGTGTGTGAGACCGTTCAATATGAATGTTGAATTCCAATGGAGACGCATATATGGTATTGAGGTGGGTAGCGACATGGCAGTGCTGATATTCAGTAGAGGAAATTGTGAGTGCGTGGCTGCGTGAGGATAGGTAAAGTTACTCTTGCCTTTGAGTAACCCAGGTGTGTGGCATTCGCGGGGAATGGGAGGATGTTCATGACAAGGAGGAGTCGAAAAAGCCTAGGGCCAGGAAATTAAGTTGAAACTCAGACATTGACATTGTCTGGCCATAGTTCCCACGGTAACCGGTTCAATTCGCCGTTTCTGACCCCATAACCCTAAATACCACCCTCGACTCGAAGATGGTATCTCCGAGTCCAAAGCTTGCAATGAGGAGGCAAAAAACGGATGAATCCTTCACGGCAAACAACCTGACCAGCATCGTGGCTGCTCTTTACACATAATTCCTTAGGGCTCTTTACATGCGATGATCGCGTACCACCGCGTGGGGTATCGTGTTTACTTCGGGGTGCGCTCTGGCGCGTTCCTAGAAGTGTTCGTGGACCCTGTGCACCCCGTAAGTCACGTTGATGACGCCAGCTGTCCACAAATATACTAATAGTGCGTAGCTCAATCATTCGATCTCAATTGTTCTCTCCCGAAAAGCAAACTCACTCACTCACATCTTTCACTTATCTTCCACATGGTACAACCTTCCGATGATACCTCCCGCTCTCGACACCACAGGACGGCTTATATCCCGGGTGGGGATCTTTTCATTGAGGTGCAGTCCTTCACACTTGTGGGTTGAGACGCTTGGATAACAAGGTCTTTTCAGATAGACAGAACGCTGTTTCGCGTTCACAGTCATTTTTTCACCCGCGATTCACAACTTTTCAACGCCAGATTTAATCCGTCCGCCACCCCTGGCGTCCCCCGAGAAGGAACCTCGCAAGGTAGCCCTTTCAGACTGCAAAACGTAACAGTGGGCGATTTTGAGAAATTTCTATGGGTTTTTTACAACCCGTACGTGAAAACCTTTGTATCCCTCGCAATTGAATGATTCGGTCTCATATCATTCAGAACCTACTCCCTCTATGAAGCCGACATCAAGGACTGGATCCGCATCTTGGAGCTGGCGAACATGTGGAGTTTTGTTGAGGTGAAGGCTTTTGCGCTGCGGGAGCTGGAGAAAAAAGAGGACGGCTTGGACGTGGTTCAGCGCATTGTCCTCTACCGGCAAAATCAAATCGAGGAGAGACACATTCACCGTCACTACGTCTCATTGTGTGCCCGCGATACCGTCCTCACTCTCGAAGAGTGCCGGGCTCTTGGGTTGGAGACTACTCATCTCATATCCGCCGCTAGAGAGAAACTTAGAGCCGCTCCCTCAGATGGGGGAACGAGTCCCCTGCCGCAGGGTATCGAGCCTGAGGACGTCCAGAGGATGCTTTCAACTCTGGTCAACAGAAATTAATCCATACGAACACAGGCAGTCGGGTGAATCTCACGCAACAGTGGAGATCATGTTTACTTAACTTCATCCTTCTGCAGGTTGCACTTAACCGACAGACTTCAATCGAGAATACCTTAACATGAGAGAGAATATATTATTTTGGAGCTGCTTTTTGATAACAAACATTCTCAGCATTCTTAGCATTTTGGCGCGCTTCAATGAACGCGTGCAGCTGGTCGCCGTTAACAACTTTATGACGTTATATCTTGAGCATCTGCCTCGATATATTTGAAGAACAGTGCCTCGAATTTGGCGCTTGTTCATGTTGCTCTTGGGAAAGATTCTTCGCAGGTTCTGCCTTGAGGCTGTCCATCGGAATCAATCTCCTGTGGCGCATTAATAGACAATGTGAGTAAAGTACGTACACTTGAGCACACGCTCTATCGGAAGCCAATCAGGAGCGGTTGGGGTGTCGGAGGGCCAGCAGTCTTAATTCGTGTTTGATGGAAACGCTGGAAAGGATCTGGATATAAGTAAACCTGGCGATAAGTTGCCGTCTGGTATTTTCTTTGATCGCCCTGCCAACTCACCCGCTTCGGTGTTAATATTCCCAATCGTCCCTTCCACCAACTTCCTCAACCCACCAGGCGGATTCCAAATGTCTGCGTCCAACCACGACAACGAAGAGCTCCCGGCTCTCATTCAACATCCTGATTATTACATCGAGGGAGCCGATCTGTCCTTCCTTGTGAGCCAACTGATCTGCAAGGCCTAACGTTCATTCTGACGCTAGAGGTACCCTCTTAGGCTGAGCGCACCCAGTTCAAAGTACATCGCTATTTCTTTGAACGGGAATCACCGTACTTCCGCGCACAGCTGGAAATACCAGTATCTGCTGGGGGTGCAGCTAGTAAGGGATCCAACAGTTCAAACGCGATCGTCCTTTCGGGCGTAAAAGCAACTGAGTTCGAGCTCTTTCTCTGGGTCTTTTACAACCCGTAAGATTTCCCTGATTGATTCGTGCTGTTGCTCATCATAAACATCATGTAGAACATACTCGTTGTATAAGAAAACGGTGGTAGAATGGGAGGTGATTCTCCGACTGGCTGAGAAATGGACATTTTTAGAAGTCAAGAATCTCGCTGTACGTGAGCTCGAGAAGTTGACGATTTTGGATGTCGACCGGATTGCAATATATCAAGCCCATAACGTGGATCGCAACCTTCTCGTACCCTCCTACTCCCGGCTCTGCGAACGTGCCGAACACTTGAACGTTCCAGAGGGACTCCGGCTTGGAATGGAAACGACAATTTCCATTGCGAATGCTCGTGAAGTAGCGCGACGGCCCGCCACGTGTGCCAGCGGACCGAAATTGGAAGCGATTATCCGCGACCTATTCGATATCAAGCTTGAAGGTGGCCCTGCTCGTGATAACCAAGCCAGTCACAACCCAGGTGCGCCTCAATGTCTCTAAGTTTACCATTTTGTTGTCGACCTGGACTTTAGAGGGGCATAGTAAGGAAAACCGCCTCAAGGGCGTCAACGGCGGAGCTCGAGGCGAGGGGAACAGTGGACAGCATGGGCATACTAAACCCGACAAGAAGTGACGGGCAGTGGACCAGGCACGAGGGGGCGAACGACGCCTTCGGAGAATAAGACCTAGTCAGTAAGAGCTTGAAACAAGATTTGACGTATATATGAGCATTTTCCAGGTGTGTTTTGCAAGCCATTGAACGAATCAACTGAATTATGGATCCTCACTGATTTTCCCGTTGAAACGAAAAAATGTTGACTCCCGACGTGGTCTCTTATCGTCAAGGTACTCACTAATCATGGTAGACATGAAGACTTGCTGAATGATAACATATTCAAGCTGGAAAGCTGTTAACTTGACCTGCGCCCCTTGCTTTGTCCGCCCTCACCTGATGAGAGATATTGAACGAACACTGCCCTTGATAGAAAGCAATCTGTGTTGAAATCAAATCAGGAAGCGTCAATTCTTCGTGATCAAGAGAAACAGGGGAGTAAGATTTCCGGTTGTCTCTGGAGGTGACAGAGGCAAACGGATGGGTAACTACAGTACAAGGCTTCGTATATATATTGTAGACTACAAAATATAAGGGGATAAATGCAAAACACCCCTGAGAATGCACGGAAACAATCAATGGAAGAAATATACCTGAAATCAAGTGAAATCCGAAGATGGGGCGCATTGCGCATGCTCGTAAAGCTCCCGAAATTCCAACAATCTGCCTTGGCGTTCTAGAGCTTTGGGCGTGGTTTCTTAGGTGTTGTAGCGATACCTGTAGCATTAGAGATTGATAAACACGACAAAGGGAAGCGAACACACAAAGATTTCCTAAGTGACGATAGTCAAATTAAGTATTATCCTTTTGCTTTGTCAGGAATAAGTACGTTCGATCCGCAACGGGAGCAAAAATATCGTTTGAGAGGAATCCCGCTGGTATTGGTGTCTCAGAAGCAGCTTAGTTGATCCTTTTCTTCGATGACCTGGGTGTTCTAGCCTAGGGATAAAAAGATTCAAGTTTTTTGTCAGCACCGTCGTGATGAGTGAGAAACAAAACACTGGAAACTCGAAATATCTAGGGCGCTATTGCGAATCAGAAGCAAACAAAACGAAGCCTTATGCACCTTCTGAAGAACGCACTCGTCATGAAGGCGCAACCTTTTGCAGTTGTCGCAAAAGCAGAAGTAAAACTTAAGGTCAATGGCTCCCCAGTCACTTGATGCCGGATCATGCCGCATAGGCAAGAACCATGTCGGATGGTCGTTTTGGGGGGACCGGGATGTACCTGGAGCCATCAGAGGGAGGATAACAATGTAGGAGATGATTTGAAAGACTTTAAATGGTCGGTGGGGCTATATAAGCATGTCGTCAAGATAGAGACGACTGAGCTGGGCATGATTTATCGCACTTGCTCAAAGCACAACAACTACTTCGCAAAGACCAAAAATATAAACGAGGTCATCCTTGCCTATTCCGCGTGGGCAGATCGTGAAGCGCACAAGCGTTATCGTGGCTTCCGAGACAATATTCTCAATGTCATTCTATGAGGGACTCCACGCCGGGAGAATTCCCTTCCACGCCATGCCTACGTTCCGAAAGACAGACATGAAGGGGGATGTTTCGGAGGAGAGGGAGGGGCGGAGGAGGTGACTACGAGAGTGGCGCTCCCCAGTGTCGAGTGGGCAAGGACACTCCGAGAAGGCCTCCGTTCCGCCAGTTCATTCCCGAGTGCGAGGACAGGAGCGTGATGAGTCGGGCTTGAAAAAAAAAAGAGATGACATCGCATGGAAACAGCAGCATGTGTGCCGTGAAGAATACTCGGGACGATGAAATTCATCTACGTCTGAGTGAGCATAGTCTCGACACCAGCCGTTATTGGGTTCGTATTACTCATCTATGGGTTCAATTACCCGCCTTACTCTGATCAAATCCGGACTCGTCCATCAAAGCCCTCTCCGTCCCTCCCCTAGTACTCAACATAGTGAATTGAACCCGTTAGAGACTGGTTCGAGTCTAGAGTGAGCAAGAGCATTTCCACTCTGAGCCTGGGACTGGACTGACAATATTTTGGATCTCAGTAGGAATTTCAACGGCGCTACCAGCATGCCACTGGACTGGGAGGAAGATGTCACTACCACTAACACAAGACGCATGTCGCAGACGAGATAGCTCAGCATCGGAAGATGATACGCTCCATGTCACAGAGAGACCCGCCTTTGCGAGACCCGTCTTCCCCATGATGTCAGAGTGGCGCCTCCTCCTGCGGTTATGTTAACCGATGTCTGGGGCATTGTACCGCGAGCGCAGAGACGAGCTGCAGATATTTGCGATATGCATCTACAGGAATTCGCGCAATGACCTAGTTCTGCGAACTAGTGGCATTAGCGCGACGAACGTGGAACAGGAAGGAGGGGATCCTTGTGGTTATATGTACCCTGTATGGGTGCAATTGGTGTATGACAAGAATCCTGCCACGAAGATCCAACTGTTATAACCCAGCAGCATGGTCGCCAGGACGGCCGGAAGGAGATCATCAGCAAGATCTGTAGAGATATACCGTAGACGGGCACGATCCACTTCGTCCGCCTCATATTCGAACAGCCGCATCTCCGCAGCAATGTGTTCAACGTCTTGAACAAGCGCAGGCCTGGGAGGAAGGTGATGTGAGCTTGGTCTGTATACGAGTACGATTAGCTACCCGCGTCATACCAAGGAAGAACCCACCTCTGCGAAAGTGACAGCGTATCAGCGCCGAAGTTCACAACCAGGAGGGAGTAGGGGTAAGTTTGTGTGAAAGAGACACGCTGTGGATGGGTAAATCAGCTTTCCGCGAGAATCCCCCCATCTCGTAAAGACCACCTACGTGAATGACAAGAGCACAGAAGACAGGACGAAGCTTGGAGAACTTGGGTGGGAGAAGTATCAGCCTGGTTAACGCTATGAGTGAGAGCGATTATCATTCGGAACGAATATAGGTCATGCCGGGGGGACCCACCTTTGGAACCGCTGCCCTGATAGTTTCGCGAAAAATGGCGGCGCTTCGTCCTCCTGCGGACTTCATTGGGGAGGTACAAAGGCGGGAGAGGTACGCTGTAGGAGAAGGTACATCATATCAGTAAGTGACCAAACAGCAACACGTGTGAAAGAGCGAACACTCGTCACGCCAGAGGGAGGCCCAGAGGAACAGCCTAGGGGCATGGTGTTCCAAACTCGGTGTCCATGAGGACCTTGGCAACTGGTGCCTCTCTTACCTCACGGGATGTGACAACCCTCCCTCCCCCCTTCCTCGTCTCAGCTCCGCGTGTGAGAGCAGATCTGGGAGAAACGTGTCCCGAGCTTGGATGGAAGGCATGCTATAGACGGGTAGGATGGACAGCAAAACCCAGAGGCCAGAGGACCCACCTCTACGACATTGAGATCTGACAACTGGAGATTTGACGGCCCACCCTCGCCGTATGTCCATCTTCCCATGTATGCGCGTTACAGCCCCAAACGTATGACTGAGGAAGACGATATGAGCTTGGGTCTGGACGGGAGCACTTCAGACGGGACCAGTCCAATCATTTCACCTGAGCTGAGCGTTCCGTCGCCAGAGGTGGACATTGTTCCTCCGCGTTCATTTTATCCGCACCGAGACGGGCTCACGTAATATGAGCGTGAACGCACGAGGGATGCTGTAGATGGATAGGTACGATGAAGGCATGAATCTCCAAGGAAGCATGCAACGTACCTTTGCGATAATACAGTTAGATGGCTTACCGCCACCAATTCATGTCGACTGGAGGAAGTTTGTCATAGTTTGTAGGGAAAGTTCGCGCTGTAGAAGATATTATCAGCATGTGGACCCTAGTGACAGTCCTCCGAGTCATCATCAGATATGACGGCCTTCCCTCTCCTCCACTTGCCTACAAATTTAGGCAAGAGAAACACACTTTAGAGGGGTATGATCAGCATTTGAACTGAACAGAAGATCACTCGAGCCGTGTCAGACATAAAAAGCCACCTTAGTGATAGCTGCGCCCCCTTCACCGGATTGTATGCGGTGTCGCCAACCCGGGATCCCCAGCATAGGACTTGTAGGTTCGAAAAGGTCCTCAAACCGGGCGTGATTCGGGAGAGTATCTGTAGAAGAGATATCAGCGGCCGGGAAGAATGTGGTCCAAAAAAACGTCACAACACGACTCCCGCGAGTGTAGGCGGGGGATAAGGCACTGCGAGTGCGAAGGTACACTGTAGACGGGTGTGATCTGCAAGAACGCGCGTAATGTTGAAGAATCACCCACAGTTGCGCCTGGTTTTCCCATGTCCGTAACCCAACCGGACGGTCCTACCTCTTCCTCATCTCAGCACCATGCATGCGAGTTTACCGGTCCAGGTGGCGTGAGCTTGAGATTGAATGGGAGAGCCCTGGGTATCAACGTTTGAACGACAAAGTAAGAATGATCTGCTAGCATTGACCAAGGTGTAGGTGACTCCGTCTAAGGCAACGGTGCTGCGATGCAGATTGAGGTGGCTGGAGTATATGTCCTCACACACGCACAAGTTACGAACAGGAAAAATCGTCTATTCATCTACGCCATTGTCTAAAAGACACGACATCTAATGGAGGTCATAGCCAACGAGACTCCGTCGTCCCACAATCTCTCCAATCTACAACCCAGGTAAATTAGCCCTCCTTGGCTCCAACGCCGAAAAACAACGAAAACACACCTTAAAAATCCCATACGCCTGCAGTCCATAAATGCCCACCCGCGCAGCCTCCCCATCCCGGACCAACCTGCCCAACGCACCGCTTCGAGAGACTTGGTACCAAATCGACTCGTAAGCCTGTCGGACGGCTGAGAGCGTCGGTGGTTGCAGTCCTTCAGCGACGTAGATTTGCTTGAGGACTTCTTTAGTTACAGCGAGGTTGTATAGTAGTGGTTGTTTGTACGCTATTCACATCTTCCATTAGGAAAGAGCAGTAAATAAAAGAAATGAGAAAAGACGTACACCCCAACAGCTGCCCCGCTTTCTCAGCAAGAGGGTCCAGGTACTTCTTGCTGCTCTCCCAGAGCTTATTTGCGTTTTTTTGGGCACTCGCCAGCGTGTCTTGTGCTTTCTTTTGGGTCGATTCAGAAGAGGAAGAGTATAGGCGGCGACTTGGGAAAGCCGAGTGGCGAGCTAAAGAGCGTCTGAGGGCCGAGGAGAGCATTGTTGGTGGGTGGAGGACGATGGGTGGGCGACGTGTCGTCGGCAGTGGGAAATTTGTTCAACGATCCGCATTTGTCCGTTGTATCTTATCTTTCTATCACGTGGCAAGCTTCTTGCTCTGCGACAATCACCTTGCAATCACCTCTTCCCAACCTCTTCCTCATTACACTTGATGGTGAACGACGAGTCGAGAAGCGGAATTGAGTTATTGCTATAGAGCGCTGATTGATGTTGTAGGACGAGTCCGAGGATGTGTCCGTGTGTCGTTCATGCTGGAACATTGCATCCATCTTGAGTCTTTCGCGTCATGATCGATACGATCCGAGAGGTGACGCGGAGAGGGTTTCCTCCTGTCGCTAGACGACAGGATGCGAGGACACGAGTGGGGGTTTCGAGCGCTAATGGACCTTCCATATATGCGTTTCGAGCCTTAAGATTCATACAAGGTTCGTAGTACCCATTTTACCTTCTTTTGATACACCTGCCTCGCCCCTTGATATCGAAACTGTCCACATGCTAGCATCTTACAACCGTCATTGTCGGGCGTACTACTCAATTGACAGAGATCAGAAGCCTTGCAGGATACAAGTAGCCCCCCACAAAAACTCGCTACTGCCATCTTTCCCTACAGATGGATAGAAACCGAATCTTCATCTACGAAGGTGGAATCTTTGTGGAACTATGGATAAACGGTAAGTTGGTAGTATCCGAAACGATTCTTGGTGCGAGCTTATGGTACCCAACCAGGCATTTACACTGCTCTTCTCCTTTTGACCATCTGGCTGATTGGTATCGTATTTTTCCTATGGAACGAATACAGTTTCCTATGTTGACTTTTAGACTCATAGTTTCGAAGAAGGAATACGATCGTCGGCAAAAAATTACGTTCATCACTTGGAACATGGTACCATACCTCGTAGCAACCGTCCACCCAGGTCTCTCCTGGCATGCAGCCATGGAAATGTTCACCGGCAATGTCACAGTGAAGCCAGCTTTCCGACTGACGTACGTCGCGTGCTTCATCATCAATAATAATCTCGCCGAAGCCGTTTTCGTAAGCGAGAACAGTCTTTTCTCTTGTCGTCGTTTAGCTGAGAGGGTGTTATAACGTAGATATGGCGGTGCTGGGTTGTAAGGGGCCGCAAGTGGAAAGCAGTCGTCTTGCCCATCGCCCTAACATTGGCAGGAACGGGTGAGTTTAAACCATCCTCCGAATTCTAAAATCGATACTTAGTTCCTATAGGTCTTGCATTATTTCTAGTAATCCAGACTGGGCCGGGGTCAATCATAGGAGGATACCAACTAACCCTCTACTCCATATTCCCAACCACAAGCGTCTTGTTAACGACTCTCCTCACCACTTTGCGCATTGTGCAAGTCCAAAGATCGACCGCTCAGTTTGGCCTGACCTTAAAACGACGGTTTAACCCAGTCATCGAGATCATCGTAGAATCGGCCGCGTTGTTTACCATTTCGCTCATCGGATATACCATATTCAACGTTCTTGATACGTTATCTGGGGGTTCTGGGGTGTCGCTTTGCGTGCAAAATATTCATGTTCAAATATCGGTGGGCCATAGATCTTAACGTCGTGGATTTTCATGCTGAATCAATGCACAGGGATTGGTACCGCTGCTCATAAATTTGCGAGTACAAGCAGGATTTGCTAGACCTGCAGATGAATGGAGCGCCGCGTCATTGGCACCGTCTAATCCGTTGAGGTTCGCTTCACGTAGGAGGACAGATAAAGAGGTTGTACAGGGAGTAAGTGATTCCTCTGATGGTCAGAGGCATTCTGTCGTTTAGCGATATGGATTGGCGGTGGACGTGTACAACGACGAACTTGCAGGTATTAACGGATGGAAGGATCGGGGACGCACTTGAAAATGACCCTCGGTGGACAAAGAGTCGAAGATTGCCTCACTTTTACGTCGTAGCTTGAGTGAGAAGACTTGAGTGTAGCTGGAACTGCGCTTCCAATGGTTTATACTGTCATTGAGGAGAAGAGAAAGACGTTGTCGGTCAACCGTTGTCTTATCTTAGAATTTTTCGCGCACGTGCCAAGCTTTAGCGCCCTTGTAGCCACCTTCCGAGGCTGCTTCCCCTAGTCACCTCCCTCATCTCAACTGATGGTGAACGATGATTCAGATTTTCCAGCAGGATTGTGTCATTGTCCCTCAGGCCTCTTTCCACTGTCCAGCTACTTATCACCTCAATTTGAACAAGGAACAAGCAGCTGCATGTGAGCGGAGCCTTCGACTTGACCAATGACAAATCTCTGAAAAATCTATATGATTAGGACAGATAGACGTTTGCCTATAGGGGGTCCTATTTCTGGACGACGTGATGGGATGGTACGAGTAGTACGTATCGAGCGATCCGAGGCTCAAGGTCGGTAGTACCCATTTTGCCTTCTCAATACACTGCCTCACCCGTTGAAACTGCCTCAGATGCTAGCATATTAGGACCGTCATTGTCGGGCGTATTGTTTAATTGACGTGGATCAGAAGCCTCGCAGGATACAAGAATAGCGCCCCACAAGAACTCGCCACCGCCATCTTCCTCCAAAGATGGGGGATTATAACCACATCCTGATATACGAAGGTGGAAGTTTTGTGGAACTATGGATAAATGGTAAGTTGTGGTATCCGAAACGATTCTTACCGCGAACTCACATCTACACACCCAGGCATTTACACTGCTCTTCTCCTTTTGACCATCTGGCTGATTGGTACGGTATTTTTCCTATGGAACTAATACAGTTTCCGCTGTTGACTTCTGAACTCGTAGTTTCGAAGAAAGAATACGGTCGTCGGCAGAAAATTACGTTCATCACTTGGAACGTGGTACCATACATCATAGCGACTGTTCACGCAGGTCTCTCCTGGGCTATAGTCATGGAGATACTAGCGGGCCACCTCACAGTCAGGTCCCCTACAATTCGACTGACGTACTTCTTGACCTTCATAATCAATAATCATCTCGCCGAAGCCGTTTTCGTAAGCAAGAACAGTCTTTTCTCTCGTTGTCTTGAAGCTCAGAGGGGGGTATAACGTAGATATGGCGGTGCTGGGTTGTAAGGGACCGCAAGTGGCAAACGGTCATCCTGCCCATCGCCCTAACATTGGTGGGAACGGGTGAGTTTCAACCATCCTCCAAGTCCTAAATTTGATCCTTTGTTTTTGTAGGTCTTGCAGTAGTTGAAGTAAACCAGGCTGTGCCTGGGTCAGTCATAGGTGAGTTTGAGCCATCCTCCGAGTCCTGAAATCGATACTTAAATTTTATAGGTGTTCCATTAGTTGTAGTAACCCAGGATGGGGCCGGGTCAATCATAGGAGGATACCAAACCCTCTACTCCATCTTCCCAATCACAAGCGTCCTAATAACGACTTGCCTCACCACTTCGCGCATTGTGCAAGTCCAAAGGTTGTCCGCTCAGTCTGGCCTGACGCTGAAACGACGATTCAACCCAGTCATCGAAATCATCGTGGAATCGGCCGCACTATTTGCCATTTCGCTCATCGTATATATGATATTCGACCTTCTTGATGCGTTATATTGGTACCCCCGGGTGAATGGGTCCCAAATGGGTTATGGGAGATCGCTTTGCGCGCAAAATATTCATGTTCAAATATCTGTGGGCCATACATCTTAACGTCCTGGATGTTCATGCTAAATCAACGTACAGGGCTTGGCACCCTTGCTCATAAATTTGCGAGTACAGGCGGGCTTTGCTAGACCCGCGGATGAATGGAGCGCCGCGTCATTGGCACCGTCCAATCCGCTGAGGTTCGCTTCACGCGGGAGGACAGATACTGAGGTTGTGCAGGGAGCAGGTGATTCCTCTGGTATTCAGAGGCATTCTGTCGTTTAGTGGTATGCGTTGACGGTGGATATGTATAACGACGAGCTTGCAGGTATAAGATCAATTATTGAACAGATCACATTCTTCATTGTTTTTATTTTTAGACGCTTCTCGTTTATTTCGGTCAGGCAGCACGCGAGCATGCTTTTGAGGTTAAGAAACGCCGCCCCTCTCCCACTTAGGTCCCACTGGAGCGATGGGTGAGAGGGGAGGACCAGGGACGAACTTGAAAAAGACCTTCGAGGGATGAGGAATCGACGATCGCCTGACTTATAGGTCGTTGCTTGAGTGAGAAGGCTTGCGTGTAGTTGGAGCTGCGCTTCACAATTGTTTGTACGTCTCATGATGGTAGAGGCTGTATCGCGTAGATCCGGAAGTTTCTGGGTAATAAACCTTCACGATCGTTACTGCGCAATGCGTGCCAAATTAACTTGTGGGCTAGGAGAGGTAAACTTACACACGTCTAGGCCGACAGCCTGTGAAGCTGTACAAAATAGCAGTGTAGTGAAGAATGCTAGGCATAATGGGAGGTTGAAAAAGTTTCAGGACGTCCAGATAGTGGCGATGATGAGAGGACTCGGACGCGGTGCAGCTGTGCATCCCAGATCATCAATGATCGTGTGCCAGCATAGTATGCTTGTGCAGTGTAACAAGATCTCTAGGACCAGCGTCAATCATATGGTATATATACTGTCATTGAGCTAGACGAGATGAACATTGATATTGAAGCTAAGAGTCGGAACTTGAAGAAGCAAAGGCCGCCAAGCGGCTTAGTCATCCACCGGCTACTCCCGGCATCAGCAAACCGCTAAAATTGCGTCACTTCCCTGTCCCTCCTGCGATTTCGTTGACCGCCACGCTTCTCTATTCGACAATAATCTTGAACATATAATTCTTATAATAACACTACTTGACGCACTGCGCGTGTGTACGTTCAAAGTCTCACTGTCTTTCGACGTACTAACTGGATTTCTAGACCACCTCTAAGTACTACTTTACGCCTTCGAACGGGCTATCTGTGTCGATGAGTCCCTCACCTTCCGATCTTTCCACGTACGTCGTATCATTTTATCTAGTGATTCTCTCACTCAATTTCAACCTGCGTACAGATCTTCCACGCCCTCGACAGTATTCGAGCGTGACGTCGAGATTCCCCATCTAACGACGCCTGCACCGTTTCCTACCCGTACCCACGGACGCCATTTCGGCGATTCGACAGAAGTCGCCAATCCGCATTTTCATCCTCGTGTCCATGCCACTGAACGGATAGAGTTGAGCATTCCGTTGGCGGTCGAAGCGTTGTTAGGTTCCGATGGCACTTCGTTGGTGGGAGGGTTGGAAAGTCCGATGATTGAGGGAAGCAACATCGATAGTCCAACTGGAGACTCCGCCTTTCCAGTTTCTTCGTTGCCTTTGACCCCTTCATCGTCTAACTGGTCCACGTACGCCCTTTTCTTTTCCCGTCGAAAGCCAATCCTGAGCGGCGTTATTCACAGATCCTCGGCCCTCTCCTCGGTATTCGAACGCACCATCGAGTATCCCCAATCTTTATCCTCCTATGCACACACCAACCACTCATATTTGCTAAACGCAAACCCGCACTACGTCCCCCGAGTCCATTCAACTGAGCAACTAGAACTGAGCGTCCCATCCGTCCTCGACAGCGCCCTCGAGTTATTATTAAGTCCAGCAGGGGAGGCGGACGTCGGCGTCGCAGTCGCTGCTTCCCCAGGAAGGAGTCGGGGTAGTGGGTCCCGGAGCCCAAGTAGCGGAAGGAGCAGAAGCGCTAGTTCTTCCATGGATCTGGATTCAGATGCCCACTTTCTCGCGTCGCCTTCGTCCATTTATACGCCCTATACGTCCTCCCCCAGTTCCGACAAAAGCCCATCAAAGACGATTTCTTTCATTTCCTATGCCGACTTACTCTCTTCAACACCTACGTCAACTGTTCCCCTATCTTCGTTGACGACGTGTGCGAGGGCGGAAGTTGTGCCTCCTCATACGTCTGGTCTTCATTTGGAAGCGTTTTGATTTGGATCAGTGGATATGTGTAGGTTTGGGTGGGGTAGGACCTGGCTTTATCATGTTCATTCCGCTGGTATGTTACAAAATTTGAAAGGCGTTAATTACTAGGACACTGAACTCTATTATTATTACAACATGTATCGAGTAATACAGCTATGTTTCGTTCTTATGTTCTGTGTTCGGACCCGTGGGCACTGTAACAAAATAAACTATCCTGTCTCCCCGTTCTCACATGCCCACCTCTTCGCGTACTTAGTTCCGGATTCACGGCTGCACTGCTTCTCAACTCCGTGATAGACTGCGATTATTGAGAGACATGATTCACGAGCTGATTCTGACACCGGACGCGCTCATAAGGATACCGCGTGTTTACTTCCAAGTTCCACAGGTACATTGAGATCGTCATAATAATGATCTATGTTCCTGATCGTCAGAATTTATCTGCGCCGTCATTCAAATTTAAAAGTCCCAGGATGGGCGCCGTGAACACTTCCCAAAGCTGACTTGTCCGACCTTGTGCTGCTTTTTCTTTCACAAGTGTTCGTGCTGGCGCGTAGCAAGACATTTTGGTAACTCCATCCATCTTGTTTGAAGTTGTTTGAACTCGTCTCTTCTTTTTGACTGTGACTGGCTCCAAACGCGACCTCTGCATCATCCGCTCTCATCAACATACCTATTCCCTAATCCGCAATCGTCTTTGCGCGCTCGTCCAGATTCGTCTCAATTGTCCGCGTCATTCGCCAGGCCCCAATTTTAAGATCAGCGTTGATCAACGCCCATATCTAGGAGCAACAACCTTCATCTTGCCTTCATCATGTCAGAGAACCTCTTCTATCTATCACAGCCAATGCGACCCCTTACCGCAGAGCACTTTAACGGCCATTGTATGTTCGATGTGACTAGACGAGCGCTCGACGATATTTTATAAAGGACCACTGTCGCTCCTAGATCCACCAAGACAAGACGAATCCCTCCACTCAACCCCAAAGTTGTAAGGTCCCTTCAACAACTCTTCTCACGCTGACCATCGTCGACAGTGGCAAGCGACCAAACCTCAACAACCCCTCTCTCAGGGGACGCACAAGCGATCAAAGATGGTTTCGACCATCTGGGAGGATCGACTGACCCTAGGAGTGGTTTTGGAAGGATACCCCAATCTTCTCCGCCCGATTCCAAAGGGGATCTGAACACCGGCGTGGATACGCCAGATGCGGGTAGCGCTGCGAAACCACAACCCGGTTCGCAATCCCTCCTTTCTTGCGGATCGAAATCACTCATGATGCCTGTTTACAGTCGCTGTTTTCCCTTCGGGTCCGACGAATGCATCCCCGACCAGTGAACCGTCAAGCAATCCAGTCATAACTACTCCCAACCGTTCGTCCATTTTGCTCCAGTTCTCTTTCATTCGCTTTATATTTCATATCGACAGCCGCGATCCCATTGACTCCAGGCGGCCAAGCAATCAAAGATGGTTTCGACCATCTGGGTACGGCTGGTGACCCTCGGACAGGACTTGGAAAGATTCCTACTCCCCCTGATTCGATTCCGCCAACGAACCACCCGACCTCTCCAAGTGCTACCCAGCCAGTTGACGCAGTCCCAACATCAGACTCGAAAAGTGAACCATCTGTTGCAGTAGATCCCAGTTAGTTCCCTGCTTTCCTTCTTTTTCATCCGTTGAACCTGTTATGCTACAGAGACAGCCCCTTTAACTCCAGACGGCCAAGCAATTAAAGATGGGTTCGACCATTTGGGTACAGCACATGATCCCAGAAAAGGACTCGGAAAAATTCCTCCTCCCCCTTCTTCGGGTGTCGCCACTGACTCAAGCGTCCAACCTCAGCCATTGAGCGACGCGACGTGGTAGAGCACCCAGCGTCCGGTCGTGAATACGTGATAGCCGGGCACTGATCGCATCCCTACCCCAAGTTCATGTAGAAGTAAATCCTAAGCCAATTCGAAAGATACGCGTTCTCCTGCGCCCGTATTAAATAAAATTGCCAGATCGCGGAGGAATAACCCGCAGCACCCCTATGGCCGATCTTAATGAATTTGAAAGCAAGATAAGTGGAGTACGTCGGGCCTTTTGACCGATTCGGGCTCAAATCCTCGGTGGTTGGGTGTCGAAAGGAAGCTGAGATCGATACATCATTGACATGAACCTTTGTGTCTTCTAGGACGTCAAGTGAATTCGTCCGACAAAGGGGGAGAAAGAAAGAAAGGGCCCTAATAAATATATTGCGTGGAGACAGGCGAGTCCGTTAAAAATGCAAGACATAGTCGATACGTCCGTGAAGGTACATACTTGAGTTCCAGTTCTTGGACGTATCGACTACGTGAAATAAGTTGGATGGCCGATGCGCGATTCTTCGAGGATTTGACTAATTGGTACGACGAACCTCGCTGAGAGAACTTGGTCTATATTCGAAGCAGGGATGCACGCGAAATACAATACCCGCCATATAGAACAAGTCCGCGGCTGACATCCTTAATACCGATGAGACGATCGACTGGATTTGGGGGTTAAGCGACGGCGACGTCCTCGTGGATTGTAAAACGAGCCCAATGAAGGCGGCCCAATCATTAACGCCATTTTAGTAGATTTCAGTTCCTGCCAGGTATAAACATATGTATGAGGTAGAGAGGAGTCTCAAACAATGCGAGAAGAGGCAGTATGCATATGCGCATTAGAAGACGATTTAGTATGATGGAAAGACAACTAGTTACTATACCAATACTAAACCACTCAAGTACTTAGTACTCAGGCCTCAGGCCCCACATCTTGGCACTTTGATCCTGTATGTATAAACTCAAATTTGCCGGCGGCCTTGAGGTGGTGGCTTGTAACAGGGAGCATTTTGGCGTGGACAGGTTATAAACTAGTCACAAAGAATGACATTCATTGATCGTAATGAATCTGATACTGATACCACACCAAATCAAATTTAAAATCTGACTAAGTACAGGAGCTGGGGACGAAACCCTCAGATAGGTCTGGAAAGTGCGAAATTTTAAATGTAAAAGCTACTTATAAGAGCTTCTGGTTCCGTAATAATTTTTTTCACGGAAAAACAGGCCAAGTGCGCATACAGGTCGACGAATTTTTAAAAAAAGTCATCGGACTACCTTAGCTTCGTTAGTTGTCAAGTGTTCAACAAAAAGAAGCTCTGGAGCGACTCCCATAACGATCCGCAACCATGCAACGTACTCGACAAAATGAGTAGTACGGCAGCGGTTACTGTCCGACATGAAAGAACGTGCTTTAAGCAGGTAATTTTACGTGTGGGTCACGATCAACTTCAAGATCGAGCTGCATTTGTTAATAATGGCTTAGAATGGAAGTTTTATTTGTAGGTAACAGGAGAGGCGCACCATGGAAGGAGTTAATTCAGCTCTTCCTCCTTAAGTTGTTCATGTACATTTTATATCTGAGAACTTTCTATTCCCAGGATTCAGGCCTCAGGTCCTATAAATTCTCGACTCCGTCATGAATTCTCTTCAGCGATTGGTTTCCCCCAGTTGCCTTCGTCAGCCCTAAACATGTTATTTCGCTCCATCGCTACCGTAATATCCGCCGCCCTCTTTGCTCAAAGCGTGTGCGCAGCATTGACCCCCGCCCAGGTCGTTGCTAGCGTCGAGGTCGTTACGACTCTCTCTGCGAGCATAACTAAGTCGGTTTCGGTGATCACGACTAAGTCGTCCCTCAACACCATTTCAAGTACCTCTAAGGTCATTGTCATTTGTCTTTTGAATCGACGTCGACTAAACCTCCCCTCCAGACCGTATCTACCGGATTTACCAAGATTGTCTCCACCATCGGAACATTTGTTACGGGGATAGAAGATACCTCTCCGTTCCCTGACGACGCGGCTCAGCTCGTCGTCAATGCTTTAGTTGCCGTAAATCTCATTACCAGTATTTTTCGTCGCGCTGCTGATGTAGTTTGGTCAATAGTTCGTCAATGTCCACAAGCTGCTTCTGTCCACTGTCATTGGCCAGCACTCAATTTTCGCTCAATTCGCCCTGACCGCACCCATCGTAGCTGTGCTCCGTACCCTCGAAGGTGCAATAGACGTGAGCACATAAAGTCGGCCATGGTGCACCGGGATGACTTACCCCACGACAGTCTCTTGCTTTCGCACTGATCGGGTTGATTCCCACTAAATCAAATGAAGTATCCGACGCCCAGTTTACCCTGAGTACCTCCGTCACCGACACGATCAGCATTTACGATCAAACATGCTTCCCCTCCCTCTTCTGGCCCAAAGGCAAACCTGTCTGCATTGGTTGAATAGGCGTCTGATGTTTACAATATCTGATGTTTGACCTCTTTTCTTCCTCGTGTTTTACCCTTCTGTGCAGATGGTTGTAGTCGGCGGTCCTTTTATTTTGTCTTGATATACTGTTGTCAATCCGCACAACATTGTGAAATCCCATGTTCAGTGTCGTTTTGGGAGTCCGAATAATGGTGAAACCTTTAACCGGGAATCAAGAAAAGAATACTGCACGGGCATTCATTGAAAAATCACCCTGCTAAAACATAGTAGCCCACCGCGAGGGTCGAACTCGCAGCCTTCAGATTGAAATGATCTTAAAAGTCTGACGCTCTATCCGATTGAGCTAGGCGGGCAGTACTGGATAAGCGCCCGACGCGAATTCTGACCTACATGGATGCCAAAAACGTAGAGTTATGAACGAATCGCATTGCTGTTGATTCCAGTTGCGATACCTATACGTTTTCATGATTATTCTCGGGGGCGACGAATATAAGATTCATATAATTACCTGCCTTGTATTCAATAATCTCCGCCGTAAGCTCGTTTAAAACCGCGATAATCCCGACGCTCCTGCTTTGCGGTCATTGAATGTAACAACGAAGGTTAGTGAGAACAAACGACGTCTTCCTCACCTGAACAAGGCCTCAAGCTGGGATTCATAATTACCTGCTGCGATTCGGAAAGGACTAGAGCCGAAAAATGGGAGGACAAGGTGTAGGCTGGGTGTTGATTCGAAATCGCGACGACGACGTCAACTATTTACCTGGTAGAGGGTCACAGCCAAGTTGCACAACGTCCGTTGTGGAAAAGGGACGCTTGGTGTGGCTTCCCGCGAGGGAGGGGGCCGACAATTGCATGGCGTGCTTTCGCTGAGATTCATTCATCTATGTAGATGAGATGACGTTCGGAGTTGAACTTATGTGACCGTACTCACAAGAACCCGGAAATCGCCCTTTTGGCGAAAGGAAGTCAAATGAAGCCTTGACGAGAGTAAGAGAACGCCAACGTATCGCGTGACTGATATCTCGTCACGTGGACGAAACGCGTTTGGAGGTAGTGACAGACAACGGTAAAGACACTTGAAAGGCACGGTAAGTTGTGTAAAATCATAATACAAGAAAATCAAGCGTGATCCATTCCAACCTTTTACTGGTAATCTTAACGTTCGCCCTATCCATATTAGTCGGTACTTAAGCAGCTTAAGTACTTTCGTTCGCCGGATCAACCTCATTTTTTGGGAGCACCTCCGCATCATCGTGGCTCTCTGGGTTCTGCCTTAAATCCCGCGTGGTTCTCAAAGCTGTGCTGTGGTTCTACCAAACAAAGTAAAATTTAAAAAGTCGTGATTTTTTGGGAGCAAGTTCCTGAGCCTTCAAAATCCATCTTTGCATTTTTTCACTTTGGTGGTGAAATTCGTTTCTTGAGAACCGGGGTCAGTTCTTTGGAACCTGGGCTGGTTTTTTGGGAGCAACCATATATATGGTGTATCTACCTTTGTACAAAATTTCAGCTCAGGTGCTCAAGAACTGACCCCGGTTCTCACCCAGCCGACTTTATGATGACGGACCAACTTGGCGCAAGATGACTTTGTGTCCGACAGGTGTGAAATTTTGTAGACATGAAGGTGCATGAAATACAAGCAACCGTAAAAAATATCTAAAGGTGGTTCTCAAAACTCAGCTAATGTTCCCTCTCACGATAGTCTGCTCGTCAAGATATGCGCCAAGTGGGGACATGGTGTCAATTGTTGAGCACCTGGGCTGATTTTTTGGGAGCTTGCATATACATGGTGGATCTACCTTTGTACAAAATTTCAGGTCGGGTTCTCAAGAACTGACCCCGGTGCCACCTAGCCGACTTTACGCTGACGGACTAACTTGGTGCAAGATGACTTTGTGTCCGACAGGTCTGAAATTTTGTAGACATGAAGTTGCATGAAATACAAGCAACCGTAAAAAATATCTAAAGGTGGTTCTCAATACTCAGCCAACAAAGCCTCTGACGATAGTATGCTCATCAAGATATGCGGCTTAGTAGGACATGCTGTCAATTGTTGAGCACCTGGGCTGATTTTTTGGGAGCGGCACCGTACATAGTCAAGTGACCGACGTACAAAATTTCACATCAGGGGTGCAACATCTGAGCTCGGTTCCACTGAAACTTCTCTGCCATCCTGCCAGACATGTTTCAGACGCAAGCTTGAACTTGGCATTCCATCAAGTCATGACTTTAATCATGTTCTAACTATCCAGCCAAGATGTCAACCATGAAGTGCCCACAGCAAAGCCATGTATGTCAACAAGTCCATATTCATGAACATGAACCACCTCAGTGTCAGACATGCATACCAGAACCAGACAGACTTGCACTCAGAATGAAGTGACTTGGAGGTATGTCTATATGGAATAATCATGTGGACTTTGATATGGGCTATACCACTGACTGAAGCTTTTGAAAGATGAGATAAGAAAGCCATACTTTCTAAGCTTGAAGCAATTCTTGTTGGAGATACATCAACTTCAAGACAAGGCAGATGTTAAGAACTTGGATGAAAGACATGACATCTGACCATCATTCAACATATCCAGTCATGACCACAACCATGCATCCAGCCAAGATGTCAAGGCTCAAGTTAAGCAATGAAGACACTGGGAGGGGAAGATTCTGATGTCCACATGGGGCATAGATCTGAACCTCACCTTGCATCCAATGACCTGTATGCAGGAGAAATAGAATGGAAACCATTGCACACAAGAATTCTGAGGCATCCTTATCATTGAACGGGGGTCAATCAACTTGTCATGTCCCTCCTGTGAATAAGTTCTGCTCTGGTACACTTCCATCTCCATCTGCTTTTCAAGCTATCATCTAGACAAGATGCAGTTATATCAGTGAGGCCATGCATGTCAAGCAATGTCAACAAGTCCATATCTACGAACAACAAAGGATCTCAGTGTCAGACATGCAAGATGAACAAAGTGTAAAACTTACAGTCACAAAGTCCATGAGTAAGTCAGCAAGTTCTTTACCATGATTGTCAAGGAACTTGAACAAGTCCTACAAGAACCTTATCAGCAAGTCCAAGCAATGTGTATAAGTCTATCTGCAGCAACAAGAACCAAGTGTAAGTCAGACATGCAAGTAGCATACGAGGACCAGACAGATGTTAGGGTTAATGAGGATCATAGGATTGTAGTAGGGTTTTAAAATTTATGTAGGATTGCTCTAGGAATGGAGGTAGGATTGGAAGTAGGATTGGAGGTAGGATTGGAAGTAGGATTGGAGGTAGGATTGGAAGTAGGATTGGAGGTAGGATTGGAAGTAGGACTGGTGTAGGATTGCCTTTACAATACGAATCCATGCTACCCCCGGGGGGGGTACATGTATGACTGAAATGTGCCATTTGTGCATGTAGGATGATGTAATCTGGTATTAGAATGAATTTCCATGTGCACAAAATTTTCTCACGGTCGGCCTTGACTCACTTTGACTGGTGTTCAACATTTAAGATGAATATATAGTTGAATTCATATGAATTGACCATGAATTCGCTTGAATTGAATAGTTAATGGAAACATAGGAATAGACTACAAACCCAATAGATAGACTATAAACACACCAAAAGACTACAAAAGTCACTACAAAACATTGTAATAGACTTCACATTCAATAGATAGACTACAAACACTATAAAAGACTACATGAATTCATATGAATTGACCATGAATTCATTTGAATTCATGTGAATTGACATTGAATAGTTAATAGGAACATCAGAATAGACTTCAAGTTCAATAGATAGACTACAAACACTATAAAAGACTACATGAATTCATTTGAATTCATGTGAATTGAGGTTGAATTCATGTGAATTGAGGTTGAATTCATGTGAATTGACATTGAATTCATGTGAATTGACATTGATTTCAGGTGAATTGACATTGAATAGTTAATAGAAACTTTGGAATAGACTACAAACTCAATAGATAGACTATAATACCTCCAAAAAACTACAAAAGTCACTACAAAACATTGGAATAGACTACAAACTTAATAGATAGACTATAAACACTCCAAAAGACTACAAAAGTAACTACAAAACATTGTAATAGACTTCAACTTCAATAGATAGACTACAAACACTATCAAAGACTACATGAATTCATATGAATTGACATTGAATTCACATAAAAACTACAAAAAGTTAATATAAACCTCAGAATAGACTACAAAGTCAATAGATAGACTATAAACACTAGAAAAGACTTCAAAAAGTCACTACAAAACATTGGAATAGACTTCAAGTTCAATAGATAGACTATAAACACTAGAAAAGACTACAAAAGTCACTACAAAACATTGGAATAGACTTCAAGTTCAATACAGTCAAACTTCTTGGAACAGACTTCAAGTTCAATAGATAGACTATAAACACTAGAAAAGACTACAAAAGTCACTACAAAACATTGGAATAGATTTCAAGTTCAATACAGTCAAACTTCTCTCATCCCATACCTCTGACAACGACTCCATACTTCTTTCAGATGGAATACATCCCAATTCCACAATTATTGTCATAGAATCACAAGTCCAGACTTAATCTGTAAAGTTCCAACTTAAACACTAATAAATGAAGAAAATTGAGGTGTATTGAATAAGACTACATAATTTTATTTTACTACATATGATATTAAAGGGAGGGGGAGGGAGAGGTATAGATATAGAGTGATCAAAGGGAGGGGAAAGTGATGGAGGGGAGTGGTAGTTGTCGAGAATGAGGAGGGAGGGGTGGGGGTGGAGGGTTGTCAGAGGTATGGGATCAGAGAAGTTTGACTGTATTGAACTTGAAGTCTATTCCAATGTTTTGTAGTGACTTTTGTAGTCTTTTCTAGTGTTTATAGTCTATCTATTGAACTTGAAGTCTATTCCAATGTTTTGTAGTGACTTTTGAAGTCTTTTCTAGTGTTTATAGTCTATCTATTGACTTTGTAGTCTATTCTGAGGTTTATATTAACTTTTTGTAGTTTTTATGTGAATTCAATGTCAATTCATATGAATTCATGTAGTCTTTGATAGTGTTTGTAGTCTATCTATTGAAGTTGAAGTCTATTACAATGTTTTGTAGTTACTTTTGTAGTCTTTTGGAGTGTTTAT